AATAACTGTCTAATATATTTTGGTGCTCCTTCATTTGGTGAGTATATGTTGATGATTGTTATATCTACCTGATGTATTGTCCCCTTGATCATAATATAGCGTCTGTCTCTGTCTCCTTTAATTTTTTCTACTTTGAGTCTATTTCATCTGATATAAGTATAGCTATTCCTGCCTTCTTTTTTGGTCCATTTGCTTGTAGGATTGTTTTCCAACCTTTTACTTTCAGTCTATGTTTATCTTTTGTGGTTAAATGTGTTTCCTGGAGACAGCAGAAGGATGGATTTTGTTTTTTAATCCAGCGTGCTACTCTGTGTCATTTTATTGATGAGTTTAATCCATTTACATTTAGAGTTAATATTGATATGTTGGCATCTGTATTTGCCATTTTTGTCTTTTTTGTGATTTATTCCTTGCTTTATTCTGTTCGTCTTGATAATCCCTCTATTGGTTTTGGCTGTAGGACTTCTTGTAGAATTTTTTGGAGTGGGGGTTTAGTTGTAATGGATTTCTGGAGTTTCTGTTTGTCTGAGAAGGTACATATTTTTTCTTCATAGAGAAAGGAGAGCTTTGCAGGGTAAAGTATTCTTGGTTGGCATTTGCTGCCTTGAAGTTTGTTGAATATGTTACTCCATTCTCTTCTTGTCTGTAGTGTTTCTTTGGAGAAGTCTGAGGTTAACCTGATTGGTTTTCCCTTATAGGTTTTCTGTTTCTTCCGCCTTGCCAGTTTCATTAGTTTTTCTTTGTCTTGGACTCTTGCAAGCTTTACTATTATGTGTCTTCTTGTAGTTTTCTTTTCATTGTGGTAATTGGGTGTTCTTCTTGCTTCTTCTATGTCTATATTTGTCTCCTTTTTCATACTTGGGAAGTTTTCTTCAATTATCTCCTTGAATAATTTCTCAGATCCTTTGTCTTTCTCCTTACCTTCTGGAATATCTATAACTCTAATATTACCTCTCTTCATGGAGTCTGATAATTGCCTAAGGGTATTCTCATTCTTCTTCCTTTGCACTTCTCTCTCTTTTTCTTTTTTTTGCTTCTTTCTATTTTTGTATCATCAAAAGTCCGTTCTTCCATTTCCTCAGTTTTCAATGCTTTTCCTGTTTTCAGTGCTTTTCCAAGAGTTCTTTGTCTCCTCCAATAATCTTTTAGTCTCCTTTTCTTTTATTTCCTTTCTTAAGGTCTCATTTTTGTTCTTCAGTTCATTGATTGTCTCATCTCATTATACTTTTTAATCATGATGATTCTAAATATCTGACAGGCAGAGAAGTTCTTCCATCTCATTGAGCTCTGGGGACTGATTTTCTTTTTGTGGTGTGTCCTCCTCCTGCGGGCTTGCTTGATTATTTGTATTTTTTCCTTCTCCCTGTTGTTTGCTTTCTAATTTGTTCCATGTGTTGGGATGTTGTGGTGTTGGCAGGCATCTCTTTGGATTGCTCCTTCAGGGGTGTTGAAAACTGTTTACCAGACTGAGACCAGCACTGGTAGGACAAAACTCCACCAGGGTGTTGATGCTTTGGCTGTGTTGGCATTGTCTCTTACAGTTCACTCCCTCCATATTTACTCAGCTCCAGCAGGGAATCAGTTAGTTGGTGATTTTGCTCTGGTCACTAGGTGGCATAGAGATCTGTACTTGCGGAACCTGTGCTTTTCCCCTGTAGTTCTCTGAGAAACAGAGGGGGAGGGAAGCACCTTGACACACGGGCTATTGCTCACACTGGGTGCTGTGTCTGCCCCGTGTTCACCTGGTGCTGTGCCCGCAGCTGTGTGGATCCTGTGCTCTGAATTCTGTGCTTTAGTTTCCAATCTCAGAGTCTCAAATTCAAAATGACGGCTGTCACCCTGTGCAGTGCCCACTGTTAAGGTGTGTCCCACACTCCAAATCCTGTGCCTAGCTCTCTGTTCCAGAATGGGGTCTTGCTCCACACTTTGTTTCCCTTCTTACCACAGTACCTGGCTTCCAACTATTAGGAAGTTGGTGATTTTGTTCTGATCACTGGGTGGCACCAGAGATCTTTCCTAGTATCCTTCCAGAGCTGTGCTTTTTCCCCTGTGGGTCTCTGGGGAACTGAGTGGGGGTGGCGTGGAATGGCTCAACGGGGTATAGGGGTGCTGTGTCTGCCCTGTGCCACCTGTCATGGGGATTCCATGTCCCAGATTTTGTGCCCCTGGTCTCAGTTCCAAAGTCCTCAGATCTGGGACGTGGGTGGTAGCCCAGTTCAGTGTCCGCAGAAATGAAGCCTTTTGCACCCTGTTCCCGTGCCTGAGCGCCTGGTTTTTGATTACTCAGTGACAGTCATTCACCTCAGTAACGGTTCCCACATGTCTCCCCACGAACCTAGGTTGCAGGGTGCGGGAACCTGGACAGCCTCAAGCCGCTTATTCTTTTCGAGTGCATGAGGTTTTCTGCACAAGCTTATTGGCTGGCCGTGGGCTATTTGTAGGTCTCCACAGAGTCCTTGTTTTCCTCTAATGGCACCCGGAGCCATTCACTCACCTGCAGTAGTTCCTTTCCACTCACAGTCCCGCTTGATCTGTAGTTTGTTCTCGTTGTTGTTTTTTGTTTCTTTTTTTTTTCTTTCTGTTGGTTGGAGTGTGCGTGCTTTGTGGGTGGGGGAGGGTAGCAGGGTTCTGCACTTTCAAACTCTTTTCATTGTCCTCTTTTATGGCAACTTTGCTCTTTGGGCAGTTTGCCAGAGTCGCCCTTTTATCTTCTGTGTCCTGGCTTTCGCAGGGACCTGCCGCTTTTCCTCCCGTTAATTTTTTTTTTTTATGGGAGGACTTACTGGCAGTGTTTCCCTGCCGCCATGTTGATCCGGAAGAGGTTTTCTAAGTATATTATTATCATGCCATCTGCAAACAGTGATTGTGTTACTACTTCTTTATCAATTGGGATTCCTTTTATATCTTTCTCTTGCCTGATCTAACTAGGATTTCTAATTCTGTGTTGAATAGTGGTGAAAGTGTATCTCCTTGTTTTGTACCATATTGTATAGTTTTCAGGTTTTCACCACTGAAAATGAATTAAGCTGTGAGTTTGTCATATATGGTTTTTATTATGTTGAGGTATGTTTCATACCCCATTTTCTGAGGGTTTTTATCATAAATTGATGTATGTTAAATATTTTTTGTTTATCTAGTAATATGATAATATCCCATTTTAAGTTTTTCTGTTTTTGATGTGTCAAATTACATTGAATGATTTTCTGATATTGAACCACCCTTGTTGATGCAGATTACATTGGCATTATTTTCAGTTTGGTATTTCTTTGTTGGAGATCTCCTTGCATTTAAGTATAGTATCATCTTTGTGATCACTACTTTAAATTTTTTATCTGGTGCATTGTTTATCTCCATTTAATTATGGTATTTTTTCTGAGATTTTATCTTTTCTTTTTATTTGAAAAATACTCCTCTTCATTTTACTTGGCTCTCTTTGTTCCTACATATTAGGTGAAACAGCTGCCTTTCAAAATCTTAGAACTGTGGCTTGTGACTTACTATTCAACTTTGCCCTATGTTTTAATTGTTTCTAGATCCTTTGTGGTTTTCTAGGCAATTTGGTTTATTTTTGATTAGTCCTGTTTTTGAATATTTACTAAGACCTATCAGTGTTCTAAGAGGTTGGATCTCTTTTAGCACCTAGTTTCAAGTTGGAGTACAGATCCTCAGTCATAAGTTTTTATAGTATGCCAAAATGTCTGGCCTCTAATACTGGTGATGTGGCAATGACCTCTTGGGTATAGTTAAATAATTGAGGTTATAGTTGAATGTATAATCTTTCTGGGAAGTACCAACAAGCTGCAGTGTGGCAAGGGCAGGCAAAGATAACAACCCCCAGTCTATGTTCCTTGAGAGTTTCTCCAGGTTACCTCAGATAGGAAAGCAGGTATTGGGAATGGCTAGCCATTATGAGCATTGCTGTATTGAGCAATGTCAGCACAATTGACATTGCAAGCCTGGTGGTATTGCCAGCTTAGTCAGTTTGAGTGATGCTTAATTAGTGCAGTAGGCCTTCTGGGGGCTGGAGCTTGTTTGTTACACATCTTTAGCAAGATAGATATAGTGCTAAAATGATATTTTCCATCTCCATATCTACCAAGGAACAGTATAATCGCTAAAATGGCACCCACCAAGGCCTCTGTCCCAGAAGATCTTTGTCCCCCGGTAGATGCTTTAAGATTAACTTTCTGTACAACTTTAGGTTCTTCTCAAATTGCTTCTTTTGTGCTGAGTTATGGGGTGAGTTTATATCCTTTCCCCTTAGGAGTGGGTTATACATTCTTCAGAACCTCTTGGGTCTGCTGGTGATAAGCCATGTTAGTTTCAAAAGCTAGATGGTTCAGAGGAACTTCTCTCTTATGCAAGTTCCAAGTTCTGACAGAACCCCACATTCATCAAGCAAGAGGTTTGTATTGTGATTTCCCTTTGCTTGTTGGTCCTTCCTTGGGGGGTGAAGTTGCTTGGCAAGACTGATCTCTGCCTCTCCTAACCATTTTATTGTGGGTCTTTGGTCCTTTATGGAGAAGATTTCAGCTCATTCTCAGATCTTTTTCTGGGAGAATTATTCCATATATAGTTGTTTATTGGTGTGTCCATAGAGGAGGTGAACCCAGGGACTTCTTATGTGGCCATCTTGAACAGCCTCTCTCTCACATCAGTTTTTAAAGTGAGAACAATTCATGGTAAATTTCAACTCCGTCTATATTATAATTTCTACCTTCATAATTTCTACACCTTTCTAAATTAGGGCATTTGTTGTATCAAGAATGTTCTATAATTTTGTCTGAAATACCAGAGACAAATTCAAGAAAATCTCTATGATATTACATGGACTTTATTATATTTTAATTGAAAATTATTTCCCTCATTAAATGTAAAACTATTTATAATAGACTAAATTGAATAACTTCATAATTTAAATGATCTAGCCTATAAATAAAACATTTAATCTGTATATTATGTATAATATGTTCTTATCTTTTGTTTGGTTTTGGTATTAGATTTGTAATACTCTCCATAACTGTCACTGTGATGCTGGATATGCTCCTCCACAATGCAAACCATCACCAGGATCACCAGGAGGAAGTATCAATGATGGATTTTGGCTTATAGCATGTTAGTATCTAGATCAATGAACTTCAATAGAATTTTCTGCATTTATAGTAATGTTCTACAACTCCTCTGTCATGTGGCATTAAGCACTTGCAATGTGAATGGTCCAACTAAGGAACTAAAATTTCCATTTTATTTTTCTTTATTGCATTCATAATTAAATAACCATTTGTGGCTAGTGGTCTCTAGATTGGATAGTGAAGTTCTAGATCAAACTTTGGTATACATTTAAATTCTTATCTTTCATTTCTAATTCTGTTTATAAGTTTTTTTCCTTTTTTCTTTTGATCCTAGCCAGATATTAGTCTATTTTGTTTACTTTTTCAAAGAAGCAGATTTTATAGCTTTGATCTTTTTTATTTTATTTTTTATATAATTTTGTTTGTCCTTGCTCTGATTTCCAATTTCTAATTTTTCTTTCTTTATTTCATCTATTAGCTTTTTTGTTCTTTTACTTGTACTGTAAGTTGTAAGATAAGACAATTTTTGGAACTCTTTCTTGCTATTTGATGTGGTCATGTGTTCTCTATACTTACCTCTTTGTTCTGCTTTCTCTGTGTCTCATAGATTCTGGTAGGTTGTGTCTTCATTTTCATTTGTCTTTCTGTATTTTTAAATTTCTCCTTTGATGTTTCCCAACCCATTCAGTAGTATGTTGTTTAGTCTCTGCTTTTTATTGTTGATTTCCAGCTTGAAACAGTTGCGATCAGAGAAGATACTTGATATGTTTTCAGTCTTCATGAATCTATTGCCAATTATGTGATCTAACATATGACATATTATAGAGAATGAACCAAATGCACTTGAAAAGAATGTACACTCAGCTTTTTAAGGCTGCATTACCCTAAAATGTCTATTAAGTACATGTGGGATAATTCCTCATTTAATACTATTATTATATTTAATATATATAATAAATATAATGTTATATTTATTATTATTATATTTAATATTATTTAATAGTATATAATTTATTATTACTCTTGTTGATTGTCAGTTTAGTTGATATGTCCTTTGGTGAAAATAGGGTGTACAAACCCCCTTCTACTATTGTGTAGCTGCAAATGTTTATTTTTAGATTTGTTAAAGTTGATATATTTTGGCACTCCTTTGGAGCATATATATTGATGGGTGTTATATGTCTTTCTGATGTATTGTCACATTACTCTTTATGTAGTCTCCCTCCCTGTCCCTTGTGACATTCATTTGTTGGAAGTCCCTTAATTCCAGATCATTATAGCTGTCTCTATACTTTTCTGGGTTACATTTGCTTATAAGATTTTGTCCAACCTTTTACTTTGAGCTTAATATTTATCTTTGGAGTATAGGTACAAATTCAACAAATATTATTGGGACAAGTAAATATTCACATGCAAAAATAAAGGAGTTTTTGCTGTATCATAACACACAAAAAAAGTAACTAAAAATGAATATTAGATATAAAATACATTTACTCAGCAATCAAAAAAGATAAACTGGGCCTCCCTGGTGGCTCAGTGGTTGAGCACTGGGCTGCAAAGCTTCCCTAAGCCTCTGCAGCAATGGTTCCATCCCCAGCCACCCATGGCACGGCAGACCTCTCCTGCCGTGCCCGCTACTCCCTCAGCAGTGTGCTTCGTCAGTCTGCCTGTTCTGTTCCCTGCTCTGGCTCTGGTGAATTCTCTCACCCTCCTGCGCTTCTGACTGTATCCAGTGCTTGTATAAATAAATAAATCTTTAAACAAAAAAAGATAAACTAATGCCATTCATGGCAACATGGATAGAGCTAGAAGGGATTATGCTCAGTGAAATAAGTCAGAAGGAAAAAGAAAAATATCAGGTGATTTCATTTATAGGAGGAATATAGGAAACCAAACAAGGGATTAGGGGAAATAACATTAAAAAACACAACACAACTAAACAAATTTAAACAGGTAACTATAAATACAAGACATTCTGCAGGGGAGAGAGATCAAAATGAGAAGCAGGAAGAGCACACAGGACTATGATGATGGTGCACGGGTGAACTGCTGGTCAAAATTCTATGGGTCTGCACCTGAGAAAATAAGGCAAACATTGTAAAAAAAAATGAACAGTGATGAAAAATGTATGTAAATAAATAATTGAAAAAAAAGAAACTAGGATGCATACATAGGTGTGAAAGTGGATATTCAAATATACATATAAACATACATACATAAACACATATTCACTCCTTTCATATTTTCTACATGCATATGTATATGCTCAGAATTTTGATAGAATAAATGTTAATTCTCTCTTTACATAGGAATACTTTGAGGACCAAGAAAAATAAATGACTTCTCTGACATTATATAATCAGTACTAGAGACTATGACAAAATGCTGTCATTTATGTATTTTTTTAAGATTTATTTATTTATTTAATTTTTCCTTCTAAAAGATTTATTTATTTATTTATTTATACAAGCACTGGGTACAGTCAGAAGTACGGGAGGGTAAGAGAATTCACCAGAGCCAGGGCGGAGAGCAGAACAGGCAGACTGATGAAATACACTGCTGAGGGGAGCAGCGGGCACGGCAGGAGAGGTCTACAAGCCATATGGGACCCTCCCTGGCGGCTAGGTATTGAACTGGCGCTGCAGATGCTGCAGGCAGCTTCTCAGCCCAGCGCTCAACCTCTGTGCCACCAGGGGAGGCCCAAGATTTATTTATTTATACAAGAACCAGGCTACAGGCCAGATCTGGGGGAGGGTGAGAGGATTCACCAGAGCCAGAGTGGGGAACACAACAGGCAGACTGACGAAATACACTGATGAGGGGAGCAGCAGGCACAACAGGAGAGGTCCACTGCGCCATGTGGGACCCTCCCCGGCCGGCCAGGATAGAACCAGCACTGCAGAAGCTGCTGACAGTTTCACAGTGTGGTGCTCAACCTTCTGCGCCACCAGGGGAGGCCCCATTTATATTTTTATATTTTTATCTGTTCTTTTCACTAAATCTTTTTTAAATAATTAATTTGACACTTTAAAAAAATAAAATACATGAGTTATATCATAAAATATTTAGAAAGAATCTACATAAAAAGATCTTTGGGACTTTGGCACAAACTGTATTATGAAATATGCTAAAGCACATGTGAAGAAAGTAAAGATTGAACTTCATGAAAATTAATAAGTTTTGTGTTTCCATGATATAATCATGAGAGTCAAAGACTAAGTGTTATAGGGCAGCCCCGATAAAAACAGGGTGTCTGACTGTGGGTCCTCACCTGCGCACTTAAAAGGACTTATTAATGCTCTACTGCAGGCACACGTGAAAGGTTAATAAAAGGTTTATTTACAAGGGAAGGGGAAATGAGGAAATGTACAGTTCAGGGAGAAAAGTGGGAGACAAAGTTTTAAGTGAGTCCTACCCTATCCGATCAGGAATTTCAAAATGGCACTCTGAGAGCTGGCCGCATGCTAGGAGCCGTGAAGTCAGGAAGCAAGCAATAGCGAGCCAGCCCAAGGCCCATGTGTTTGGTTTTTATTTCCCCCAAACATAAGTACAAAGTGTGAAAAAATATTGTTAGTCTTATATTAATATGGGATTTCCATCCAGAATAGATAAACATCACTCACGACTACCTAATAAAAATGAAAATAACCCAATTAAAATAAGAGGGGATTTACATCCCTTTTATAATTGAAACCAAAAAATAAAATACTTGGGAATAAACCTAATAAAAGAGGTGAAAGACCTATACAAAGAAAATTATAAAACACTGTTAAAAGAAATAGAAGGAGACACAAAGAAATGGAAAGACATCTCCTGCTCATGTATTAGAAGAATTAACATTATTAAAATGTCCATCCTACCAAAAGCAATATACAGATTCAGTGCTATTCCAATAAAAATCTCAATGACATTCTTCAAAGAAATAGAACAAATACTGATAAAATTCGTGTGGAGCCACAAAAACACCACAAATAGCCAAAGCCCTACTGAAAACAAAGGAGAAAGGAGGTATCACATTTTCAAACTTCAAGCTATACTACAAAGCCATAATAATTAAAACAGTTTGGTATTGGACAAAAGCAGACACACAGACCAATGGAACCAAATAGAGAGCCCAGAAATAAAACCAGTTATATGACAACTGATCTTTGACGAAGGAGCAAAGCATATGCAGTGGAACATGGACAGTTTGTTCAATAAATGGTGCTGGGAAAACTGGACCACCACATGAAAAAAAATGAAATTAGAGCACCACCTCTCACAGTGCACAAAAATCAACTCAAAAAGGATAAGAGAACTGGACATAAGACCTGAAATCATAAAATATGTAGAAGAAAATATAGGTAAAACACTACAAGACATACAAATTGATAATGTCTGTAAAGACTCATCACCCAAAGCAAAGATAGTCAAGGAAAAGATAAACACTTGGGATTACATCAAACTGAAAAGCTTCTGTACAGCACAAGAGACATTAACCAAAACAGAGACACACCCCACTGATTGGGAAAAAAATCTTTGCCTCCAGTCAACTGATAAGGGACTAATCACAAAGATGTGCAAAGAACTCACAAGACTCAACAAAAACAATGTAACAATCCAGTCAAGAAATGGGCAGAAGAACTTAAAAGACATTTCTCCAAAGAGGAAATGCAAATGGCTAGCAGGCATATGAAAAAATGTTCAACATCCCTAATTATCAGGGAAATACAAATCAAAACCGCATTGAGATGCCACCTGACACCAACAAGAATGGCACATATCAAAAAAAACAAGCAGCAACATATGTTGGTGAGGATGTGGTGAAAAAGGAACTCTTCTGCATTGCTGGTGGGACTGCAAACTGGTCCAACCACTATGGAAAGCTGTCTGGAAATTCCTCAGTCTACAAAACATGGAGCTACCATATGACCTGGCAATTCCACTCCTAGGGATCTACCAAAAGGACACAAAAACATTGATTCAAAAGACCACCTGTACCCCTTTGTTTAGTGCAGCACTGTTTACAATAGGTAAAACCTGGAAACAACCCAGATGCCCAAAAATAGATGACTGGATCAAGAAGATGTGGTATATATACACAATGGAATGTTATTCAGCAATCAAAAATGATAAACTCATGCCATTCTCAGCAATGTGAATGGAAAAAGAAGGAATTATGCTCAGTGAAATAAGTCAGAAGGAAAAAGAAAAATATCAAATGGTTTTGTTGTTAGGGGGAAAGGATGTCCTGCGCTAATTCCATACAGGCTTTGCGGACCCCACCCCCACTCCAGACTAAAGCCATCAAGACATTGAGAAAGACAAATCCCATCACCACCAAAGGGAGGGTGGCTGGGACCTGAGGGTGGAGTTGGGCAGCCAGGTTGGATATAAAAACCAAACACGTGGGCCTTGGGGGGTCGCTATCGCTCGCCTCCCAGCTTCATGGCTCCTGGCTCGCCACCAGCTCTCAGGGTGCCATTTTGGGATTCCTGATCGGCGGATCGGGTAGGACTCATTTAAAACTTTGTCTCCCACTTTTCTCCCTGAGCTGTACATTTCCTCATTTCCCCTCCCCTTGTAAATAAACCTTTTATGAACCTTTCGCGTGTGCCTGCAGTAGAGCACTGATAAGTCCTTCTAAGCGCGCAGGTGAGGACCCACAGTCAGGCACCCCGTTTTGTATCGGGGTTGCTCTACAACAGTTTCAGTTATATCAGCAATATAGGGGAACCCAATAAGAGATCAGTGTAAAAAAATAATGACAGCACAAAACACAACAAAGCATAAACAGACAATTATAAATCAGAGACATGCTGCAGGGGAGGAGGAGGGAGGGGGATCAGAGGGAGGGAGGGAGGAGCACAGGGGACTGAGGTGATGGTGCACGGGTGCATTGGTGACAGAAACTCTATGGGGACTACACCTGGGGGGGTGGGGGGAAGGAAATATTGTTTAAAAATGAACAATGATGTAAAAAAATTTTTAAAAAATAATTAAAAAAAATAAAAGACGCCTCCCCAGTGGCGCAGCTGGTTGAGTGCCGTGCTGTGAAACTGTCAGCAGCCTCTGCAGTGCGGGTTCTATTCCTGGCCCGCCAGAGAGAAACCCACATGGCGCAGCAGACCTCTTCTGTCTCTCCTGCTACTCCCCTCAGCTGTTTCTTTGATCTGTCTGCCTGTTCTGCTCCCTGCTCTGTCTCCGGTGAATTCTCTCATGCTCCTGCACCTCTGACCTGCACCCCAGTGCTTGCATAAATAAATAAAAAGAAAAAAAAGAAAATAACAGCAACTGATATTAAGAAATTATTTTGGGCCTCCCCTGGTGGCGCAGCGGTTGAGCACTGGGTTGCATGGCTGCCCACAGCCTCTGCAATGCCAGTTCGATCCCCGGCCACCGGCGAGGGTCCCACAAAAAAAAAAAAAAAAAAACAAGGGAAAAAAAAAAGGAGTTTAAACAAACACATTTTCATAGAAGATAAACAAATGGCCAATATGCCCTTGAAAACGATCTTCAATTTTAGGAAAATAAAAATCAAAACTGTAATGAGAATCTGTTTCACTTAGGATGATTATAGTAAAAAATATAGGAAACGTGTTAGGGTGTGAAGATAATCTTTTTTTTTTTTTTTCCAGAACTGCTCAAATTCTTTTAGCTCTTTTCTATTCTGAAACAAGTAAGAGCAGTTTTCTAATTAACTTTAGGTTGTAGATTATTCTGTGTATGTGTCTTTGTATGTAGGAGGAGTATTTTTTTTTTATTTTATGTTTTTTAAATCATTTTTCATTTTGCACAATGTATGCATTTTCATCTTGGTTATAGTCCCCATACAATTCCCACCTCCCTTATTTTGACCATAATCCCTGGAGGGGGAGTAACTTTAAAAGTTGTGTGGGAGCGTCTCAGGTAGAGGGATAGAAAATATATGTACATATATTCTCTAATCTATAGAATAGTTTTCTTTAAGTGCTGTATCATGTAGATTTCAACTATTTCTGCTGCCGTTGCCATGAACTCTGTCCTCTGCCTCCTTAAGTCAGTGATAATGCTGCATTTGGTTAAGGCTCCTGTTCTCTGCTGAGAATTATCTACCTATTATCTATAACAAGGATCAGTTTTTACAAAATTGACATCATGAGGAGAAAGCCAAATACATGATGATTTCACTCATGGAATATAGTGAAAAACCACCAATAAATGCACTAAAAAACTTAAGTCAAATTAAACCCTAGAAATACAACTGCAGAATGGAGGCTGCCAGAGTGGGAGGGTGGATGGAGGAGGAAACACAGAAGTGAGGGGGCACAATGGTCTATGGTAAAGAATTATGGGTCCTTAGATGGTGTGGTGGGGTGGTAACAAACTGAGCAGGTGTGAACCTATTTCCCTAAATCATGTAAAGTTTGAAAACCAATGTTATCAGTATATACATTTATAGTTCTGCATTTCTTGTTGACTTCCAGAAACCATTTCATCATGTATTTTGTCACATTATATATATTTATTAGAAGAAGTCTAGTGTGATAACATTTAATGTTAAAGTTTTGTTGGCAAAAATGGGAACTCTGTCTTCTTTAAAGGGTATAATAATTAACCCAATGATGATTACATCCAATCTCTTTGATCAGTCTTTGGAGTAATCAAAATCATGAGAAGGAAGCTATACTCTGATATATTTTTAATAAAGATGGGCTAATGGAGATTTGACATTATCTGATGAATGGCGAAGGGAAAAGAGTACTTTAAAAGTGTTGAGTCTACCATCACATAAGACGACTGAGGCATATTTTTTAATTTCATATTTTAAATGTAAATGCCAACTTACTTTATAAAATGCACACATCTTTCAGATCACGTCTAGTTAACATGTAATTCGACAGTGTTTGTTTTAAAGTTACCAAATATTTGTCTGTTTTTAGACATTAAATTTATTTGCATCTCATACCATAATTGTTGTTTTGGTGATCATTCTAATTACTTATTTTAATTTTTCACATTGTAGTTGTCTGGTTTGTTACTTTTGTTTAAGACTCCACAGATTTTATTTTTCTTATTTCTTGTAATGTCTTTATAATTGAGGGAATACCTACTTTTTGATAATATAATTGAAATTAGAACATTATTACCTTACAGAGATAATATGGAAATTTAACTTTGTTGACTATCAAAAATGTCTCATTTATTTTTAAAACAGTCCATTTTTTGCTCTATTTTTTAAATGTAAGAATTTAGTATTAGGTATTATCAATTTAATGTGTTCTACAATGCTGTTCACAATGGAGAAAGTGAAAGAAAATGCAATAAAATATATAGCATATAAATGATGTCAAATATAAAATCATTAAAACAAATTTATATGACTTTTCTATATATATTGAATTAATTTATAATGATTTATGGGATATAGTCATAGAATGTTAGAAAGCAGTTTTAAATGTAAGTTATTCATTTTGACTGCATTATTTGAATCCCAAATATTTTATAATTCAAATTACTAATGTGCACTGAATATCATTAAAAAAATTAAAAGCTACTTTTATGTCTTCAGCTAAAAATACAGATTTGTTTGTAAAACAACGTGCTCCTCCTCAAAAACATGGACTCTTGATCAGTTTCTACATTTTTATACCTTTTCTCATTTTAACTGCTATTATAGTTCTAAAATGGCACAAAATAAAGAGATGTTGGAAAAGAGAGGGAACAGTAAGTGATGGGTAAGCAACTTTATTTTTTTGTATTTAACAGTAAATGCATTATGGGAAGAATTAAAATGTAATTCAAAATATTTTAAGTAGGAATTTTTGAATAAATGGGCTAGTGTTTAGAAATATTGAGATTTAATACATATCTTTTTTTTTTTTTCCCAGAAATCAAGATGTTAGGGATCCTTCTTGTTCTTATAGATCCAGGAACAACCAAAGCTACTAAATAAATCCTCAATACCTCTCAAATAGAAAGTCATGTTGGCTATAATTGCTTTAGGAAATTCTGGTTACTTTGCAAGAAACCCCATTCTCTTTACATTGATACTTAGTTGTGCTAAGGAGATTAGTAGAGATAGGGAAGCAAGTTTTGTAAATGGAATATGCAGAAGTAGGAAAGATTCAAGATGTCAAAGAATGAGGGAGAATAGAACAGATAGAGTATTTCCCATTTTACATATAACTGATACTGTTCATATATTTCTAAAATTAGAATTAAGGTACATGAACAGCTTTTTTCTTTACCATAATAATACAAGTCCCAATTTGCTTTGAGGATATTTAGGAAAATGAGAAGCGGAAGAATAAAACAGTGGGTCTAATTGTTTCATGATAAGGAAAATAGTTCTGTTTTCTTATGTAGCTGGAAATGAAATAATAATAGAAAATTTTCATCAACACTTTTGCCAAGTTAGTTAATTTTATTTATCAATAAGTTAACAGTTAAATTCAGGGTAGCATTATGTATGATTTATTTAGACATTTACATTATCATCAAAATGTTATAAGTTGACTTAGTTGAATGGTATCTGGCATTATTTTTCCTGAGTTCCTAAGAAATCTTGGAAAAATCTGAATAGTTGTAAAAGTTATCCTGATATTTGTAGGAAATGTTATAGCAAGGGATCATTGATCACAAATGACAAAATCTGTTCATGCCAACCTATGTTTTAGAGCAATAATAAGTGGTTTCAATGCTACAAAGGTAGGAAATGATATAGTGAGGTGAAGCACAAAAGAGTGGTAATGAACTGGGTGGTAAGGAACCAGGTCTTTATCACCTAAAAGCTTTGTAATTGACATTCTTGCTTCTTATCTGTCCATTCTCTTGATTTGCTTACATATGACCTAGCATACCTATCTCAACCTTTTTTCAAATGAAAGTTAATTTTCAAATAAAACTCCAGCAGTTTGTCCATAGTTAATGCCTCTTACATACAGGAAAAAGGAAATAGCTGCATAAGTGTACCTAAGTACCTAAGTTCAGAGGTACTTAGGTATACTCTCTCTGGATTCATAACCCTGAGTTAGGTAACCAAACCTGATATTAACCATCTGTAGTCAAGGAGCTGTAGTCATGTAGTAGGAGCCTGGACACCATACCATGATCCTTCTCTTCAACAGGAACTGTGTATTCACAGGAGTTATTATATAAAATATAGAGGCTATGTAAATAACTACATTTGTCTGAAAGACAGAGTGTTCATTAATGAAAGTGAAATAGATATTTATATAGTTATTTAGTAGAAATATTAGATAACTTAAGAATTTGATATTTGGAACTAAATTATGTTTTTTACTTTGGAAAAGCATTTTCATAGATATATTTTAATATCTTCCACATAAACAAGATAAGCTAAAAGGCTGATTTTTAATTTTAAAAACGCTTAACATATTTAAAAGTTATACAAATATTAGAATAAGACCAAACACTATATGATCACTGAATAGAATATAGGAAGCAAAGTGGATGTTGGTACATATTAATTGAATGAATAGCACAAATCCAGCTATTTTAAAAAAAAATGACTTTGTTAAAGTACAATGATTCCTAACCCTAAAATTAATGTTATTTTCTTTTGTACAGATCTATACCAGAAGATAGCAGTAGTAACAGTAGTCAATGATTGGATTAAGGTGAGCTGAAGGAATTAAATTATTAACAAAGGTGATAATTCATGACACAGTTTTAAAAAAAGTAGTATAAATCCCTGTAAGAGAGATTTTAGTCCCATATTTCATCATTCTGACTCCAGTTTGTCAGTATCGAAACAAAAACTCAAAAGCATTTGATGTTAATTTTGTTTTATGCTTATTTTTAAATATTTAATGTGAACTAATATTAGCCAACACTTCTGTAATAAGAGATGACTTTAAAAGAGATTTTTAATATATTCTTAAAATATTTATAAACAATCATGCACCCTGCTCTCTTATTTAAGGTACTAATTGATAGATTTCACAGATTGTGTAATTTACATTTGTTCTTCACTAAGATTCCATTGTTAATGTTATCCTTATTTTAGAAATGAGGAAGTAAACATAAATAATTTAAGTAATGTGTTACATGTATTGGATTTTAGTAAGTTTTGTAATTGGAGTTTATTTTGAGAAAACCAGACTTAAGAATTTTAAACTCTTAAGTGCTCCACAAATTTGGCACATATGGCCTGATATGAGTGAGCATAGGGAGTGGACTTTACATTTTTTGAGAAGCTATTGGATGCCTGGCCAAATGCTAAGAGTTTTGATTTTTTTTTTTTTTGGCAGTAAAATGATACAAAGTAGAGCACATAATTTATTTTCTTCAAATGTCTAAAGAATACATGGTATTTCATATGTTAGACCCATCACAGACCAATGGAAAAATTTAAAAATTCAACCAGAGTTTGAGATCTTCTAGTTACCCATGTTTAAAAGAGAAAGATAGGCTAAAATGTAAACCCAGATACCTCTATTTCTAAAGATTGTATTGTTAATGTATTTTAAAAATTCATCTAAAAATGTATGAATATATGGAAGAAAAGACTTGTGTAAGTAATCAAGAGTCAAGAGAAGGTCTGATATGTCATGAAAAATTGTTTAAATTTTCTCATATATGAATAGGAACACCAAGTATATTTATAGTAATCAGGTAGGGATTTAGCATGATACAGTTTGCATATTTCATATGATACAGTTTAAAAATATATATTGCTGTACTATAGTTTATATAGTACACCATACTATATATGCTCATAGACACAATATACGATAGAATAAATTCACATTGATATAGTTTAGAAATTTCATTTCAATAAAGTTAGGTAAAATTCAGATTCAGTCAAAAACAGTGACTAGTAAAACAGATAAAACACTATTGAATATATAAGAAAGGTGTGATGAAGGCAGGGTTGCATAAAAGGAAAATAAGAAGACAAATTTTGAGAGATATAACAGAAGAATTGGTTGAAGTGGTAACTGGATTGATGTATCTGTGCTGAAATAAAATAAAACTACAAAGACTTAAAACATTTCTGAACAATGGATAATGACATGTTTTGCTAATGATGTATTGTCTAGTAAGTTAAGAACCAGTCTGGTGTTGGAGTAATGAAGTGGAGAGGAGTGAAGAATGACTTTGGTTTTGAACATATGTATGTATCAATCCTGTGGGAAATGCAGAGGACTTTTGGAAAAGATACAAATTAATCATTTGTTCTTCATGTCTTTCTCATTCTTTTTCACTGTTTCCTTGTTGGTGATTGCCTTTTACCCATGTAAAATTTAGTAAATATGTAAATGAGCTTATAGTATTTATTTTTGATGTGCCTATCACAAAATATTTAGGAAAAAGAAATTTGGGTTCACAAATTTCATGAATTTGGGTTCATAAATTTCATGACGCAAAGTCATAGCATGTGAGAATAATTGTTATATCTGTAGTTGTATATTAAATTAGACAGCTGTAACCATTCAAATTAACATTACTGTTTTTTTTTTTTTTCCTGGATTTTTTTTACAACAGTTACTAAACAACAATATCGAAAAGCCTTAGCTTTTAGGAAGTGTGTTACCAGGAAACTCATCATTAACTGGCTGGCCTGATGAAGGAATGAAAAAATCCTGCTTTACTCTCCTTTTGCTAAGGTTTAAAGCTTTCAGTTTCACAAATCAAAATAAATCCTGTGAGTGAAAGTACGTAGGCTTATGTCTATTGAATTTTCTACCCACTGTGACCTTGGAAATAAATAGTCTGCCTCTTTTGAAACTGGGAAAATGTTATATCCCAAGCTGAAAACATTGTATTAGCTATAGCTGCTGCCTGTCCTCAGATGCCCATGGCCACTCTAACTGCTCCCATTTGTAGAGGTTTGAATCCATAATTCCCAGAGAAGATATAAACCTAATTTAACTCAATAAACATCATTTGGAGAAAAAAATAAAGAGAGCATACCTACAGTGCACCTCTCCAATAGCACACGATTCCCCTCTCCTGTCCATCCTAGACTTTGGACTATGATAGTAGGCGTTGCCAGGTAAGGACAGTCCAGAGCCACCAACATCATCACTAACATCCATTCTATGTTCAAAGGAAATTAATATTTATACTGTGTTCCTGGTCTTAGATACCTTTTTTTTAAGATTTATTTATTTATGCATACAAGAGCTGGGGTACAGGCCAGAGGTGTAGGGGGTGAAAGGACTCACCAGAAACAGAGTGGGGAACAGAACAAGCAGATTGAAATACACTGCTGAGGGGAGCAGCGGGCGAGTCAGGAAAGGTCTGCTGCACCATGTGGGTAGCTCCCTGGCCGGGGATCAAATTCATTCTGTAGTGGCTGCGGATAGATTCATAGGTTGCATCTTAACCCCTTGCGCCACCAGGAAGGCCAGACTATATCCCCCAGGTCCCTGGTACAGGTCCCAAGGCCAAGAAACAAGCATGGCTTCTTCACATGTCTCTGGTCCACATGTTCCTCAAGTTTTCTCTTCCTGCAGCCTTCTTTCTCAATCCCATTTTAGCTTCCGCTGGCTGCTTAGTTCCAGTCTTCTTAGGTAGGCCAGAGAACCCAGAAGCTCCTCTTTGGGGAATTACACTGTTATGACACTGTACCCATCACAAGACACCCATAGTGGTCCATCACAGTTCATTGTGAACTTAACCCTTTCCTGCTCCACCCTCCCTGTCTCCCTTGGGTAGCATCAGTTTTATGGTCAGATTCCTAGGGTTTGATTTTGGTTTGGTGCTCTCTGACTCTTTGTTTTGTTTCTCTATATTCTATATTTGAAAGAAACAATCAGATATTTATATCTATCCCCTCCAGTTCCATCCCCGTTGTTACAATTGGCAAGAGCTCATCTTGTTTTGTAGCTGAGTAGTGTTCTATTGTGTTGTGTGTGTGTGTATGTATGTATGTATGTGTGTATACCACATCTTTTTTTTTAAATTTATTTATTTATACAAGCACTGGGTACAGTCAGAAGCGTGGGAGGGTAAGAGAATTCACCAGAGCCAGAGTGGGGAACAGAACAGGCAGACTGATGAAATACACTGCTGAGGGGAGCAGCAGGCGCAGCAGGAGAGGTCTATTGCACTGTGTGGGAATCCTGCTGGCTGCTAGGGATCAAATCGGCACTGCAGAGGCTGCAGGCAGCCTCGCAGCCCAGTGCTCAACCACTGCGCCACCAGGGGAGGCCCTATACCACATCTTTTTAATGCACTCATCTGCCCTTACGCATTGAGGTTTCTTCCATAACTTGGCTATTGTAAGTAGTACTGCAGTGAACATAGGAGTGCATAGAAGAACACATAGTGCATATAGAGCAAAAATTAATGTTTTTTCATTCTTTGGGTACTTAGGTGTGATCTTGCTGGATCTTGTATTAGATCTATTTTTAATATTTTGAGAAATATCCCTATTTTCCATAGAGGCTGGACTTTTCTGGGTAAGATTTCCTTGCTTGAGTTCCCCCTCACCTTTTCTGTGATAAATGAAGTTCTGCATAATTTTAAGCAAATTTACCTGGGTTAGGGAATCATCAGCCTTATTGGAGTCTAATTAAGACCTATCGAGTCTCCATCAATAAACAAATATGCTCCTGGGTTAAGAGTGGGAGTGTCTCATCATGGAGGACAAGAGTTTCCAAATGTAGGGCCTCCCCAGTGGTGCAGCGGTTGAGCACTGGGCTGCGAAGCTGCCCGTAGCTTCTGCAGTGCCAGTCGATCCCTGGCTGCCTTACGAGGGTCCCACATGGTGCGCAGACCTCTCCTGCCGCCTGCTGCTCCCCTCAGCAGTGTACTTTGTCAGTCTGCCTGTTCTGCTCTCCCCTCTAGCTCTGGTGAATTCTCTCACCCTCCCACGCTTCAGACTATACCCAGTGCTTGTATAAATAAATAAATAAATAAATCTTTAAAAAAAAAAGTTTCCAAATGTCCAACAACTGATGAATAGATAAAAAAAGTGGTCTATCAATAAAAATGGAATATTATTCAGCCATAAAAAGGAATGAAACACTGATACTGCTAGGACATGAATGAACTTTGAAATTATTATGCTAAATAAATAGATCATCAGAAGATACCTGTATTATTAACTTGTGAGAATTATTCAGAATAAGGACATCTATAAAGACAAGTTTTAATTGTTACAAATCCACGAGACAAGAATGGATAACCACAGCACACACTAGGATCATCAATTTGGCAGAATAAGATAGGAAAAACTTCAAGTGAACTTTGTTTACAGTGATGATGGGGGAGTATAGCTTACAAAATACAACCAAGGGCCCCAACAACAGATAAACAGAAGCAATGGAGAGAACTAATGAATGAGAAAATACAATGTTGGTGAACACAAGAATAAAACAGAGGAAAAAAAATTAAAACAAACCAGTATAAGTGCCCTCTGCAACAACTTAAAAAGAAATAACATTACAGGCACGAAGGAACTAGAGAGAGATATCTAAAGTAACTGAGGAAAAATATTTCCAACCTAGAATCCTTTACCCAGCAAGAGTAACATTCAAAGACCGAAGAAAGAGTAGGAGCTTCACTGAAAAAAACTAAAAAGTCATTAATACCAAGTCATACAAAGAAATTCTAAAGGAAGTACATAATACAATTAATAACAACACGATATTACTAGAGGATGTTAATAGCTCACTTACAACAATGAACAGATTAACAGGACAAACATAACGATAGCTTTAAATGAGGATAGAGACCAGATAGGTCTAACAGACATCTACAGAACATGCCACAAACAAACAAACATATAAATAAAAAATGCTGCATACACTTCTTTTTTTAAAGTGTACATGAAACATTTTTAAGAATAGACCCTATCTTGGTGCACAAGTCAATTATCAATTAAACTGAAGATAGTGATTTTTCAGGTAGAACTAAATGCATTCTTTTTTGGGTATATACTATCTCGCAAAGTTTTATAAGAGTATTTATCATATTAAGGCTTTTTAATTTATCTCAACACCATGCAGTCACTGGTGTCTGGGATGGCTTTATTTACCTTACTAAACATGCCTGCACGTGCTCAAAAGTGTTAATGAATGAATGAGAAAAGTCTAGTTAAAAGAGAAGAGGGTGAGTGACAGATCTTGAGTGTTATAGTAGAGAAGGCCTAAAGAAGATGGGTGTGTAGATGGAGACATAGAGAAGTTACTGGTGGAGTGCTAGGGAGAGAGAATTTAAAAAGTAAAAGAAGTTGGTGGAAAGGGAAACTTAAAGAAAAAATCTTCACCATTAAACATACCTGAATGCTGAAAAAACATGCCTGCTAGGTTTTTGGTTTTTTGTGTTTTTTTTAAGATTTATTTATTTATTAATACAAGCAATAGGTACGGTCAGAAGCGCGGGAGGGTGAGAGGATTCACCAGAGCCAGAGCGGGGAACAGAACAGGGAGACCGACGAAATACACTGCTGAGGGGAGCAGCGGGCGGCAGGAGAAGTCTGCGTGCCATGTGGGACCCTCACCCAGGGTCTGGGGATTGAACCAGCGCTGCAGAGGCTGCAGGCAGCCTTGCAACCCAGTGCTCAACCGCTGTGCCACCAGGGAGGCCCCCTGCTAGGTTTTTTAGACATGAATTTCTTTTTCCTTACTAATAACTACTCACACTGTTTCTTTTTCTGTACCCTTGCCCCTTAGGGAACAGAATTTCTTCTAAGGGAATCTCCCTAAATAAGTAAATAAATAAATAGTGAACTGTGTGGTTTAAATGAAAAATACACATCAAGATGATTCTACAGTAATTTTGCCACACACTCTTTAAGGTCATGAGGATCATTTGCCTGCCATATTTTTAATAATTTCTGAGAAACAGTTTCCCAGCTGCATTACTACTTAGCAATTCCAAACATTAGGCCTACTGGAGTTTGTTTTTCCAACTGTAGATACAATTAATGCCTCCAAAACGGTGTACTGTGATAAAAAAATTTTTTTTGGGTGAGTGGTGGGATAAAATTGAGTTACAGTTTGAATTTGAGCAGTCTAAGATACCAGTCAGAAAATTCAAAGACAATGGCATATTCTACAGTAGTATCACTTTACCTCTCTCAGGTTTTCTTGATGACAGTTCCATCCTTACAACTTTCTTGTTAGTGCTGGCATTTATAGTTTACTTCCTCTTTCCTCAACCAAATAACCTAATATTACAAGAACAGGCATGCAAATGGAACACTTGTCCTAGGATCTAGTCCGAGGATCAAGTTCAATATTTTTGACTTTACCTGAGCTGGAAAGAATAAATAAGGTTGGTACTAACAAACATACTAACAGAAAATTTCTCGTAAAAATAATTACAATTTCTATTTTCCTCCCACGATAAATAAAACGCTAAAATATACAGTGATGTGGAGTAATAGAATTGCCAAGAAATTCACCAGAAAGGCAGAGCATGCCCATGTCACTAGTGCATGGCTTAACTATGTAAACCTTGTCATAAGAAACAAGTTGTGTATAAATACATACGCTTATTTCTGGTGCTAACTCTTCCTGTCTGTTGGAAGCTTCCCAGCCACTCAGGATTGCTAAGGCTGGGAATATCGAAACTGCAGCTCTCACTCCCACAGTAAAGCACGCTTTACGCTTGAGTAGTCCTGCCCGCGAGCCTCGGAGCTGCCCAACGGCCTCCAACTACCTTGACTTTGCTTCCTGTGCTCTGGCCCAGCCATGTTCCTTCTCTTTGCTCTGCTCACTGAGCTTGGAAGTTTGCAAGCCCACCTTGGTGAGTCCAGGGAACCTCCACTTCCTTCTCCTGGTGTCTCTCAGCTGAGCTCTTTCTAGAGAACAATTTCCTGTAGCTGTGGCACCCTCGGCTCACTTCTCGGATACCCCGCAGGTGCCTTCTGTTGTGTTGCCCCTATCCTAGACCAGGGTAGGTGTCTGAGGATGTTAGCCATGAAGTCCACTCTCAGCTTCAGGGGTCCAGGGACTCAACAGCTAAGACACAGCCCATCTTCCTGGGTCACCGCTCTTTGGCGTGGGGCATGGGGCGTAGTATCCTCATTCATTCCTCAAAGTTCTGAAGGAAACAGGACCCAACATGTTTCTAAAAAGGAACAGGATGGTCCTATGAAACTGAAACATCTATGGTTTGTTTGTATCTTAGCACTTCTCAATGTGCCCCTGAAACAAATCTAATGAAAGTTGTGGGTCGAGAAGGAGGCTGGGCTCACATAAATAAGTTTTCAAACAACTTTAGACACATGGACTCAGAATAATAAGTCATGCTATATTCAGGTGATTATTTTTGCAATCAAAACAAATATTTTCTTCCTGTAGATGCTGAGGGAATATTTCTGCATGTCACCATTCCACAGAAGATAAGGTCAAATGAGAGTGAAGATTCAGAGAAACAAGTAAATGATACAGATATTTGCTTTATTATTTAAAATTTTAATATACTTTTTATTTACTGTTGTACTCAGATCATACTGAATTGTAGTTGCTCTCAAAGCGAAATAATTTCACTGGGCTGTTTTGTCTTTTAATACATTTTGATTCTTTTTTGCTAACACATCTATTTACTTCCGTCCCCTTCCCTACATCTTTGCATTATCTTCTGAGATACTTGTTCACAGTTATCAGGAAATATTAAGCACTTTTCAGGAATCATAAGGGTACAAAATATTAATGTGATAAAAGTGTAACAATGAGGTAGACTTCAATTCATAAAAAATTATTGACAGCTAAGTGACAGAAACTGGTGTAGAAAAAAATTATACCTACAAATTTTGACTCTGATTATGTCTGATTATGATGAAAATTATGTCTGATTATGATGAAAAAGATCACAATAGGTAAATATTTACTGGGAAAACAACATTACTGACCATATAAAAAGAGATTAGATTGAAGTCATTCAAATTTGAATATTTTCTTGATTAAAATAATTCAAATAGCATAGTTATGTTTTTATATTATACACCTTAAGTCACAATACAGTGTTCCATGTCCTTAAAGTGGTGGTGGTCAATGTTTGATAATACTGAGGACATTTTTACATGGTGAAGGAATAATTTTGGAAATAACAATAAGTAAAAACATTAAGAATCCATTAACTCTGTTTTGCATACAGTATTGGAACCTACAATGATTATGTTCTATTTGTGAACAACTTTAATAAATTGTACTGTGAAATTAAGTAAATGTACTATAAATAGACTGTGAAATTGTACTTAAAAATCGCAATAAAATAATTTCCTTTAGAGAATTTGTAAAGGCTTTTCATCTACTAACCTGTATTTTTCATGGGGTTGATACATTTCGAAGTCTCTCTTAAACTTCTCCCTCCTGTAAAACCATGTTCTTCATGTATGAAATAATCAGTTATAAAGAATTTTATAGTTTTTGATACATAGCAGAAAATAAGTTTCTGGAAAGGTTCTAAAAATTTGTGCTGCCAGCAGTGAGATGAGAATGCTCATTTCATCCCAGTATTTAATATTATTAAAGTTTTTAAAATTCAGTTTGATTGGTGAACGATGGCACTATACTGCTGTTTATCTTGCATTTCAATTATTATGTGCATGAATAAATATTTTTGCACATGCATATTAATTGCCTATATTTCTTTTCTGAAAATAAAAATAGGGGAGGAGGCAAAGTTGAAAAGAGATAATCCACAAAAGAATATGTTCATTTTTTTAAAATGGATTTTTTTTGGCTTGAGTAAAATAATGCTGTTTTACTTTATATAGTTATGTATTTACTTATAAGCACCATGATAACTTAAATTACAATAAATATATATTTACTAAATCATATTTTGCTTTATTTTAGGTGACTTATAGCATCACAATTGATGAAAAACAATACATTCTGCATCTCAGAAAGCAGTAAGAGATTTTACTTTTTTAAATTTTAGAATTTACTTTTAAATGTTCTTTAATTCAAGAATTCAGTATATCAAAGACTACTCAATTCATTTTTCAATTTGGGATTCACTTGGTCTTGAATATTAGATCTCTTACATGATATATTATATCTGAATATTATATATATTCAGCTATATATTATAGCTGAATATTTATAATTATTCAGCTTATTTTCAAATTAAGAAATAAGATACAAATTTTCAAATCTCCAATTGAATATAAAGCAGACCCAAGATCTTCAAGTTATATATTTGGCTTATCTGATGTGAAAGCAAACATTTTTGTGTGTCAAGTTATTGGTAGGAAATTCAACTAGTGGCATATATTTTATTGATGTAATACATGTTTATATGTTTATTGATGTAATACTAATATATATATTTATTTTTAACAACTTTACTGGATGAATTTTATATATCATGAAACTCATTTTGTTGTATCAATCAATAATTTTTAATAACTTCATTCAATCTTGAAACCGTCAACCGTAAGTCAGTGTTAGACTATTTCACTTTGTATATGTACCACATCTTTTTGATCCATTCATCTGTTTTGAAACATCCAGTGTGAGATTGAAAATGGACCAGTATGGCTTGGAAAATGGACCAATTTGATTGGCACTTGACCAGCACTGATCAAATAGTGGGGATTGGAAACCTGTTGGCTCCTAGTAGCTCTGTACAAAAACATAAACTCATGCCATTTGCAGCAACATGGATGGAGCTGGGAGGGATTATGTTAAGTAAAATAAGTCAGAAGGAGAAAGATAAATATTGGATAGTTTCACTTATATACAGAATAGAATCAGAAACCAAAGGGTCAGGAAAAAGACAAAATTTGCAAACTGACTATAGATCTGAGGCATAAGGTAGGGGAAGGGGCAGGACAAGGGTCAAAACAAGGGAGGGAAGAACATAAGCAACCGTGGTGATAGTTGACGGGAACTACAGGGACTAAATCTGAAGGGAGAACTCAAATACTGTCCAAAAATTAATAATGATGTAAGAAAATAAATGTAAAAAATAAATATATTTAAAAAAATTAAACCTCACCAGTGTATCTGACCTGACCTATACTGTGGTCAGGCTTCAAAACTGAACACCAGGAGACCCCTAGGCATTTGTGTGAGCTTGAACCTGATCAGTCCATTTAGGATCCTGGCGCCAGGTATAAAATGGAAAAGCCCAGCCCCTGCCTGCATTGAGGTCAGGTCAAGGCTCCAAGGAACCATGGCCAAAGCTGGCCTCAGTGGGGTGGGAGGCAAACTGTATCTGGCACCCCTCAGAGAGGCTAGGTGTAACAATTTAGGGAACCCTGCTTCATTTGTAAACCCAAAGCATTTTTCTGGTCTTTGCATTTTCTGCTAACTTGGATAACATTTCCATGTAAATCTGGCTTTTTCTTCAGTTCTTTAATCATCTGTTCAGTGAAACTCTCTATGCACTCCTATAGACATTTTGCCATCAACCTCTCAGAACCTTATTTATTATCATTTAACACTCAAGCAGTATTTGTTCCTCACTGTTGTGAAGACCCGTGGTTTTGTCTTTTGTTTACTGCTATATGCTTAGAAGATGATCTGTCAGATAGAAATCAGTATGTATTTGTTGATTAAAGACATATATATATATATATATATATATATAGGAATACATATATCTGATATAGAACAATCAGAGTCTATTGCAGTATAAAGAAAGCCTGAATGCTGATATTTAAATTGTTATGTTACATTAAAATTACTCTAGATTGTATTATATAAATCCTATATATTTAGTATCTATTTTTATCACTTTCATGTTTGTATTTATATTAAATTTTTATTTTTTTAAGATTTATTTATTTATGCATACAAGCACTGGGGTACAGGCCAGAGGTGTGGGGGGGTGAGAGAATTCACCAGAAACAGAGTGGGGAACAGAACAGGCAGATTGACTGAAATACACTGCTGAGGGGAGCAGCAGGCGAGTCAGGAGAGGTCTGCTGCGCTATGTGGGTTGCTTCCTGGGCGGGGATCAAACTCGTGCTACAGTGTCTGCAGACAGCTTCATACATTGCATCTTAACCCCTTGCGCCACCAGGGAGGCCCTATATTAATTTTTTTAAAGATATATTTATTTATTTATGCATACAAGCACTGGGTATAGTCAGAAGTGCGGGAGGGTGAGAGTATTCACCAGAGCCAGAGCAGGGAACAGAACAGGCAAAGTGACAAGATACACTGCTTAGGGGAGCAGCGGGCGGGGCAGGAGAGGTCTGTCGCACCATGCGGGACCCTCGCTGGTGGCCGGGGATTGAACCGGGCTGCAGAGGCTGCGGGCAGCTTCACAGTCCAGCGCTCAACCACTGTGCCACCAGGAGAGGACCCCTATATTAAATTTTTAACAATTTTTTATTTTTTGTTTTTCTTAGCTCATTCTTATCCCAGAACTTTTTGGCTTATACATATAATGAAACTGGGTATTTGCATTCTGATTCTTCATACATTAAGGTAAGATTTAGATGCCTCAGTCATTTGTTATATATGTTTCTTTACTGAAGTGGACATATAAAATCTTTGGGATATTTAGTAAATTTATTTTACTTTCTGTAACTGTGACCTGTTATATGGTTGACTATTTTAAAATTGTGGTGTCTTTTTTTTTTTTTTTTTTTAATAGAGGCATGTTTATTTATTTATTTATTTATTTGGTTGGTTGGTTTTTGTTTATACATGCACTGGGTACAGTCAGAAGCGCGGGAGGGTGAGAGAATTCACCAGAGCCAGAGCGGGGAGCAGAGCAGGCAGAAGGACCGAAGTGCACTGCTGAGGGGAGCAGCGGGCGGCAGGAGAGGTCGCGCGCCATGTGGGACCCTCCTCCGGTGGCCGGGGAGCAGCCGGGGATCGAACCGGCGCCGCAGAAGCCGCGGGCAGCTTCGCAACCCAGCGCTCAACCGCTGCGCCACCGGGGAGGCCCTATGGTTGACTATTTTACATAGAAAAGTATGTGATAGAGATGAAACCCAGGCCAAAATAAGTTCATGGGCACCCAATGTTTTCTCTAATGTTTAACAATACATTTTTTATTTATAAATTATTTACTTGTCTTTCTATATTATGTTTTAGATGCATTGCCATTACCAAGGATCTGCTTCAGGTTTTCCAAATTCAGTTGCAACACTCAGCATCTGTTCTGGACTCAGGTAGCAGCTGAGGGCTACTTGTACATGGAAAACAGGACATACTTCAAAATGAATATGGGAAAGTTTAGTGAAACCTAAACATGAAAATTTATGATAACCTTAATTTTATTAATAATAGGTTTAGTAATTGGACCTACGTGCCAATTAAATGAAATCATTCCAGAAGATCCTGACCCGAGCCATATTTGAAAAGATTGTGCAGAGGGGGAAAGTTTCAGTAAAAGGAACTATGGAACATCTCCATAAATATTATGCTTGCATTATCTATCAGTTATCTCCAAAAAACTAGTTATGGAAAATGAAATTAATTACTTAAAGAATAGCCACATATTGTATGCTGTCAGTTTAGATGCACACAGTATCAGATATAAAATAAATACTAAAAAGTTTTCCATAAGGATGAAGGGCCAGGAATAATTGGTTTTCATCATCGATGTTGAATGGAAAAAATTGGTAAGTTTACTAGAGGTCAGGTGTGTCCAGAGGAGCAAAATGAGGCACTCCCTTGCTTCTGGTTACCTGATTTACAGAATTTTCTCATGTCAACTGAAAAATATCATGGTGTGTGAGTGTGGTTTTTATAGATATCAAACACTTTAGATGTCTGCTCTACATAGCTGCCTTCCTTTATTCTACTGTAGCAGGAACTCTATTCTTGGGATTCTCAACAACAAATATCTTGGTTCCCAGCAAATACATGGCCTTAATGAACATATTTTTAATGTATGTAAGTACTATACTAAAATGGCAAAATATTTTTCATTATGTCAATTCTTCAAAATGTTAGCAAAACTAAGGCAGAATTGGTGACTCAGTTACTGAAAAAGCAAATAGAAGACTTCTTCCCAAAGGACACCTTTTTTTATATGATATGGTAAAAAGAGTATAGGGTTTAAGAGTTAAGAACATGTGTTTTAAAATATTATTTAATTTTATACTAAGTATAATACTAAGTATACTAAGTATAATCTTATACTTAGTTTCTTATCTGCAAAGTGAGCATAAGTGAAAATAGCACTTGGGTTGTTGTGAAATCATGGAAGCAGGTAAGGTTTCTAGGACCTGGTTAAAGCCAGGCACTAAACACATGCCCTCTTTCTCCCCTTATCATTCTGCTCTGTAGTTAGATGACTATGCATTTGACTTATTTTCCCTTAAGGGCCCCCAGCTTTAATATCTACCTCGGACTTCTTATTCCCACAGCATATGCTGGATAAACATACACAGGCTGAAATGGTGTAACTTAATATATTGACTTATTTTTCTGCTTTTGCTAGGATATTTTGCATAGCATCTCTTTGGAGACTTTTAGAATCAACAAGTGGGCTATACGCTCTTGAAAGCACCTATCTGGCCACTATGATCCTATTCCACCAACTTTATTTGCTTGCTGTTTTTCCTATTTTAGTCTTTGTTTTTGAATATATTGCTTCTTATTGAGGTAATATGAGTTTATAACATTGTATGTGATGTAATGGAGTCGGTGCACACCTCTTCAGATGTTTGTTGCCATACTGCACACAGCACCAAAGCACCCAGAGTCCTCTACCACAGTCCATTGGGTCCCCTCCTTACATTTGCTCCTCAACCCCAGATATCTCTATTTAGTAGCCTCAGTTCTATAGTCAGGTAGCTGCTAGGGTTTGTTTTTTGCCTAGTTTTCTCTGTTCTTTGTTTTGTTTGTATCCATAGGCTGGATCTGTTTTTAAGTGGCATAGATTTATGGGTGTTCTAGAATTAAAAAATAGGAGGATTTTGTGTACTTCAAACTCCTGCATATGCAATGTTTTTTGTTTCAACTAGAGGCCCTTTACTCCAGGTCAAACCCTCCCTACCTCCACCTCAGCTCTACCCAGCTTACTCGAGACCCAAGAAGCATTACCTAGGTCCACGGTCACCAAAGAACAGTGTCACACGGTGCAGTGCCTGTAACTTCACAAACACTGCACAGTTAGTCACAAACTCAGGTCTTGCAAGAATGTAAAGCAGTTGGCACTCTAATGTTGGTGAGAATGTAAAATGGTGTCAGCACGTTGGAAAACAGTTTGACAGATTCTTAAAAAATAAATGTGTGTGTGTGTATGCATGAGAAGCAAAATGATGTCATGTGATCCAACCACTGCATTCCTAGGCATTTTCCCAGGAGAAATAAAGTGTATGTCCATACAAAGGCATGAATGTGAATGTTACATAATGGCTTAATTTGTGATCACCCCTAAATATAACCAAATGTCCACTAACAAGTAAATGGATAATTTGGTGTATAGAATCTATGGAATATTCTTTATCAGTGAAAAGGAGTGATCTGGATAAATTTCAAAATAGTTATGCCAGACCAAAAGAGGAGTCTATATTCTATTATTCTGTTTATATAAATTTGTAGGAGCTAGGCAGGAAAGACAGATTACAAAGAGCACCAGAAAATTTGGAGGAGCCTATTTTTTTCTAGTGTCCATAACACAATACCACAGACTGGCTGGCTTAACCAACAGTTTAACAGGGTAGTGATCAGTTTTGTTATGATAGTGAATTGATTGTGGTTCTAGTTACAGCACTTGTCAAATCGTATACTTTTAATATGTCTAAGCTTTTTGTATGTCAGTTTTAATAAAGCAATAGAAAGAGAAAATGAGTTTAAAATGTGTCCTTTCTCTGATACCTCATGTCTCAAAACATTTCATATTACAGCTTTGGAGGGATCATATGCAGGCATTTTCTATTATTTTCTAAACATTCAGGGGATTCCTTCAGTTTGAAAATATCAGCTATGGAATTGAGCCATTGCAATCCTCAGCAAGATTTGAACATATAGTTTATCAAGTGAAAAATGACAATGCAGATATACCAACATTAGCAGGAAATTACAGCAATATTTGGAAGAAAGATCAGCCCTCTAAAGATCTCTTAAGTTCACAGGTAACTATGGTGAACCTCATATTATGATTTATTGTGAAATTATTTCTGCAGAATTTTGTTAATCATGACAAAAGTAATGAGCTGTCAGTAGATATATATATCTTAAGTTCACAATTAACTGTGGTGAATCTCGTATTATGATTTAATGTGAAATTGCTTCTGCAGAATTTTGTTAATCATGACAAAAGTATTTAGCTGTCAGTAGATATATTTAAGTGGATATCCCTCTACATTTTTAAGTAACAAACATCCAAATCCACCTAAAATATATGCAAAATAATTATTTCAAGTTTATTTTTGCAGGGTGTAATGTAACATTTCTTATGTTCTACTTTATTCAAACAAAAATGTGTATTATTGAATATACTTTGCAAATACAAGCAGAACAGAGTCACATTAGTTAACACTCCACTGGGGAAATTACTTTTAATATTTTGATACATGGCTTTACATACTACTTAAATCTTTTTATTTTTTCAATTTTTTAAAAAGATTTATTTTTATTTATTTATTTATTTATTTATTTATTTATTTATTTATTTATTTATTTATACAAGCACTGGATACAGTCAGACGTGCGGGAGGGTGAGAGAATTCACCAGAGCCAGAGTGGGGAGCAGAACAGGCAGACTTGACAAAGTACACTGCTGAGGGGAGCAGCGGGTGGCAGGAGAGGTCTGCGCGCCATGTGGGACCCTCGCCCAGTGGCCGGGGATCAAACCAGCACTACAGAGGCTGCGGGCAGCTTTGCAACCCAGCGCTCAACTGCTGTGCCACTGGAGAGGCCCAAGAAATCTTTTTAAAATAGATAACATTTGTTTGTTTTTGTTGCGTCTCATCAGCTCTTTGTAGATTTTTGTGGTCAGTCCTTTATCATTAGTGTTGGATGCAAAAATTTTCTCCCAGTCGGTGGGGTTTCTCTTTGTTATTGTTATTGTCTCTTTTGCTGTGCAGAAGCTCTTTAATTTGATGTAGTCCCAGCTGTTGATCTTTGCCTTCACTATCACTGCTTTGGGTGATGTGTCTGTGAAGATGTCTTTGATGTGCATATTATGGAGTGTTTCGCCTATAATCCAGTCAAAAAATGGGCAGAAGATCTCAAAAGAAATTTCTCTGAAGAGGAAATGCAAATGGCCAACAGGCATATGAAAAAATGTTCAACATCACTTGTAATCAGGGAAATGCAAATCAAAACTACAGTGAGATACCATCTTACACCAGTGAGAATGGCACATATTAAAAAAACTAGCAACAACAAATGTTGGCGAGGGTGTGGAGAAAAAGGAACTCTTCTGCACTGTTGGTGGGAGTGCAAACTGGTCCAACCACTATGGAGAGCTGTGTGGAGATTTCTGGACCTACTAAACATAGAGCTTCCATATGATCCAGCAATTCCACTCCTAGGTATTTACCCAAAGGACACAGAAACATCAATTCCAAAGAGCACCTGCACCCCTATGTTTATAGCAGCACTGTTTACAATAGCTAAGCTTTGGAAACAGCCCAAATGCCCAAAAATAGATGACTGGATCAAGAAGATGTGGTACATATACACCATGGAATATTACTCAGCATTCAAAAAAGATAAACACATGCAATTTGCAGCAACATGGACGGCGCTGGAAGGGATCATGCTCAGCGAAATAAGCCAGAAAGAAAAAGAAAAATACCGGATGGTCTCACGCATAGCAGGAATTTAGAAAACTTAAATAAGAGACCAGGAAAAAGAATAATTATAAGAAAGAAAATATCAAAATCAACAAATAACTATGAACCAGAGACACTCTATGGGGGGTGGCGGGCGGGGAAAGGAAGGCTTGGGGTGAAAATAAGGGGGTTGTAATTGTATGGGGAATATAAAAATAAAATTTAAATTAAAAAAATAAAAATTAGATAACATTTATATATTATTAAACTCCCTTAATTTGCTTTTGGTACAATATAAAATTAAATCTTGCTTGACAGACTTTTTCTTTCATCATTATGAATATTTCAATATCTTCTGGCTATTGATAAAAATTAACTTCTTATTCTTATTGAGGATTCCATATACGTGAAGAGTCATTTGTCATTTGCTTCTTTCAAAATCCTCCCTTTGTCTTTTTTGGAATATCTTTTCTTATGCTCTTTTGAGGGATTCTCTTTAAGTTTATCCTACTTGGACTGCATTGAAATTCTTGGATGTGTAAATTAGTAGTATTCATCAAATTGCAGAAATTTTGACCGTTGCATCTCTGGATATTCTTTCTGCCCTTTTAACTGTCTCTTTACTTTCCAGTACACATTGTATACAGCCTCACAGGTTTAATAGATCCTGTTCATTTTTCTTCATTCTTTCTCTTCTTCCAAGTGTATAATCTCAGTTGATCTGTTACTAAATTACCGGGTTAATCCTGTCTACTCAGATCCATCACTGAACCTCTCTAATAGACATTGTCTTTCAGTTATTGTATTTTCCAATATCAGAAGCCCAAGTTACCTTTTGTAATTTCAATGCCTTTATAGATATCCTGTACTGAGTAAAGCAGAATTATAAAACTTTGTTATTTATTGATAATGGTGTTTTAAGATTTAAAAATTACTTAAAATACAATTTAAAATATGTATTTATCTAACATCGTGATTTTCTCAAAGGCAGTTTCTATAGATTGCCTTTTTTTCCACCTGTGTGTGGGTAATATTCTTGTGGTCCCTTTTATGTCACATAATTTTTTTTTGAACACTGAAACTGGTCACTGAAAATAATATAAAGTGATAACTTTGAAAATGAGCTTTTATTTCCCTTCCAAATATTAATGCTATATTTTTGTAGTTGTGTGTTTTGTGAATTTTTTGACTGATTCTCTGAAGTCCATGTGCTTTGTTGTATATAGTCACTGAAGGGTGTCTTGTGTTATCTTATTGGTGGGTTAATGGTTGGACAGAGAGTTCTTTAAATGCTTGGAAACAATAGGTCTCCCAGTCTTTGCTGAGGGTCTCTGTGTACATGTTGAGCCAGACTTATGTCACACAGTTGCCAGCGACTTAGCACCTCTGCCTCATGTTTCATCAGAACCTCATCCTGAGATGAGGAGTTAGGGCCCTTGAAGACTTTTCTGTGCATGTACACAGCCTTGGTCTTACACGTAAGCCTACATATGTCTACATTCTTCTTGATTCCTAGATATTTGTCATTATTTTTCAAAACTCCAAGTTGGCATCTCATTCTCAAGCGTTTCCTTTTTAGTTTCTTTGGTTGGTCCATCATTTGCCCTACTGTTCACTGTGACTGACAACTCAGTTAAAATAAATGCCTGTAATCATTTTCCACAAATGACTGTGTGGAGGGGAGGAAGGAAAGATTTCACAAGTGAGATCTTCAGATCACATACAGGCAAGCTTGAAAAGGGTCTTCTAGAAAAAACAAAATAGGTTAAATAATGACATTTTTCTGGAAATACGATTTTGAAGATCTGTAGCACAATTATTCTGATTTTTTTTGAGATTGCATTTTTGCTCAGCTTATCACAAAGACAGGGTAGTAGTTTTCAGCTAATGAAAAAAGGGGAAAACACAAATTCAGATCCCATAATGGTCACTATTAACTAGTTATTTTTCTTAAATAATTCCAGGATGCTGAAAGTACTTGTTTATATTATAGAACTCTAAAAAAGTTAACTCTAACAATTTTTTTGCTAGTTTCTCTATTGTTTTATGCAGAAGTGAATCTTTGAAGGTTCTCACTCTGAGTTTCATTGGCTTGATTCCACTAATTGAATTTTAAATAACATGTATTCACTTATAATTTTTTTTATATTGTAAAGGTTTTTATTATCTAAAAGTCTGCATGCCTTTTACCAAGTAAAATGGTTGACCTTTTCATCTTTTTTCTAGGTAAAAAATGAGATAAGGGCCTCCCCGGTGGCGCAGCGGTTGAGCGCTGGGTTGCGAAGCTGCCCGCAGCCTCTGCAGCGCCGGTTCAATCCCCGGCTGCTCCCCGGCCACCGGAGGAGGGTCCCACATGGCGCGCAGACCTCTCCTGCCGCCCGCTGCTCCCCTCAGCAGTGTACTTCAGTCCTTCTGCCTGCTCTGCTCCCCGCTCTGGCTCTGGTGAATTCTCTCACCCTCCCGCGCTTCTGACTGTACCCAGTGCATGTATAAACAAAACAAACAAACAAATAATAAATAAATAAAACATGCCTCTATAAAAAAAAAAAAAAAATGAGATAAGTTTGATTAGATAGTATCAATTAAGAAAGAACTTTTAAAGCAGGCAGCTAGTCTTTGAGACAAGTTTCTTCATTAGAACAATGGAGAATAAAGAGGACAGAAAAGAAAGCAGGGTACTATTGTAATTAATGGCCTAAGGAATAGAGATTAGGCCCAAGTATAGCACACCTCAACAAGGTATGGTTGTGACGTGGTAGAGTGTCTTGTTGATTTATGACGTGGCAACTCATGACTGTGATTTCCATCAGCTGCAGTCACTAAACTGAGCAGACCTAGGGGCTCATGAAATAGATCTTGACTTAAGGAGTTCAAAATCTAGCAGGAGAGGCAAATAAGGCACTGATTATGGTGGCATATTCAAAATACTTTAAAACACAAAGGAGCTTCTGCTTGAGTGACGGAAACAATGAGGAGCTCACTTTTGAGGTGACATGAATTGAGCCTTTGTATTCACTTATATTTTTATATAACATAGTTTTTAATTTCCCTTTTTTCAATCTTCCATTGACTCATGGGAAATTTAGAGATGTGCATTTAGGTGACTCTAAGTATCTTTTTCATGCTGATTTTTCATTGATTTTGTCATGATCTGGTGATATATTGGACTTCAGTGTGTATGTTTTTCTGTATAGCATGTAGTTATTTTGGATAGTGTTATTACATGTGTTTATCAGTTCAGTTTTTTTTTTTGTATTGTTCAAAATTTCATCTTTTTTTCTTGTAGGGAATTTTTAGTTTATATTGTTGTCACATTATTTGCCTGTGGAACATTTCAAAGTTTTATTCTACATTTTTTATTTTTATGCAATACATCATTACTCTTTTTAAATAAAATTTTATTAATTTACCATAAGTTTATATTATATAAATTTGGGAGTATAACTTCACACCTCTATATGTGTATTTTTTTTACCACAAACACTAAAAAAATTCTAAGGCATTTACTATATCAAATTAGTGTATCTCTACCCACTCTTAAAAACAAAAATGATGAATTGGATTGCCTCAAATTTAAGGTGTTTTTATTTGGGAAAAAAAAAACTTGTAAAAATGATGATAAGACAATCTACAAAGGGGGAGAACATGCACAGTAATTAATATATAAAATATACAAATGCTCCCTAAGTCAACATTAAAAAAACAAACAATCAAATTAGAAAATAGGCAAAACCCCGAACAGAAAGTTCTTGACTTCTTGATTTTGTTATGTTTTAACAACAACAACAACAACAAAAATATATATATACCAAAACAGATAAATATATGTGCATCATCAGTAGTCTTCTAAGTGCTTCTGAAAGTGTTACAAGCATTTTTCTCCTTTGTACACATCAATTTTTATGATTAACAAACTCAATATATGTTAACATTTGATAAATCCCTTTTTTTTTTTTCAGGAAAAAACCTTTTCAAAACTATTATCCCAATATCTAGAAATACACATTATAGTGGAAAAAGCTTTGGTAAGTCAAACTTTCTCCTTTCTTGCTTCTTTCTGTCTCTCTCTGTCTCTCTGTCTCTCATTCTCTGTCTTTTTTGAAAACTTTCCCATAGGGCCTCCCTGGTGGCCTAGGTGTTAAGTCTCAGTGCTATCACCCTATCAATGCTATGGCCTGAGTTCAATTCCCAGCCAGGGAACTAACCCATATATGGCGCAGCAGACCTCTCCTTTCTTGCCCACTGCTTCCCTCAGCAGTGTATTTCAGTAGATCTGCCTATTCTGCTCCCCACTCTGTCGTGAATTCTCTTACCCCCTGCACCTCTGGCCTATACCCCAGTTCTTTTATACAAAAATAAATTAAAAAATAATTTAAAAAAAGAAAAATTTCCCTTAAATGTAAAGGCATTAAAATTTTTAAAACACTATTTGCAAATACACATATTTTCAGTTACTCCATTATGACTGAAAAGCCAAACTAGCTACAGTCTCCTACACTCTCTACTTCAGGGTTCATTCCCTGAGTCTCCTTGACCTAACTCATAAACACCTCGCCTCTCCTTAACCTATTCAATTGTTGTATATTTAAAATATACCAGTTATTCATCATTTTATGAAGCCACTTAATATTTTTCCAACTTTATGATGCCAAAGAACAATGGTGTGTCTTAAGCTCCCAAATACGAGTCCACATCTTTCAAGAATTTACCAGTTTCTGAGAACACATTTTTCCCTTTCTCCTTTCTTTTATAGTATTTCATGTCATTCTTTATCAAATCTTTTTGAATTTGTTCCACAAAATTTCACTTTACATCACTGTGACTTTTTTTTAATGTAAATGTATTTGAACTTTTGCTATTTATATGTTTCTCTATTTGTTCTTTTCATTTATTAAACCTGCAGTGAGAAATACCTGGGTGTCATGGAGCTTTTCTAGATCAAGAAATTCTTTTATTATAGGGAGGAATCTGTGAAGTTATTTCAGAATATTTTGATGATTTCAGTTGTTTCTGTTCAATGCTATCTTTAAAATACAAGTGAGAATCTATTTTGAATGCCTAAATATGCTTTTTACCTTTTATTTCTTTGTTTTTAGTTACTGTAAATGTTGCAATCTTTATATTAGTATGTGCCCATACTAATTATTTGTCAATTATTTGACAAATGCTTGTTTTTCTCTGCCTGGTATAATCAAAATATATTCATGGTCACCCCCCAAAATACTATCAGCCACATTTTAACAATAATTATAAAAATGTTTTTCAGTATGATTATATGGGATCAGAAATGATAGCTGTAACACAGAAAATTATCCAGATTATTGGTCTTGTCAACACTGTAAGTTTTAAGTTTTTCATTATTACAAATTTTGAAAAATAATTGAAAGTAATTTGCATTGTTTCATGACAAATTAATGATTTAATGACTTTTTAGTGGTTTAATATACACATTTTTCAACTGAACTTTTAATTTTGCATGTACTATCTTAATGTAATTAAGTTACTTGGGTAAATATTACTTTTAGATGTTTACTCAGTTCAAATTGACTGTGAAACTGTCATCCTTGGAATTGTGGTCATATAAAAATCAAATATCCACCAATGGAAGTGCTGATGATTTATTGCAAAGATTTTTGGCATGGAAGGAGAACTCTTTTATCCCACGGCCCCATGATATAGCATTCCTACTCACGTAAGCATAATTTCTATGTTAATAAAGAAATATATATTTTTATATAAGTATCTTCATTATTTTGATAATTTAATGCATTTATTGTGGTCTTCAACTTTATAGGCCCTGTGTAATATTAAATAAGGAAAACTGTTGTCATAGGTGTTAATACTGGAGCTAGAAAATTGATGAAGATAAAGCAACATTAATCAGTTATATAACCACATATTTTGGAGTACGGTTTTGTGAAAAGATCTGCCTTTACACGAGCATTTATTGTATCAATGATACTACAAGATAGATGCAAATCTTAGCCTATTAATCATGTGGAAATTTACACTGTTCAGTTAACATTTCCTATAATATATTTTATGACTAATTTTTGACTAAGAGGGATTTTTTTTTGTATATACTTATGATTTAAAGTGAATTACAGTCCTCAATGATTTGGACAATTTATATAATAGATATTATCCAGACCAAAGATTTTTATGTTTGAAAAAAATTGAATTTTTTGAGAGATCTAATTTAATAAATAATTGAATAAGTTCTAAATAATTATGCTAACAAAAATAATTATACTATATGATGTAGTTACAGGAAACATCCTACATACATAGGAGCAACATTGCCTGCCACAATATGCAATAAAAGCTATAATGCAGGTGTTGCTATGGTATGTAATTTTTTGTATGTAATTTTTATCTTTACAATATTATAGTACTAACTTAATATTATATTTTGTAAGTATTATAAGTGGTTAAGTAGTTTATAACAACTTGATTTTTTACTTCATATACATATTTTTTTCTTTAGTTGGAACAAAATTACTTTAATCAAAAAAGTTTATTGAACCATAAGTTTAGAGCAGAAGGAAAATATATGACCCAACATTAATATATCCATTCACCAACTAGGTATAATGGATACTAATATTAGCATAATTTTAAGGGCATACAACATTAAATAAAAGTTAAAGCATCTTGTATGTCTTCTTCAAGTTAAAGAAATAATGAAAATCATGATTTGTGTTTGTTATTTTATGGATACGTTTGTACTATTATTATAAATGTCTGTGTACATAAACAATATGTTATTGTACAGCATTAATCTAATTTTATGTATCATTTTAGAACTATTTGAATATATTAAAATGTATACAGGTTGAATCATATCACTCTACAAATACTTTAAAATTTTTTGTTTTATCAAGTAATGCACATGTACTAGTTATAAATACAAGGTTAGTATTGTAAGAACTAAATCTTCCCCTTGCATAATTTATACCCAAGTCCACTTACTAATGTTTTTAACTTTTTCTTCTGACATTTAAATTATGTTCAGCATCTGTTTTTATTCCTTTAAAAGATTTTATTGAAATAATACTGGTTTATAAGTTAACATAGTATTCAGGTATGCATAATTATAAATCAACATATGTATATACTACTTTACATTCATCACTAAGAGTCTAATTCCATCCTCTATCATAAAATTGACCCCTTTACCAAAATTACCATCCCCTTACTTTTTCTCTTTGAAAAAACATTAATTTGGTTTTATAATCTAAAAGATTATTTTTGTATCTTTCATGGTTTTTTGTTTCTTTATGAACCACATATCCATGAAATCACATGATATTTAACTTATTTCATTAAACATAATACTCTCTAGATTTATTTATAGCAGGAGCTCATCTTTTTACATATGAGTAGTAGTCCACGGTGTGTATATTAATATAACACTTCTGCTTTATCTAATCATCTGTCAGTGGACCCTTAGGTTGTTTCCAAATCTTGGTCAATGTAAATAATGTTGCAATTCACATGAATGTACAATTATATCTTTGAATTAGTGTTTTCATATTCTTCTGGTAAATACCTAGAAGTGGGGATAACTGGATTGTTTGTTCTAATTTTTTGACGACTATCCATACTGTTTTTCATAATGGCTGAACAATTTTCCATTTATACCAACAGTGTTTAAGGTCTCTCTTGTCTTCATACACTTACCAACACATGCTGTTTCTTGTCTTTTGGAAAATAACCATTCTAACAGGTGTGAGATGATATCTCATTGTTGTCTTGACTTGCATTTCCCTGTTAAAAGATGCTGAACATAAATTCTGTGTGCCTCTTGGATATTTTTATATCTTCTTTGGAGAAGATCTATTCATATCCTCTGCCCATTTTTAATTTGGTTGTGTGTGTGTCGAGAAAGAGAGAGGATGTTAATGGCCTGTTTGATTTATGATTTGCAAATATTTTCTCTCATTCAGTAGACCATGTATTAGTTTTGATGAGAGACTTTCTTGATACAAAACCTTTTTAGTTATACATAGTCCTATTTGTTTATTTTTGTTTGCATTTTTCTGTTATTGAAGTAGAATTTATAAAGACATCTCTAACACTGAAGTTCAGAGGTTATCAGTTTTTTTCTTCTATGTATTTTTAGGTTTTAGGTCTTAGACCTAAGTCTTTAATCCATTTTAAATTACTTTTCTGTGCATGGTGGTAGGTAGTGGCCAAGATTACGAAGCAATTTAAATCACAAGGAGGAAATGAAAACTCCCTAGAAACTAAACTTAAAAGACTTTCCAAATCTGGCAAAGAAACTAAATATACAAGTCCATGAAGAAAACAATACCCTTTAATACATTTTTAGAGAACTCCACCCTAAACAGAATACATATTCTTCTCAAGTGTTCTTGGAACATTCTCAAGGATAAGCCATATCTTTGTGATATAAAAAAGTCTTAGTCAACTTATGAAGACTGAAATAATAGCCACTTTCTTTTCTGGTAACGATAGTATGGATAGAAACAAGAAATCAAATGAAATCACTTGTATTTTTAGAATAGTATTGGAAATTCTACATTGAGCAATTAGACAAAAAAAAAAGAAGGTATTCAAATTGGAGAGGAAGAAGTAAAGCTATCATTATTTGCAGGTAACATCATAGAATACATAGACAATTACAAATATTCTAAATAAAACTCTTAGGAATAATAAACAAATATAGTATAGCGCAGACTACAAAAGCAATATAAAAAAACTTGTTGCATTTCAATACACAAATAACAAACTAGCAAAAGAGATATCAGAAAGCAATACCGTTTTTACAAACAGAACCAAAAGGATTAAATACCTATGAATAAATTCATCTATTTCTTTTTAAAATATGCAGAACATCATATGCAGAGAACATTGTACAAGTCTTTAATGTATATCATAATTAATTTTGGACAAGCCAATACAAAGATAGAAATATTATAAAGATCAGGAAATGGAATATTTTCAAAACTGCAAAAGACCCCATACACCATGTCTCCTAGACTTACTACTCATCTCAAAGGAAACCACTATCCTGTATCATCATTCGTTAGTCTGATGTGTTTTTGAGTTTTAAGTACACCAGAAAATACAGTACACATTCTTGTATCTGCTAATTATTTGCTCAAAATTATGTTTGTGAAAACCATCCATGTTTATATGTGCAGGAAATGTGTATTCATTCATTTACTAATTTTCTACATAATTGCCCATGAAAGTTCTTGAGGATTCAAATTTAGATATTATCTACTGACTGCCAATTATTGGAGTCAGAATTAACATCTTAATAGTTCATTATATTTACATCTGCCTTTTCAACCCTTCCACTTTAATTATATAACATATTAGATTCATTTTTTTCATAATATTTCCCATGATTTCTTTATATTCAGAAAGCCTGTTGTGACTCTCCTATTGATTTCCATTCTACCTTTCTTTAAGTTTTAGGTATAGATAAAATTCACTTCTTTCATGCATGGCTCTATAGTCCCTTCTATCATGTGCTTGAAATGTATATACTGAATTAATATTTGCTAATTAGATACATTAACTTAATGAAAAAGCTAAATAAATATTATATATTGATTGCATCAGATATACTAAATACGTTTAAAACTGTAGAATTTGGACATGCCAAATTTTAAAACAGAAAACCTGAGTAGTTTGATTACTTTTTATATTATTTCATTTTTCTTATTTAACCACTATGAATATTTGTATCAGTGACATATCAAAATAAATTGTTATAAAATATGCTCAACCTAAAAAATATTAAAGTACAAAATGAAAATATATAAACTATACAGTCTTATAGAAAAACAATTTTAATTTGTTACTTGTTTTGCTTTCTTGTTATGTAATGATTTTGTCTTTAATCTTCTTTATTTTAGTATCCAGATACAATAACTTTGGAGGGATATTCTGTTATTATAGCTCAACTGCTTGGCCTTAAAATAGGATTAACATATGATGACATCCATAAATGTTATTGTCCAAGTGATATATGCATAATGAATCATGAAGCAGTGTAAGACATTTTTTCTTATATAACTTGCATATACTAAAATGTGATGACTTTTATGCTTTCATGTTCAAATTCCCATCAATAATTGGAAAGGTGTGCTGTGCATGAAAGGGTATCACACAAACAACTTTGTCTAAGTCATGCATGATTCCACAAAGTGATAAACCCTATGATTATGACATATTCAAGGGAATGGGAGGGAAATTTTTATGCAGAATTTATGCAGAATATAAAGATTTATGCAGAATGTATAAATGAAGGCTGCTATTGTTGTTTTGCCTTGATTTAAGATAAAAATGTGCAAAATCACCCTTAACAATATAACACAATACTCACAGTTTTTGCTCATATTTCTAGGAAAGGAAATAGCAGGAAGGGTTTGAAGAGGGAAAAAAAAATCCTTATTTGAAGATATGATTCTACCTATATAAACAGAATGATTATACAATCAGAACAACATAAAACATGCATTATGATAATCAATCTAGATCCAGTGTATATACCAATACCCAGAAAATAGATGTCTTATTCCAAAGTTGCTGTTTTTCTCAAAAGATGTTTATAAATTTAGTATTATTTTTTAAGAAACTTGATAAACTTGGGTTCTCCCTGGTGGTGCAGGTGTTAAAGACACAGCACTATCAAGCTATAGCCAACCACTGCAGCATGAGTTTGATCCCTGGCAGACCAGGGAGCAGCCCACATGGTGCCCCAGAACTCTCCTGTCTTGCCTGCTGCTCCCCTCAGCAGTGTGTTTCAGTAGATCTGCCTGTTCTGCTTCCCACTCTCTCTGGTGAATCTTTCACCCCCCACCCCCACCATATGTCTGGTCTACTCCTCAGTTCTTGTATGCATAAATAAATAAATCTTGGACATCCCTGGTGGTGCAAGGGGTTAAGCACTGCACTATGAAGCAATCCTCAGACTCTGCAGCACAAGTTCGAACCCCGGCCTGCCAAAGAGCAACCCATATGGCGCAGCAGGTCTCTCCTGTCTCGCCCACTGCTCCCCTCAGAAGTGTATTTCAGTCTATCTGCCTGTTTTGTTCCCCACTCTGTCTCTGGTGAATCCTCTCACCCCCAACACCTCTAGCCTGTACCCTAGATCTTGTATGCATAAATAAATCTTTTTTTTTTAATCTTTTTTAAAAAAGAAACTTGATAAACTTATGGGAGGTGATAAAATGGAGATGGTAAATATAGACAACATTTTAAGGAGTATGAGTTATAATTTATGATCAGAAGATGGATTTTTATTAATGGGAGACACTGCATATTATGAGAAGGGAAAATGATGTTGGATGTAATGAGATTTACAAGCAAAATTATAAGTAAATTAGAGAAAATTGGATCTAGTGCTTAAATATAGGGACTTTCATTAGAGTTGGTGATATAGATTATTGGGAGAGTCAATAAAAAAGTATGCAGTGTTGTTAATGGAGGCATTTTTACAAAAATTAGAGGACAATTTCTTCTAATAGAAAACTGAGAGCATAAAGTGTAAAAATTGTAATAGAAGATCTGATACATTTTTCTTGGATACTGGAAATCATAAATGACGTAGGAAATGAGATATTATTGTTATACTTTTAGAAGACATATTTAGAATTTGTAATTACAAATTTAAAATAAATTGAACCAACTTGCTTATAATGAGCCATTTAATTTCAACTTCCAAAGTACGTGTATAAAGGAAGTAAAGAGTTGAGATTTTGCCAAGTTAATGTCCATGGGACTTAGAAAGAATTGGGACTGCAGGAGGAATTGTGTTCTCCTGAAAAAATCATTTCAATTTCTCTTCCCCAAAACTTGGAGCTTTGAATAATAATTTAAATTACTTAGAAACAATTGTATTGCCTTACCTTATTTTATAGTTTTTGTCAAGCCTTGATGGTAATCTTCCCCACAAAAAGCCAATAATTCAGTATTCACTTGTTTTTTTTAAAGATTTATTTATTTATTAATTTTTTTTTTAAAATATAAACACGGGGTACAGTCAGAAGCGCGGGAGGGTGAGAGAATTCACCAGAGCCAGAGCGGGGAGCAGAGCAGGCAGAAGGACTGAAGCACATTGCTGAGGGGAGCAGCGGGCGGCAGGAGAGGTCTGCGCGCCATGTGGGACCCTCCTCAGGTGGCCAGGGAGCAGCCGGGGATCGAACCCGTGCAGCAGAGGCTGCGGGCAACTTCACAATCCGGCGCTCAAACAGTGCGCCAACTGGGAGGCCCAAGATTTATTTATTTATGCTTACAAGAACTGGGGTACAGGCCAGAGGGGTTGGGGGTGAGAGAATTCACCAGAGACAGAGTAGGGAACAGAACAGGCAGATAAACTGAAATACACTGTTGAGGGGAGCAGTGGGAGAGTCAGGAGAGGTCTGCTGCACCATGTGCATAGCTCCCTAGCCAGGGATTGAACATGTGCTGCAGTGGCTGCAGATAGCTTCATAGGTTGCATATTAACCTCTTGCACCACCAGGGAGGCCCCAGTATTTACTTTTAAATGCCATTTATATGTGAATATATATATAGTGTGTGTGTCTGTATCATATTCATTTCTTCTCTGCAATGGTCATCTTTTAAGCAGAGATTAAAATGAAATAATTATTTTGTACTCACCTAAAACAAAATTTAATAGTTCTAATTAGTACTTTTATTTTTCACCCAAAAAGCATATCACCCATGTAGAAAATAACCTCTCAGTCCCTGTCTATTTTCAAATGAATTTTGTAGATGTATCAGTGCTCAAAGTTTGTAGATTTTTGGATGAGTGGCTTGAAAAAGCTCCATGGAATGATACTTATTAAAACAAATTAATTAAAAATAATAAAGAAATTTGCTTCAATAACATCATTTCCTGACAGAGGAGAAAGGGAAGGTGGGTAAATTGGGTGAAAGGGGTCACCATTAAGGTGACATTTGTACATACAAATATTTATCTAGAATGATGTTTGCCTGAAACCTATATAATGTTAGAAAACAATTTTTCTGCAATCAAAAATTAATAAATATTATATCCTTTGTTATTCCTCCCACTTTCCCCTAATTATACCATTGCAAATGACAATAAAAGCTAAAGCATTTCTTTTTTCCCCTTACACTCTCCCAATTCTGAAATTTTTTCAGTTACACAATTCTTTCCTTGAGGCTCAGCACCAACCCACTGTCTCTGTCGTCTTAGATATAGTTAAGTGTCAGTATTTCAGAAATGATTGCTTAGAATGGGACAGTGCATTAGAAATAAAATGTGAGTCACATATGTAAATGTTTCTTTTCCTAGTAGGTATATTAAAAATTAAATTAATTTCAGTGGATGTTTTAATATATTTAATCCAGTATATCAAAATGTTATTTCAACATGTGATCCACATACAAAATTTTTTTTAAAGATTTATTTAGTTGGATATGCTTTACCTGTGTGTGGGGGGCAGGGGTATAGGGTATGAAAGAATGAAAGGAGTTCAAGATCACTCCAATGTTGATGATGTCGTTTTTTGGAGTTTATGGGTTTGGAAAGCAGGGTCTTTGGGTTCACTCTGGGAAAGGTTTCACCAGAGCTCCTCTGTCAGTGGCACGCAGCTAGTTTCTCAGGCAAGTTTCTCCACGAGACTGAGATGTTAGTTATATTTAAGGAGCAGGTTTATTAGGAAAAGGTACAGAAGAATAAAGGACACTTGCATAGACACCACCGGCAGGAAGAGCTGTCCTGAAAGGGACAGGTTTGCTGAGAGGCCTGCATTGTTACAGACGGGTGGCCTTGAGGAGAGCTGCCTCTGCTGAGGGAGGTCAGTGAAGAGAAGTCCCGGCATGTACAGGTTATGGGCAAACAGGAAGGCTGATGCCCTTCAGAGGGAAAGAATTGGTGAAAGAAGCACCTGCGTAGGCATAGGTGGGCAGAAGGACTGCTGCCCCATGCTAGGGCAGAGACCACACCGATATAGACTTCTCTTTGGGAGGGGCTCACTCCTTCCTGGAGTGGTTTGTTTGTTTTTGACTTTAAATCAGCTATGTTGAAATTAAATCAACGATGTAGAATTTAAATCTTCTTCTTCAGATCTGGGATCCTGATGTGCCCTACAGCAGTCAGATACCTGCTTGGGGCTTGTGCTTTGTGGTGTAGGCATTGGCGCCTAAGAATCTTAGTTCCTATAGCTGGGTGAATGGCTCTGTCAATCCCTTCTACCTCCACCTCTAGTTCTTGGCATCATGTCAGCCAGGTTTCTGATCTTGTGGCTCCTCCTTTCCAGTTTTTTTTATTCTCATCCTCCTTCATTATTAGCTAGAGCAACCAGAGGCATCGAGTTACCAGAAATGGAGAGTGATGGACTGTAGATAGATTACATTTGGTTGAGAAGAAAAGCAGTTTAATATTGTACATAGTATATTTGAAATGCATAAGGACATATTCTACTGGCAATGTAGTTGTGAACTAAAAATAAAGATCTATATGGAATTTGTATTTGAGCATAAAATTTGGATCACGTAAAAATAAATTTTAAAAATACAAATGAGACAACATGGTCAGATCACATAGAGGAGTAAACCACATCGGGGAAAATACCTCCATAAATACATCCAGAAAACAACTAATTATCTCATACAACTGGCATAATCTTATCACCAGAGGTCGCCTGATTGCCCATGTACCTGCATTATTGAATTTTGGTGTCCAAAAGTGAGTGGTGTTGAGAGAGGGTGGTTGGAGACACAGACACAGCAAAGGTCAAGTACATAGCCATGGTCTAGGGTAAGTGAAAAATTATCAGGCTTTTCCACCCCCTCCCCCCGCCATTAGCATTAATGATGGATCCCTGCAGTCCTATATGCATGCCTGATGGTGGACATCTGGAGAAGGGTGTGGGCATGGATAGGTGGGCACATCTGACTGGGCTTATAAGGGTGGCGTCACGGGGATGCCAGCGGAACCAGCAGAAAGAGAATAGCAGAATGAGTGAGAACGAGAACTCCAGAGGTCCCAGAAAGAGTGAAGATTCACGGGCCTCCCAGCCCTCCCCCCCCCCCCACACACACACTCCTGCCTGCATTGTACCTGGTAAAAGCTCAATAAAACCTGAAAAGCCACGGAGGGCTCCAGGACTCTCCTGGAGTGTGCTCAGATCATAGAGAACCTGCTCCGCCTTCCTGCCACTACGCATGGTCAGTTGTGTTGGAAGGAGTAATAATTGGATGGCCTGAATTTTGAAGCATCTAGAACTACTGCACAGAGATGGAGAAGACCTGACCCATCCAACCCCCTCTTCAAACTGAACACTTTGGTCAGGTTTTGAATTCCTGTGAATTTGTGAAGCCTAGTATGATTGGCAAAGTCCCCTCTGCCTGCCCCAACAAGGCACAGGGAACTTTGTTATTAGCAGGCCAAGCCTCAGCCTCCACCAGCTATAAAACCTGCTCTACAGAGCTTTCCAGCAGGGTGCTGTTGGGTAAGTGAAAGAGTCAGGCTTTTCTGCTTCCCGCCATTAGGATTGATGATGGATCCCTGTGGTCCTGAATGCATGCCTGATGGCGGATACCTGGAGTGGGGTGTGGGCATGCTTCAGTGGGTACACCTGGGCTGAGAGACTGGGCGTATAAGGGCAGCGTCACGGGGACGCCAGCAGAACAAACAGCATAGAGAGCAGAGAAGCAGAGACTACCAGAGAACGCTGGAGAGCCCAGATAGAGTGAAGACTTGCTGGGAGCCGGGAGGCCTGCCAACCTCCTGGCCCCCTGGCACCCCTGCCTGCTGTGTACCTGGTAAATCCCAATAAAAGCCTGCAATAGCCACTGAGGGCTCCAGGACGGACTCCTCCTTTTCCCCGTCTGCTCGGGTCATAGATCTTGCTCTGTGTCCATTTCTGCCACTACAGTGTTATGCTGAGGCAGCTCAGAGCAACTTGGGGTAATTCCTGATCTTTGGGCGAACACATCGTTAGGATGACTGAGAGCTCTTTCTCTTTTGGAAGAGCCACGCCTTCAAAACTGGCTGACACTAAAATTCATTGATTTCAGCAGGAACAACTTAACAGGCTGATTGCTCTCCCCTTACTCTTTGGAGATCCAGGGATGTCTATAAAAACCACTGGCTATGGATAATTGTAGCTAACCTGGAAGAGGGATTTGGCAAAAGTTTGTGCTCAGAAGGAGACTGTCCAGTCATAAGGGGAGAGAGTACAGGTAGGGCTGACCCTCCATGCCAATACTGTTGCTGAAGTAAATCCCTCCTAGGCAGGCCCACCTCGCCATACAAAATCAAGGGTCTGAAAAACAAAACTGCAAAATTAGAGTCACAGTGCCACCTACTGAACAACCAAATGGCAAATGTCAAAAATTGTTAAAACCCTGTGGCAGAATGAATGGGTAAGATAAATCTTGAGAATGTATTTTTAATGGGAAGTAATGGACAGTGAATTTAAAATCACATTGTGAAGAAAATGAAATTCATCAAATGCACTTTAACACAGAATGAAATAAGTTGTTGTGTTGCTTTGGGCAACACCACACTGATAAACGGGAGCAGATTACATAATGCAGGATGCTGCGGAAGAGCAAGATCATGTTCTTTTTATTGATATACAGCATAAGGGGGAGAAGATTAAAGAAAGGGGAAGAATGTAGAAGATCAAGGGTTGAGTCTGCCCTCCAGGCACTTCTCATTGCTTGATGACTCAGTATTGTCATTGAGATCATGCCCTAATTCCCCAGCCATGGTTTTAATCTTGTCAACTCCGGTGTTCCACTGATCAGTTTCTGGGGTCCCTTGTTATACATTGGTCATCAGCCCCCCCCCCCCAACCCGGGCATTCCCAGTCATACCTTGTGATGTATAAGTCTAGAGTAGTGTTATGGAGTAGTGTTATGCATCAGTCCTAAGCCCCCAGGGCATTCCCAGTCATACCTTGTGATGCATAGCCTTCCTAGTGTGATCCAGTTTTGTGCTCTTGTTTGATTTGAAAGGGACTTTGTGGGGTTGATCTCCTGTGCCTAACTGACCGAGTCATTCTGACCTTGTTTAGGATTTAACAAAATGGTGGCCAAACAGGCCACTTAGGAGTAGCAGACCCACATTGTTGCACTTTTAAAACTATAGTTTTATAAATTAATGGCAAATCAATGAAATGTATTAAAAAACAAAGTTTATTTGTATATGATGCGACATGCTAATTAGAATGAATTTATACAAAGAATGTGGAGGGAATACAACCTCAAATAAAGTTTAGAAAACATTAAAGGAAAAACCTCTTTAAAAGATGACATTTGAGCTAATAGCTCCATGAAGGAAACTTTAAATGTGTCACAGAAGAGCAAATCAGGTAGATGGAACAACAGACAGATGAGAGTTATCTAAGTTGATATGACTTCTTTTTAGAGAAGGCTCGAGATAAGCAATGATAAAAATTTAATCATGTTTCACTTCATGTCTACTAAGGTATAAGCTTTTTATTGGAGCCATCATGCAATCCATATCATATATGGAACATTATTTAGATGTGGTTTTATCAGCCAGGTTTATTTACCTGAGGAATATTATTTCATTTTAGGTATTCCAGTGGTATAAAGATTTTTAGCAACTGTAGTGTGAAAGACTACAGACATTTTGTTTCAAAACTTGAGGCTAAATGTCTTCAAAAACTTTCAAATATTCAACCATTTTATCAAAATCAACCAGTGTGTGGCAATGGGATTTTGGAACCTAAGGAAGAATGTGACTGTGGCCGTGAAGAGGTGAGTAATATTGACATTTCTTGTGTTTCTAGTAAGTACTTGTCATGGTATATATAGAGTAATTTATGCAATTATGTCTTTGACATAGAAGATGAGAAAATGAGGATAAAATATCTGAATCAGTTCCCACACCTCTTCAAGAAAAAACAAATGAATCATGATAACTTGGTTTGCATATGTTGCTCCCAATTATTCTGTTGAGAGATTTTTAATATATATGTTACAGGGCAACCCTGATAAAAAACGGGTTGCCTGACTGTGGGTCCTCACCCACACACTTAAAAGGGACTTATTAATACTCAACTGCAGGCACACACAAAAGGTTAATAAAATGTTTATTTACAAGGGAAGGGGAAATGAGGAAATGTACAACTCAGGGAGAAAAGTGGGAGATAAAGTCTTAAATGCGTCCTACCCGTTCTGCTGACCTGGAAACCCAATGGCACTCTGAGAGCTGGCAGAGAGCCAAGAGCCATGAAGCCAAGAGGAGCCCCCCAAGGCCCACGTGTCTGGTTTTATACCAAACCTGGCTGCCTAACTCCACCCTCAGGTCCCAGCAACCCTTTTGGTGATGATGGGATTTGTCTTTCCCAATGTCTTGATGGCTTTGGTCTGGAGTGGGGATGGAGTCCACACAGCCTGTATGGAATTAGCTCAGGACATCCTTTCCCCCTAACATAGAGGCTAAATGATTTCTCTCAATTCTACAACTTATTTCCTGTGGCTCAGAATACAGAAATATTACTCTGAATTTTTCTTATTCATTCCTGAACATTCCTGTACTTCTGAGTTTCTGGATAATCAAAATCTGTTGTTTGCTCACTTCTAAATATAGATATGCAATCTGTCAGTTTTACCAACCAAATGTTCAATGCACACTGGTCGGAATAGACAGGATCACATAGTTATTCAGTCTATTACAATATCACCATTGTCTATTTAATAATTCCCCATTATTTATAAAAATAGTATTTACTACATTTAATAACTGATATATCAATGTTATAAAATGATATATGCATTATAATACCTATATATGTACTGTATCTGTATACAGAGTACATGTGCACGTTTGTGTGTTGTTTGCCTAGTTTGTGCCTTTAGCGTAACATTTGTATACATGTATACAGAATTTCCAATTATCACAGATTTTCCAAGGTGATCTTAATTTTCTGATGAATGGCACTATGTCTACCTTGCATTCATCTACCTATATTTATGGTTTCAATTACTTACCCCAAAGTATTGATTATTTTTAATGAAGGATAAAATAAAGCAACATAATCTGTGACAATGCACATTTTGAGCTTCTGCAACTATAGGTTGTAGAGATAAAATAAACACAAAATTAGCATAAAAGTGCTGAAAGTGAAACAATTGAATTTGGCTAATATTTATAGATAAGAACATAAAGAACATTTTAGCAATGATGTGAATGATGTTAATCCCTAATATGTTAAAACATAGGCCAGGATAAGGCAGACTTTATTGATAGGGCCTGCTCTCTGGTGAATCAGGATTTAATATTTTGTCAAGGAAACCTGGAATCAATCTTGATATATTGCTGGATAGATCCTTGAAGATTGGAAATAATCTGGCCTGTAATAAATGAGGTGGAGAGGCCAGAAAGGACTTTACAGAATATTGCAGGAGAGATAAAAGTTTCAGAGTTGTGGTCATAGTATAATGGAATATTTGAATAAAAGAATCCTTTCACTAAATCAGGAAGATAATGCATAACTGAGGAAATGCTAACACTGTTGAAAAACTTGGTTAAAGCTTTTTTTTCCTTGTTTTGAATCTTTATTTTTAAATGAAGAACATTTTTCTTACATAGTCCAACACCATAATATCCTGATTAGAGTTGATGTTTGAAAGTACTATTATGGAGTTGTATTCCCTAGGGCCATTTGGAATTTCAAAAGAGCAGAGGTCAGTTGACATAACCATTATAGCCAAAGTGATATAATTAGCATCATAGGAAAAAGACATATCAATGGCGGCTGTTGGTTTTGAGTTTCATGGATTTGCAGTCAGATGTGTTGTCACTGGGCCATGAGGTCCTGGATGAGTTGCACATACTTGTACTGATGTCTAGGGGAGATCTGGTAAGCCAATGAATATTGCTTGATGTATGTAACAATAAATTAAGAGGTGAGCAGAGGTATGTTACCAATTGCTACAAGTGGAGAATCACAATCTACTAGTGGAGAATCACAATCAATTTCCAACCCAAAATATCTCGGAGTCAGAGATCATTGTTGAGAGGATATGACCTTAAGATATCCCAGCAAAGGTATAAAATAGCAGTTTCCTCTACTATTCCCTCCTTAATGTGATTTAAAACATTTACTAGAGTAGTTGTACCCTGGGGAATTGAGAAACCCCAGATCACAGTGGGAGAATTTAATTAAGAATCTGGTCACCAGGCTAACATAAGAGGACCCAAAACATCATCATGGGTTGAGTAGGGCTACAGAAAATCTAAGTGATAGCTGAAGTCCCTGAAAGAAAAATTTATAATAGGTACAATGGATTCATTATTGTAATCTTTGGTCTCATAATAAAACATAATACTATTTTTTTGGTACAATTTTAGGAATGTCAATTTAAAATGTGCTGTGATTATAATACATGTAAACTGATAGGCTCAGCAAAATGTGGCTCTGGACCATGCTGTACTTCAAAATGTGAGGTAAATTTCCAATATTTATGAGAAAAAATTGAAATGAGATAATAGAAGCTGGTATAAATTGAATTCATTTGGAATTGTTAAAAATAATATAGAAGTAATTCAGTGGAATAAAATAGAGAGTGTATGAGCAACCATAAGTATATAGAGGAAACTACTATGAGATAAAGAAAACATCTCAGATTTGTATTGGTTATCTTATTGTATTAGAACTATAATTTACTATCTTCTAAATTATGAGATAATGAGTAGAATACATATATATATTACTAAAGAATTAAATCTTGAGAAAACTGTAAAGGTAAATATATGGTAAAAGACAAATTGTGAAAAAAAAGTAACAGACAAAATGTAGCAGGCAAGATGTGTAGTATACAGAACATGAAACAGCTTTTACACATTTACACTGGTAAGTAAAAGGCAAGTTACACACACACACACAAACACACACACAAACACACGGGCAAAATAATGACCAGTCACTTTGCAATAAAGTAGAATTGTTCAATGTATACTGATCATCTATACCATGTAAGACAAATAAAAGTTTAAAAAATGCAATGTCATAGAACAGTCATCCAATCTGACAATCTTAAAAGCAACATGTCAAATAGATTAACTAAGGAGTGGGGATTGAGACTTTTTTTGTGATAGTGTTTGTTAGATTTTTCAATTGCTGTAATCCCTTGGGTGAACAATTTTTGCAACTCTTTGAGTATAAAATTTCATCAAATTCATTGTGTACTATCACCTTTTTATATCTATTGCCTATGAGCATGCACATGAACAGAAACTCAGGAAAGAATACTAATTACAGAATTGCTTGTAATAGTAAGTCATGGAAGTAAATAATGTTTCTTGGTATTGGAATGGTTATGTAAGTCATATTTGCACAAGGTTTAACAAATACAGACTGACTATACATGTAATATGTTATCTTTAAGACATGTTTGGATAAGTTTCATAGTACAAATATTTTATAACTCCAACTATGGTGAATCACTAGCACGAAAATATCCCATATATTCTTTTGCTAATTTTCAATTAATGTATAATGTAAAATAAAATTATTTTGATGAATATTACTGAGTATTATGACAAACATTCATTTTTATAATTAATACTACAGTCAAGGGATAAAAAAATCCTCCTCTAGCCTTTGTAGTCAGTTAACCTACTTCTTAAACCACAGACCTTGGTAACGGCAAGTCTATTAGCATTTACAAATTTACTTTTGCAAAAATATAACAAATGGCATCACAATATATGTAAATATTATAAGATATCAGCATAATACATTAATATTTATTAATGTTATAATGCTTTTTAGTATGTCATTGAGTCTTTGTTGCTGAAAAGTATTGCAAGTTAATATATTCACCATTTGAAGGACATTTGGGTGTTTTCAGTTCTGGATGATGAAAATACAGCTTCTGTAAATAAGTCACAAGTAGATTTTATATGAACCTAGAGTTTTATTTCACTTAGATACCTATACCTATATATGTATATGAGTAGGTATATATACCTATAGATTGCTGGATTATATGGTAAATGTATGTGGAACTTTATAGGAAACTGAAAATCTATTTTTTCAAAAACTATTTTGTATTCCTACCATGCTTTGTGAGACTTATAATTGTTCTATGAACTAAATGCAAACTGTAAAACTATAAACATATGGCTTATTTTATCTTCATTTCATTGCTTTATTATTTATACTTTAAATAGCACTTTACTAATTGTCCCAGAGTTTATAAATCTGTGATTAATTAGATTTTGATTTCATATTATATACCACTTCATGAATAGTGAATGGATCTTATAACACACCCACATACTACAAATACAAAATACATTGTTGCTCTTTTTGCTTTATATAGTCTAGCATCCTTTAGAGAAAATGAAGTGAAGAAAAAAATAGAATTTATAAAGATATCATATTAAATTTCCAGCTTTATTTCTTTCATTTTATATATGGTGCCTGAAGACTTCCCTTTATTGTTTTTAATAATTTTTATCTGCTGATAATGAACTCTCAGCTGTTATTTATCTAGGAGAGTATGCATTTCTCATTATTTTCTACATGTGTATTTCCTAATTGTGGTATTCAGGGTTGAAAGATTTTTATTTTATCCCTTTAAAAATGCTATTTCATTTACCTATGAATCTTTGTCTTAGTCTGGTAAGCATTAATTCAAACTGAATAGTTATGCGTGTGTGTGTGTGTGTGTGTGTGTGTTGCTTCAACATAGAAAGTGTTTGGATGTGGTGAACTTCACTATGGAAAATAATGGATGACCCATTAGGTTGGCAGGATGCAAGCACTGATAACTGTACTGTTTATCTGAGCTCTGCAAGATAGCCTTTTGACATTCAGATAATAATAAATATGCTTGTGATGATAATGATAGCTACTAAGTCCATTATTTGCCATGTTGCTTTAAGTGTTTTTCACATTAATTCAGTTTAACACTGACAAGTGCTATGAGAGGAAGATTATTTTTCCATGTTTACAAATGAAGAAACTGCCAAATAGAGGTATGTGTATTGCCCACATAAATAAGCTAGCAAAAGTCCGAGCAAAATATTGTTATCAGGCAATTTGGCTCCTGAAATTCTCCAAGAACAAAGAAGTGGAGGCAGTTTCTCAGGTTTCACGTAACAGATATGTTTATACTATCCTGCTTCATCTCTCTCCAAACGCTGATGGAGTCAGCAGGCCACCCACTGTAGAACACAAAATAAGCTGGCAGTAGCAAACCCTGTGGAAGGGATCCTTTCATATTTTGAAACTGTTACTTCAGGCTTCATAATGAAAAGTGTGCATGATTTTTTTTTTCCTTCACAGTACACACAGCTTGTGAATTCTGTGATATTCCCTTGAGTATCCCTAATCAGGCACATTTTACTTGATAAATCTCTTCATAACTACCTGAAGATAGTCATTCACAGAACATGATTTTCATTTTCTTTTCCCTTCAAGATATCAGTAGCAGGGACTCCATGTAGAAAGAGTATTGATGAAGAGTGTGATTTTACAGAGTATTGCAACGGAAATTCTAGCAATTGTGTTCCTGACACTTATGCGTTGAATGGCAAGTCATGCAGCTTGGGAACTGCATATTGTTATAACGGACAATGTCAAACTACTGATAACCAGTGTGCCAAGATATTTGGAAAAGGTATTGCTCTTTCTAATGTATTTCTTTTACTTTAAAATTTGGTAGTTTGTGGCATGTGTTTTTTAATCTCATAAATTATATTAAAAAATGGAATAACACCAGCAGTTTCTAGAGTTTTACTCAATTTTCTCTTCACATATTCATGCTCTAGTTGTGGTGAAATGAAACTTAAAAAGTTTAGAATGAACTGTGCGACAAGAAATAGTATGGATGTTGAGTGAGATGAAAATGAAAGGGCTCTGCAGCATATCCAAACAGACCCAGTGCGGTTTGTGAGGAAATGAAAGTCAGAATTATGTCAAGCATCTCTGGGAAAATGACAATGTAATTCTCTGGGGCTCTCCAACAAGGCTGTGCCATATAACTGGGCAATTATACCTCCTTGACAAAATAACTCTGGGTTCACTACTGACATACATAGAGATGGACAAGTTGATACCAGAAATGCAGGTTTTCAGGCCTACTCTCCCAGCCAGGAATGGAGCCCAGGCTGCAGCACTGAGTCCCAGACACTAGACCACCACCGCTGCAGGAACTTTGCTGATGCTCAGGCATGCAAGCCAAAAGAAGCAGATTTGTTTAGAGAAAGAAAAAGTTTATTAAGGAGAAAAGGAGCAGAAATAAGTGGGACTCCCAGGCTGGTGGAACCAAGCCAGGGAGGGGCAAGGAAGCTGCAGTGGAGTCAAGTCTCAGGGAATATAGACCTTCTTTCCCTAATTATTCTAAATTCCCATCCATCTCTCTGTGATTGGTTAGTTCTTGGTGGTCTCACTCACTGCCTAAATGTCTCTGGGCCCAGAACTAAGTCTCTGTGTCCAGCCCCTATCTTTTTTCTTCATTGTCCTCCATCTGGAATGTCCTGTTGCCCCTAGTCATGGGGTGTTTGATTAGTCCCCTTTGGAATCTGTTGCTCTTATCTCTGGAGCCTTCCTTAACTCTCCTAAAGTCCCTGCACTGTCCTCAAGCCTGCCTAATTATCCCTAACTTGTCCTAGACTCAAAGTCATCAGTGTTCATCATAAGCTCAGTTATGACAAATCCATTAAGTTATATTGCTAGGTGGATTCATTTATCTTGGTTCAAATACAAGCAAAAAGAGAGGGCAGAGAAAATCCATGAACTGGAAATGTAGAACAGTATGAATTTCTTCCATCAAGGTCTCTTGGTTATGAAATAAGAGTTCCATTAGCTTTTTATTGAAAAAATTTAATTTGGATTGAGAATATAACAAAAGTGCTTGCATTTTAAGGTGTGCAAGGTGCTCCACTTGCCTGTTTTGAAGAAATTAATTCTGTACGTGAAAGGTTTGGAAGCTGTGGTTTCAAAAATTCAGAACCGTTACCTTGTGAACAGAAGTATGTATATACATAATTATTTCATTTAGTCATGGAAATGATATATTTGTTATCAAGAGAGAATAAATAATGATGAGTAAATCATGCGCCAGGAGATTTTTAAATAGTATTATTGAATTTTCCTTATTCACAATTCAGTTTTCTTTCTTATTTTTTTTTGCCTGGTATTGGTCGCAGACTAAAATAAAACAAGGCTGATACTATCAGAAGTAGGAAGTAGCTACAAATTGCCAAAAATCAGAAACTTGTGCTATGTAATTAAGATTAAAATTGTGGGTTTTTAGCATATTTTAGCTCCTATCTTTATATTACTTCAGAGGTGTATTATCAGAGCCACTTGTTTGTTTTGGGGCTTGTCCTTGATGCACAACTGGGCTTTTCTCCTTGCCTTTTGTGTCTTTTTAACAACCTAGTAAATAACCAGGAAAATGAATAACTATAAGAAAGTGATAATCAAAATCAACAAAAAACTATGAACCAGAGACACTCTATGGGGGGTGGAGGGCGGGGAGGGGAGGGATTGGGGTCAAAATAAGGGGATTGTAATTGTATGGGGAATATAAAAATAAAATTTATTTAAAAAAAAAACAACCTAGTAAATAAGAGGTCACTTCTATTTTAAATGGTTAGCATAAGTGACTCTACTTCACTTACACCTATTTCCTGATCAATTAGGGTCATTATAATATCAATCCATGTAATACCAGTATGTCCTGGAAGGCACTTGTATTTCAGTCTCTGCCTCAACTTAATTGCCATTGCCTGAGGGACAGGCACCCAGCTCATCTGACTCTGATAATGTCAGGCACTATAGCAAACAGTGAGGGAGTGCTTAGGTGGCTAATCCCCAGAGCTCAGTGCACAGGGGAGCAGAAAAATCACACATGTTCTAGTCTTGCCCAGAAAGGAGTCCACATTCTTTCTTTAAAAGTTGGCTGAAGATCAGACTTACAGTTTAGAATCTGTTAAGGACTGGTGATGATCTTATCTAGGAATTAAGGAAGCCCCCTGACTCCATCTTGCTGTATCATCCTCCAAGTCCCTACTAGTGTTTCCTGGAAGGAACTTGTACACATGACTATATCACAGCTTTTTGAAGTGTCAGCCAAGAAACAGGCTCCCAAACTGACTAGCTCTGATAACCAATGGAACTCCACTGTCAGTCCCATAGTACTGTAGCAATCAAATAGTTCTTAATGGACACTAAGCTAATCCTCCACCTCCTGTCATCTTTTTAGCTATGTACATTGTAGTCTAGGGTATAAGAAGCAGGCTTAACTTAAATATTTTCCCATAACACTATGATATGGTGTTAGGAGTTGGCGCCTCAACTCCATCCAGGGTTCCCAAAGACCACACGGAGCCAGAGATGCAAAAGCAAAAAGGCTTTATTGCTAGCTTAACCTAGGACCCAACTCTGCCTGGTACACTGATACAGCAGTCCCATCAGGTTGAGAGAAGGGCCCCCTTGGAGGGCAAAAGGCTTTTTTTATACCATATTGTCGGGAAGTGGGACTTTCCATTCTTAGCACCGAGTCTATTCTGATTGATTGATCTGTTATTGGTGGTCAGTTTTGCCCGTTTTCTGTGGTCTCTGTGGTTTCTGCACAGAAACGATACACAGCTATGCCTTCCATAAAATAGCTGCTGTGTCTTCCCTAAAATGGCTGCTGTCTTGTTCATACTACAATGGTAATGATGGTAGCACAGTGTAATTAATTCCCTTAGAAAGGGAAGATTCCACATTCCTGCCATACCCAAGGAAGGGTGGAGCTGAGTGTCCAGAAGAAGATAGAGGATAGGGATAAGGAATTAGAAAGAGGAAGAAGACTGGAAGAGGACTTGGAGAAAACACATGGAGCAGAGAGACATGTAGAAAATAAACCACATTTTCTTCTTGATGTTGGACCTATATCAGGGACTTGGGGGATATGGAAAGACACTTGAAAGGGATGCAGGTGAAAGACCTGTGAGAGGCTGACGATGGCAGCCTTTGCATTGTATTTTGCTTTTGCTCTTTTCCTTCCAGACTTGCCTGACACTCCCATCTGCCCCTTTCCTCTGGGTCCCCACCAGAAGCTGCCTGAAACTTATGGCAAGCTTTTAGACCTCAGTGGCTTTCCTTTGGCCCAATCCTGTTTGGCTGGGAATTTACCCATGAGGGGATGGGTAATTTGGGGTGTTTCTTGGGGAAATATTTTAACTGTATTCTTTCTCTTCTCTCTGTTGCACAGTAATTCTATTAAAATTCTTTTTTATTGAAGGTTTTATGCACTAAGTGTATGTTTGTCTTTAAGCAGTAGATGGCAGAATCCATTTAGAGCAGGCATGTTTGGGGGCCCTGGAGTGCCCCTCATTCTGCCTACTAATACAGCCATACTTAATCTATTTCACCCTTGGCCAGAAGCATGTCATCTGCCCTTGGTCTAAGGTAGCTCATAAGAGAAGGGCACCTTGGAAAAGTAAAAGGAGTTGTGAAAATTAGCAAGGATGACTTATTTGTACTTTACCTGAGATGGTAATAGTTTCATAATATTTTTCTGAAGTCAAATCGCTAGGTGAGACTAGAATTCAATACTACAATATATACCTCAACATCCTGTGATTTCCTTTCAGAAAAGAAAGGTTTTTTCCAAGAAATCAAATTTTGAGAGAATGGAATTTGAAATAATTTGTATCCCACTGCGAGACTAGAAAGAGACCTACCCTGCAAAGATAGTTTAATAGAAAAATAGCAGAGCCCAAATCAAAAGATGTATCTAGGTATGAGAAACTAGAAAAATGATGCTGGAGGGAAGAAAAATTTGGAAAGAGCTTTAGGTTTTGCCTCCTAACCTCATTTTAATCTTAACTTCTTGATGCCATTATTCCAATCCTTGTGTTATTTAAGGAGTCCAAAAAGGTTTTTTAAGGCATATCCTTGAAATTTCCTAAGGAAAGACTTTTAAAGAATTAATGACAGGTGCAAAAGTTATACATCAACAACTAAGAATGGTTATTTTTATTAAGGATGAATTTTGTTAGATTTGAGTGATTTCAGGAACAAAAAGAAAAATCATTTATTTTCCAAGGGATAGTCCAGGAATATTTTAAGCCTCTTAGAGAAACCTGTATTCTACTTAATAATAGATTATAAATGGCTAAATAAGTCTCTGAGAAAACCTTTGGTATGCTTGTAGCATAGGGGAGATCTAAAATTTCCCAAATCCTCAAGCTAGGAATGTAGACAGAACTATTGGAAGTATCAGCATGTTGGAAGAATATTAAGATCAAAATGAAAAGTCTGTATGTTACAAAGATGTACTGACTAGAGAACCTGTCCAGGATATTAGGCATAATCAGAAATGACTCAAAAGCAGCACAAAAATAGACACATGCATCAGCCACTCTCAGCAAATACTAGATAACAAGTGCCCATGCTGTCTGAGCTATAGCACAGTGGTGGCAAATTTTCCCAAAGAATGTGGAATATGTATATAAAATGCATGTTCTAAGACAACTGAAGGCTAAGCAACAAATTGAGTTCTTTAATAGAAAATGAAGTCATGTCTGCACATCTGACTTCAGTGTTAACTTATAAATTATGTTATGGTGTTAATTTAATTTGGCTACTACACTTAACTGTTGTTCACCATGTTATTTTGGCCTTTTCTGGTTTTGTGTTTTTTTTTTTTAAAGATTTATTTATTTATGCATACAGAGCTGGGGCACAGGTCAGAGGTACGGGGGTGAGAGAATTCACCAGAGACAGAGCGGGGAACAGAACAGGCAGATGGACTGAAATACACTGCTGAGAGGAGCAGTGGGTGAGACAGGAGAGGTCTGCCTCACCATGTGGGTTTCTCCCCGGCAGGCCAGGGATCCAACTCATGCTGCAAAGGCTGTGGATAGCTTTATAGTGCAGTGTTTAACCCCTTGTGCCACCAGGGAGGCCCTGGTTTTGTGTTTTCAATTAAATAATTTTTATGTTATCATCCATGTAATATTTGGAACTTTATATCATTAAAAGTTAAAATGATAAGAAATGTTTGCTTTCCATTTTCAGGGATGTTCTCTGTGGAAAATTAGCCTGTGTTTGGCCACATAATAATACTTATAAAAGTGATGTTCAATCTGCAGTTTATTCAAATATTCAAGGTCACTTGTGTCTATCCATAACTACTGGGTCTTCCGTGAGATCAGAGGAAAGAGATTATGTCTATGTGGCTGATGGCACTGTGTGTGGTCCACAAATGGTAATTAAACATGTTAATTTATTTTGAAGATGATATCTAGCCAGTTGAGGAAGTTTCCCTCTATTCTTTATTTGCTGATATTTTTCTTTTAATCATAAATAGGTGTTGAATCTTGTCAAATATATTTTCTTTGTCAATTGTTATGATTATGAATTTTTTCTTCATTGTAATTATAGTTCTATTTTATTCCAATTATCTGAGAAAACAATACATGGGATTTCATTGTTGGTATTTGAGTAGCTTAGGTTCATAAGAAAAACTAGGATTTATGAAGATAATAAATTTGCCCCTATTCTATATTAACTAGCTTATCTTGTTAGAAATTGGAAGGCCCAAATGATTAAAGTTACTGGAGAATTTCTTAAAATTATTAAAAATTGCCAGAGACTGGGCCTCCCCGGTGGCGCAGCGGTTGAGAGCCGCGCTGCAAAGCTGTCTGGGGTCTCTGCAGAGCCAGTTCAATTCCCCGCTGGCCAGGAAGAACCCCACATGGCTTGGCAGACCTCTTCTGCCTCACCCGCTGCTCCCATGAGCAGTGTCCTCGGTCCGTCTGCCTGTTCTGCTCCCTGCTCTGGCTCTGGTGAATTCTCTCACCCTCCTGTGCTTCTGATGTGTACCCCGGTTCTTGCATAAATAAATAAAAATCTTTAAAAAAAAAAAATTGCCAGAGACCCATCATAACCGTTTAGGAGTGCTCAGTACCTCTGATATTTCCAGAGTCCACTATTAACTGGGTCTTTTTATTAACTAAGTAGGAAGAAAATGTTACGGTGGTAGCAATGTGTAGGAAAATTACATTTACATGTGAAAAGTATTGATATTTTGGGTCAAGTATTTTTTTTACTATTTTTAAATGATTATAGCTGATTTTTTGTTGTTATTAAATGACTATAATTCCTCTCATACAAATAATATAACAGAACATTAGCAAAATATAGAAATTTCCCTGAAGGAGAGTCTCAATTCATTTCCCAATTGTAGGTATAAAAAACAAAATTATATGACATTGTTATATATTGATAAATTGTCAAAGCAAATACACTTTTTCCCCTTAAATACATTATTGCTTATCTTTGTATCAAATTGTCAAAATCTTTGAACCAGAATCAGTACTATGGTTAAAAAGTCTCAACTTGAACATCACTTATGTATATACAACAATTACTTTCTCATATTATGTCAAATTTCTGAATGATTATGAATTATTGCTTGTTTTATTTTAGTACTGTGTAAATAAAACCTGCAAAAAAGCTCGCTTTATGGGAAATAGCTGTAATGCCACTGCAAAATGCAAAGACAATGGGGTAAGTAACTTCTGTGTAGTTCTAAATTACATTTTACTTTGCAGCCAGATCCCCTCCATTCTTCAACAAAAATATCTCCCCTAGACTAAAAAAAAGGAATAAGTGGAATTAAATTCTAATCACCCTTTGTTCTTTCTTCCCTGCCAAAAGTTTGGGATTAACCTTTAACTGCACCACCTGTGTTCCTGGGAACTTGAAAAATTGATTATATTACACCCTAATAAAATTCTCTCTCCCTCTGGGGGTTGATAGTGGTGTTAGGAACTAACATCTGCTGATCGCTGAGAAAATACATTGCTGAGAAAGTCAAACACCTTAACTCATGTCACCTAGACATCCCAGCAGCTCTGCAGACCTGAAAATGTGAAGCCCTGTAGTTCCCTCACATTCCTTCACCCCTTATATAATATCAGCACTCTCACATTTAGTGAGTTGGTTTTTGGGGATGGCCATCCCTCTGACTCCCTTGATGACCATCTTGAATAAACTCCTCTGTATAAAGACATTCCTTGTGGCTCAGAGTTTGAATTTCTGGGTGCAAGTAAAAGACCCATTTTGATCTTTTACAATTCAGTGGATAATCCAAAATTAAAATATATTCTTTTTGAATAATGGAGAATCTAGGTTACTTTTAAGCTGTACTTACCTAGGAAGAGTTGACTAATAAAAAAATTAGCTGAACTAATTCAAACACTAGTAAATGAATATACTATATATGTGTATTGAATTTATTGTAAGAATTCACAACTTATGAATTTGTGTCACGTGTAAATGAAAAACATTCATTTTTCCCTTACATGAATAAATGTATGCATTAAATGTATTTGTTTATGGGAATATGTAGAATATGTATGTTTATATATGAATAAAACACAGAAAATGCTTAGCACTGGGGAGTGGGACTTAATTAGTGAAAACTCTTTTAGTTCAATACATTTTAATTGCTTGAATTTTACAAAATATGAACTTATTTGTTTTATTTTAAAATAAAAATAATACAAAACTATTGAAATATTAAAGCTCAAATAACATGGAAACGATACAGGGTATAAACAGTTAGCAATGCAAGCTTATCATAAAATTTTATTCCATTGTCCATTTTAATGTATTTTTGCATCTATTTTAGGAAATGCACTTAAAATGAAATATAAATTGTCACTCAATAGTGTCAAATATTGAAAAGGAGCTAGTCCAAAATGAAAGTGACTATGTGAATTGATGATAACTTTATCAAAATATTTTATGTAGAAATGAAAGTAGATGATTAGGAAATGTAGAAATGGTGCTGTCAAACATTTCCAAAATAGCTGAATGATATATTTGTGGAAAATTCCAAATTCACACAAAGACGCATTTTCCTCTGTGACTATCATTTTATTGAAATTCACTTATTAAAAATATTGTGGAAGATAAAAGTACTTAATTAAAATCAATCAATTAATCAAAGAAATTTGCTGTCACATATATTGTGATTTTGCCATTAAGCTATTATGTTGCCAAAATTTTCACCACTGTTCTTAAACAATTTCTCATATAGTTTTAATAATCTTAACAAAAAGTGGTTTTATTCTTTTGAATTTAAATATTTATATTTAAATTATAAAGGCTTATGAGGTTTATAGTGACTTATGAGGTTTAGTGATTATATGTTTTTCTGTTTCAGATCTGCAATAATTTGGGTAATTGTCATTGCTTCCCTGGCTATCAGCCTCCAGATTGTATACTCCATGATGGTTCACCAGGGGGAAGTATTGATGATGGAAGTGTTCAGAAATCAGGTAAGTAAACACAAAACATTCAAAACAAAAAAGAATTTTTTTTATGAAATGACAAAGAGATATATTGCTGAGCCAATTCTTCTATGATCTCCTGAATAATTATGAGTTATTGTGAATAGTGGCTTTAATTTATTGAATTTTGAGTGATGGGATACATGTTAATACTTTCTCTTGCTCTCATGAATGAAGGCAAGTATCATGAAGTTTCATTGATTCATCATTCATTCATTAATTAATACTTCTCCTTCACAAACATCTTACTAAGTATCTGGTATTTTAATGAAATTTAACCCTACATTTCAAAGCATCCACTCAAATGGTAATGTGGAGAATGATTTTGATAATGTGAGAACAAAAATGAATTACTTGGAAAGGAATATTCTTAATTATTAGGGCCTTAAAGTAGATAATGAAATATAAGTTGCTACATGATATTTGAACTGATACTTCATTAAGGGAGATATATGGATGGCAAATAAGTTCATGTTCAAATCATTGTTCATAGGGTAAATGCAAATTAAAAATCACACTTAAATACCACTACATTCTTTTAAAATTGCTTAAATTTAAAAGCTTGTCCGCATTAAGTTAAATTAAAATGTGAAGATCTCATAAAATGCAGTTTGTGTGTAAACTTGCACAAATACTTTCTTAAAATGTGAACATTCATTTATGATATCATCTAACCTTTCCATTATTTACTCAAGAGAATAGAATGTTTGTGCACATACAAAGCTTTGTAATCAAATATTCAAAATAGCTTTATTTATTAATAGGAAAAATTTGTAGGCAACCCAAATATAAATCAACAGGTGATGATAAACATAGTGTGATATATTCAAACAATAGAATACTATTATAGTATATAAATGACCAAGGTATTAAGTTATGTAGAAAAAGCAAGACTAAAAAAAATACATACTGTCTAATTTTATTTGTATTAAATTGTGGAATATGCAAACTAATTTCTAGTGACAGAAGTGCTTTTACTTTCCCCTTTAAGAGTTTGAAATACATTTAAGTTCAATTATCATCTACATGTATACCTATTTATACAGGATTAAACTGAGAAATAGATTTTTTTTTAATATTCTGTGAATATCTGATGATTTTTTCTAGACACGATTTATGTTAAAAAAGGCTACCCTGGACATCTGAACAACTGGCTTATTTTAAGTTTCTACATTGTTCTGCCCTTTTTCATAATTTTCATCGTTGTGATCATGAAAAGAAATGAAATGAAGATATCTTGCAAAAGAGAGAATACAGAATGTGAAGGGTAAGTATGATTTATACAAATAATTATTAGATTACATTATTCATGCTAATTCATAGTTATATATAACATGCTATATTTATTCCTAAGTATGTTTGTTTTTTAACCTAATATAAATGGTTAATGACAATTTTATAACTTTGTAGTACTTTGTTGTTAGCATATTGCCTGTTTTTCTCCCTATGTGTGGTAAGGGTAAATACAATCTATAAAATAAAAGATTAATTCTCCCTGGTACAGGAAGTGAAGGAGTACTCTCATCCCCCTTTCCTTTTCCTTAGATTATTTTCTTTTTTTTCTTTTTTTTTAAGATTTATTTATTTATTTATACAAGCACTGGGTACAGTCAGAAGCGGGGAAGGGTGAGAGAATTCACCAGAGCCAGAGCAGGGAGCAGAGCAGGCAGAAGGACCGAAGTACACTGCTGAGGGGAGCAGCGGGAGGCAGGAGAGGTCTGCGCGCCATGTGGGACCCTCCTCTGGTGGCCGGGGAGCAGCCGGGGATCGAACTGGTGCTGCAGAGGCTGCGGGCAGCTTTGCAACCCAGCGCTCAACAGCCGCGCCACCAGGGAGGCCCTCCTTTTCTTTACAAAACTTGTAATTGTTCATTCTTCTTTGTCTCTTTGAGATTTATGTAAATCTTTGTGAAAATGAAATAAAATTTTTGCCAGTTTTACATTCCAAGTATATTTTTTCTTAAGGGCCTTGTAATTATCTACTTCAGACAAACATTTAGGTGGATAGCTCCTTATCTCTTGGTTCCCTGGTTGGTTAACATTGTGTCTCAGGTTCCATTGCAACTTCCAGGTTATCCTAAGAAAATAAGAAATTTTATTTGGATTTTGCATAGAGGACTTATTAAACATGTGTGAAATGGATCGCATCTCCCTGGTATATATAATAGGGTGCGATTTTATTTTCTCTGTATAATCTCTTTAATGTTATGCAGTCAGGTTTAATGTTTACTCAACAACAAAGATGTTTTGTTCCTTTCGATGTTTAAGTTAAGGATTGCTGGGGAATTAGTAGGAGATCCTACTGTTAATTACTTCTCTAGTATATCATATCTATGGCTATATCTAACTTAACACTACTAATAGATAGATATTACACTACTAATATATAGATATTAGTAGGACTAGGGACTGCCATTTGTTTTTAATGACTGACATTTCTCCATGTCCCCACTTCTGGTTTCCATCTTAACTTTCAGATCTTTCATTGAGGTTTTGGAGTTTTCTCTATGTTCCAGATATTAATTCCCTCATTAGATAAAATTATTTACAAGTCTTTCCTCCCTTTTCTTGGATTGTCTTTTTACTCTGTTAATATTCTGGGAATAGATCCAAAATAAGTGAAGGCAGGATCTGGAAAAGATACTCATTCACCAATGTTTTTAACAGTATTTTCACAACAGTTGAAAAGTAAAACAATCCATGTGTCTATTGATATATGAATAGATAAGCAAAATGTAGTGAAAGGGTAACCAAAGGACCTCCCTTTGGTTCCTTTGACTGGTCTAATAATAAATTAACACATAGAGATCAGTAAGTAAAAGGACAAGTTTAATTGTATGTGCGCAAACACCCACAGAATATAGAACTAATAACGTTCAGTGAGAGGGGTTTTGAGTTTCCGCTGATAAGGATTTTGGCAGATTTTCCCATTCAGTGGCAGATGGCAGTTTATCAAGGTTTGGCAAGTTCATTAAAGAAAAAAAGACATCTTCACAGACAACATTAGGCAAAATCTGCATCTGAAAGGAACAGATTAACAAAAAGAGAGGTCTGCATAGACCCAGGTGGGCAGTCTTAGGATAAGATCTGCATTTTGTCAGGGCAAAAGTTATCCTTATATAGTGTACTTTGGGGGATTCATTTCTTTGTGGAATTTTACCTATTGTGGAATCTTATCACTTCTAAGGTCTGGTCGGGATAAGCTGTAGGACCCGTGTTTATTTGTAATGACCAACATTTCTCTGTGTTCCCACCTCTGGTTTCTACATTTACTGGCTGATCTCCCATAGCAGGTTTAACGATTTGTTAATCATTTCTACCTTCACCTCTACTTTCTGGCCTTGTGAAGCATCCGTCCTAAATTTTCTACTCTAAGCTTTCATCAGAACCTGTGTTTTGTTCAATAAAATTAGGTTAGTTATCAGAAAAGGGGTTAATAACTTTCAGAGGGAAAAACAGAATGAAGAAATTATATGCAATTTAAAAATAAATTTTGTAGGATTTATTTTACATATGAAAGCAAACCTTAGCCTGAAGCAAGGAAGGAAAGCATAAAAAGACTTATTTCCTATTTTTTAGGGAGATAAACAATTGAACAATGCATCATTCTTGAATCAGCTGCTACTTAGTTTCCTTCAATTGAAAATGCCTCTTTGGTATATCCTATGGCATTCTGTCCCTGGCCCCTGCAGAGGTATAGGCATACAAAGGTTTATTAGACAGCCTTATAAAAGATGGAAACTATGACATATGCTATGACCTGGATGAAACTTTTAGGATATTATGCTAAGTTTACCTAAACCAGTCATAAAAGGCAAATACTGTATGAGTCCACTTAAAAAAGGTGCTTGGGAATAGTCAAATTCCTAGAGATAGAAAGGAGAATAGTGGTTACTGACAAGAGACAAATGATGAGTAATTCAACGAGCATAGAGTTTCAGTTTTGCCAGACAAAAAGAATTCTGGAGATGACTGGTGGTGATGTTTTACAACCTTGTGAAGATACTTAATGGGGTAATGATCTGGACCCTTAAAAATGTTTTAAGATGATAAATTTTGTGTTAGGCTCATTTTATCACAATAAAAATGTTATACAAAATTTTGGGAACAAAATGTAATTATACAAGTCACCAATCTATTAAGTTCTTCCCAAGAAAACTCTATTGCCTTTCAATGTGGGAACTCTATGTTAATTTATTTTTTATTATCATTTCTTAGTCTTCCATGTTGTCTTTATAAACCACATAGTTTCTATACATCGAGAGTACAAAACTGAATAAAATGGTCATAACTGTTTTTCAGAGTGCTTTCATAGTTATAATTTTTGCCTCATGCTTTATAATCAGTACTAAAATAATAAAACATGCATATTAGTAATTAGCTTTTTTTATTTGAACTCAGTTGTCTAAGAAACAAACATCTGTAAAACGGAAGAATTAATTTTTCAAGTGTGTGTGTGTGTGCATTTTGACTCGAGATTTGAAGCAGAAATTTGGCAATAGAAACAATTATAATAGGTCTGTTACTAAAGATATTGTGAATTTCAATTTTGTTTTCTTTCACTTCAGCCATTGTACCAGAAAGCTATGACGTACATTATTAATATCATTGAAGAACTTCACCACCAAACGTCTTATTTCCAGAAGAGAAAGTGAACTTTCTAACCTTTATTTTACCCTTGAATGCATTTGAAATGTAGATTTAAAAAAAAAAAAATAAAGCTCATATGTGTTGAAGAGAAGTTAACCTGTGTGCTCCCATGTGAGCAGGTTGTAGATAGGTGTCCCTGACATTGCAAACTGGGCATCTGGGTCCACTGAGCTGGGGCCAGCCCAGCAGCATCACCCTGGTGACCCATGAAAGCATGTTTTCTAATAGATCATATCCAAGTTCTTAAGGGTAAACTTGCTGAAGTCATGTAGATGGCTGCCTGATTTTGTCTACATGGGATTCAAACTTTAAGGAGGCATTGATGTAAAAACAAGAAAATTTATTAGCCACAACATAAAGACATCTATGATTGGCCAAAATATAATTGAGGGCTATTCTCTTCTAGCTAAAGAGGTTTTTGTTGTTGTTGTGTTGGGCCACTATGCTATTTAATTGGCAAAAACAGTTAAAGTTATGGAAATTTTACTAATCATGTGTTCATTTGCCACTACAGCACATTTGCCACTACACCACATGGGTTCATTTGCAAGTTTCATCCAAAGAAGTAGAGTCTAGTATGCCTTTAGGCAAGCCTCATAAAGTAATCATCATAATGTAATTCTCTAATGTTATTTTGGTCCTAGAGAAGAATTTTAGAGAACTGGTCCAGTATTGGTTTCTCTAGACAAAATATGTATGAGAAAAGGAGTAATTAAGTGACCCAAAAGGCTGGTGCCTCCATTATATCAGTTGTTGAGACATTATGTGTCCAGGAAAAATTGTATCAAAGGATCAAAATATGTCCTGGGGGTACAAAAGGAGCTCCAGAAAAGTTTTTAGAATTAAGGCTTTCATTTTGGAGAAAAGTAGCAAGAATGGTTGTGAATTAGGGATCAGTGGAATGAAGAGAGCAATTTGTCAAATTTAGTTCACACACAGGCAAAGGAATGAAGACTTCTTATGTCCAGGTCAAAGATTGCTTGAATTTGGTTAACAGAGGGATATGGTGAAATGATTAGAACTGTTATAACAAGTTATCTGTAGGGAGACCATGGAAAGTGGTGGTGAAACATAGCTGGAATTTCCATATAATAATATTTCTTGTCTTGCTCTCAGGAGAAATCAAAATTATTGCCTCAGGGTTGTGAGCACCCCTTCCCTCACACAACTGTATGAGGCATTGGGAGGTTAGGAACAAATGGAATCGGAGAAGCAGCATTTGTAATAAGCACTCTGATATTACAGTCTACATTCTTCGACTTTTGGTATGGGTAACAATGAAGTCAGGTACAGGTACAGTTATATACCTATAATTAAAGAAAGTAGTTGTAAGTATAATCAGAGGGTCAGTTTGATCATGAACAGAAAAGGGTTTTGGATGACACACAACAATTATAAATGTTTCCTGACTTATTTATTGGATAAATGAATTCAAAAGAGAACAGCACTTAAAAAAATGCCTTGCCACCATCATGGTATTTCATTAAGCATTGCTTTCAATTTAGGTGCTCACTCACTTCACAGCAAAAGAAATACAACAATGGCCCTGTGCTCATGGAATTCAGTGGTTCCACTATCCTGAAGAAGCTGGCTTGAAAAAATGGTGGAAAGTTCTTTTGAACACTAAATTGCAAGCCAGCTAGGTGGCAATACCTTTCAGCCTGTATATGCTGTGAATCAGTGTCCAAAAATAATGCTATTTCTCCCTTAGCCAGGATTCATGGGTCCAGAAATTGAAGGGTGGAAATTTGAATGGCACCACTCACTATTATCCCTTCTTCCCTTGATTTTACGCTATGCTACCCTAGAGGTTTTGTCCCAGAGGGATGAGTGCTTTCATCAGGAGACACATTTATTCCTTGACCTGGAAGTTAAGACCATCACCCAGTTACTTTGTGATTCTCATGCCTCTGAATTAACAGGCTTCTGAATTAACAGGAAAAGAAGAGAGTTAGTTTGGCTGAGGTGACTGATCCTCACTACCAAGGGGAATTGGGCTACTACTCAGCAATGAAGGTAAAGAAGTGTGTGTCAGGAACACATGAGATTGCTTAAGGTTTTCCTTAGCATTACCATGTCTTGTGATTAAGGTCAATGGAAAACTGCAACAACTCAATCCAGATGGAACTATTAATGGCTAGACACTTCAGAAATGAAGGTTTGGATCACCACACCAGTTCAGGTGTTTACTTTAAATCAAATGGAATACAGAATTTGTAGCCTAAGTCTATAAGTATCAGCTACAACCACATTATCAGTTAAAGAAAAGAGAACTGCAATGTCATGAGAATTTTCTTCTCTTATTTTCTTATGAATACATTTGTACACGTTTATTAAGCAAATATCTTTGTTTTCTTTTATTCTCATACATAGCACAATGTGTTGACATTATAGCATAGTATTAATTATGAAATTTTCAGGAGAAAACAAAAACATTACTCAAGGACTTTATCTACTTTTTGAGGGAAGGAATTAGTATATTTTTAGTGATAAGCAGGATAATTGTATCATGTTAGACAGAATTATCACCCTGTTATTGTCTGTATTTGGAAAATAAGTATGGCTTAAGGAGATGCTTATGAGTAACAAGTTAACAACGGATAAACTTGTGATCATTAATTTTATGGGTCAATGTAGGGTTGTCCAGGTAGCTGATAAAATGTTGCTCTTGGGTGTGTCAATGAGCCCAACTCTGAGTTTAGGACTTGAATTATTAGAAAGTAAAAATTACTAACACCAAGGCAAATGGGCATCATCAATCTGTTAAAGCTCTATTGAATAGAACAGAAAATTAAAGGAAGGGTAAGTCTGCTTTCTGCTTGAGCTGAGACATTCATCTTCTCTTGCACATGGATATCCATTAGCACTTCTGGTTCTTGTACTTTTGAACTTTGCCCAGGACTTACACCACTGGCTCCACAATTTTCAAGCCTTCAGACTTAAACTGAATTATACTACCAGGTTCTCCGGTTCTCCAACTTGCAGACTATAGATTATGGGACTTCTTGACCTCCATGACCATGTTAACCAATTCTTATCATCATTCTATCTATCTATCTATCTATCTATCTATCTATCTATCTATCTATCTATCTATCTCTCTCTCTCTACATCATCATCCTTGTTGTCATCATCATCATCATCATCATCTATCATCAATTATCATCATCTAATTATATCCTATTGGTTTTAGTTCTCGGTAGAACCCTGACTATGCATTTTATTACTATAGCTTCCTTTTAGATTGACCCTTTGCATTGACCCTTTTTTATCTCTACTAATAATATTTCTGGCGTGAAAGTATATCATCCTCGTATGTAGTTTGACATTAAGCCCATATAATTTATTTTTATCCTTTACTTGGAACCTTAATATAACTGATATTATGTGTTTAGTAAGCATTACACAGTAGACTTTTTCCAAATCTTAGGATCATTGTAATTTTATTGCTATGAGATTATAACATAACTACACACAATTGCAATTAAAAACAAAGCAGTGGTCTTTAATCATATATTGCATTTATTATAACCTTTCATATTTCATGCCTACTAATAGAATTAGTGTGAGAGAACTTTAAAAATAGGAAATATGTAATATCTTTTGTTCAAAGAAGTTGTCTGTTGCTTTATATATCTTTTATATTGCATTATATATAAATTTTGATTATTTTCTTATCAGTTTTAAACCATAAAATTCATATTTAGTATCTCAAGCAATAAGACACTACATGTACTTTTTCTTTTTCATTTTTCTTATCCATTGAAGATAATTACTCTGGAAAAATAAGCAAAGGGGAAAAGTTACCCATATGACAAATCAAGTTAAAAATAATGGTTAATTTACAAGTAGAAGGAGGTTATACTTATTATGAAGTAGAGCTCTATCATGAAATTTATTTGTAACCAAATAAACTTTGAATTTTGTATATGCAAGTTATAAGTGATTAAACATTATTACAAAAAGAATTAAAAAGATAACATTGCAAAAAATTAAATGCAAATTGAAATATCATTTATAGCTTGTGTCTATGATATAGTTTATAATATTGAAATATATTCTCTAATATTTTCTAATTTTTCTTATATGCAGTTATACAATATATAGTTAATATATAGTTAATATATATTATCAATATATAGTTAATATATATCAATATATAGTTAATATATAAACTGTGTATTTTTATTGTTTATGTTTATCTTATACATTAAATTTGTCCTGCTCTCTTTCTCATTCTGAAAGCATTTATTTTTTTTTATATTTAAAGAGCAGGTTTATTAGAAAAGGGATAGGACAGTGAAAGACACTTGCATAGACACAAACAGGCAGAAAGAGCTCCTTAAAATATTTAATACTCACTGTGATGTCATGTAATTCAAGAATTCTCTCTTCTCCAGGTTATTCTTTGGGTTCACTCTCACTTTCAAGTTGCCTATATATTTAAAAATGAAAATAAATACTTAAAATTTTTTCTTCAAGATTGTTTTACAAGTCTCAGTACTATCTGTCAGTATTCGAACAGTATTGAATCCCTCTCTGAGATCTGGGAGCACCCACTACTTGATAATGCCTTACCAATGAGAACACCTCTCAACAGTTAGGCCAGACTAACATGAGAAAAAGCACAGTAATATAAATTTACTTGAAAATGAACTCATATCACTTTCCTATTGATAACATAATTAGCTAAATAGTTTTAAGCATGATTTGTCATTTGTAGCCTGCCATATTTATTTCTATTAATTTTACTAGCTTCTTTATCCCCAAATACCTTCAATAATAATTTTTCCAGAGTAAAGTTATCCAACATAAGACAATTCCTTTAATGTGTTGGAGTAACTGAATTATGTTAAGTATTTCATGTGCTACATATTATTTTAGCAAATTTACATACTTTTCATATTTTTTATCTATAAAGTATATTTTCTTTAAAGTTTTCTTATCTAATCAATTTTAAATCTTTGACTAAAATTCAATTAATTTAGTAAAATGTAGGATACAAGTATAAAACTCAAAGCAGAAATAATTTCATAGCAATTCACCTGAAGAGAAGTAAACCAATTTTTATTACTTTTCATTTCTGAAGCACATTTTCAGACCTCCTAAGATTTTTAATCAAAGATTATTTGTTATTTTTCTCCCCTGTACCCTAGCTATAGCTATAATCTAAATTTTTAGGTATTACTGTTTATATTGTATACCTTATCTACAACTGAGTGCTTGTCTGCAAGTATATTTATCAATTTATTTAACTGTATAAAAGGATAGTTACTCTCCTGTATTTCCTTACTGCCTTTTAACAAATAGTGTAGGCAAATTTTATAAATATATAAAAATTAAAAAGTAATAAAATGATGTTTAATACATAGTTATTAAGATCAAACAAAAAAGGAGGCATATAAAGATTAGCTAAAAATTAGTTCTACTTATTTTTACCCCTAACAAGTGTTCAATTTGTTATAGACTAAAATCACTTATATATTTAAAAATTATGTTAATTATTAATCATTAGTATATTAAGTATTAAATATCGATATAAGGATGAAAATCAAATCTGAAGTATTTCCAGTTACATCATCATAGTATTGTTTATTTATGAGTTACTGTATATTCCAACAAATTCTAAAAGGAATGGATCTGAAATATGAAATCAATGTACTCATCGCTTGTGTACTCCTCAGTTCTCCATTTCTTTCGTTGGAAATAAACTTTTACCAATTTAGCAATCAGTAAGCAGAGAACAATAAAAAAAGGAATGAGTAAGTAATATGGCCATCTTGGGCGTCTAGAATGGTAAACATTCTCAATGTATCGATCAGCTAGGAGACAAAAACAAACAAGCAGTGATTTGAAAGTAACATATTAAAGATATCTCTGTATTTTAATATGACTCTTAGAATAAAAAAAATAAGTATTAAATAATTGTATAACTAACTTTATAAGAAGTAGAATTTGAGAAGCAATGAGGGAGAGAGAGAGAACCACTGTGGTACAAGAAACGACCCCCAAATTTAGTAACTTAAAACAATCATTTATTTTGTTTTCATTTTTTGTGTGTCATGAATTTAGGGAACAGGGGAGGACTTTGTTGCATTGTGTGTGTGTGACAGAGAGAATGTAGTTAAATTTCTTATAGAACAGATAACTTCCAATACAATGAATATTCCAATAATGAGAGTTACAAGAATTAGTATTCTAAAATACCCAATTGGAATTACAGAATCTCACTTGTGACTTTTATAGACCAACCATGTCATAAGTAACAACTGAATTGTAGGAAAGGAGTAAATCTCTTCAGCTTTGCTCATTTTGGAAATTGCAATTGCAATTATATGCATAGACAGGAATGGTTAATTGCAGTCAACTTGAAGATAAACTACTGGAAGCTAACTGCTACTATGACAATGGAAATAACCAGATAATAAGTCAATACTTGTTATAGTGTTTTTTCTTAACTAATCTTGTCATCTGACCTTAAATATAATGTTTCCAACACTGGATGGAAGGTGGGAATGTTAAATGTTAAAATATGGGGGAAAAAAACTTTAATTTCCTGTAAATATAAATTTTCATATAAAGGATATCTAGTCCTAAGCAATGTTAATACTGACTTGTTCTAAAATCCTTCCTTGCTTTGAACAAAAAGAAAAAATGTCAAGACCCACCCCCTCACCCCTAAGCTCCTTGACCTGTCTTTTAGAAAGATATGGTCAATGGGAGTCAATGGATACAATTTGGATTGTCAGAAGAGAGCATGAAATAGCATGATAAATTTTTATAAAGATTTATTTATTTATGCATTTAAGAACTGGGGTGTGTCAGAGGTGTGTGTGGGGGGTGGCTATGGGGGTGAGTGGATTCACCAGAGAGAGTGGGGAATAGAACAGGCAGATATACTGAAATACACTGCTGAGGGGAGCAGCAGACAGAAGAGGTCTGCCGGGTTAGCTCCCTTGCTGGCGGGGAATTGAACACATGCTGCAGTGGCTGGTGAGAGCTTGATAGCACTGTGTCTTTAACCTCTGTGCCAACAAGGAGGTCCCGAAATAGCATCCTATTTATAACCTTCCTCTTCAGTATCGCAAACAGTGGTTGTGTATGATCTATAACTCTATTGATGCTGCACAGTACCTCTACTTAAGAGTTCTAGATCCTGCTAAATCGGCATGATTATAGTAATGTGTCATTCTGCATGACTCAGAGTCCGATTCTAGTAATACTATCTCCTTTTATTGTTCCTCTAGTGCTAAGAAGACTAAGAATTAGTAGTTCTAAGATTCCTATTGTTACTAATCTCTTGATTGCTTCCCCACTATCTGATCGACTTTCATCTCTGTGTAACCTGATGCCTGATAATTCACAAAGGATTAAAGTGATATCTGTTTTCCTGCTGTATCTTATTTATAGTAAAGTAATTACTGACGTATTTATAGTAATTCCTCATTTAATGTCATCATATACAGACCCAGAAGCTGTGGACTTCAATGAAAATGACATTTAAAGAAACCAGGTCCACAAATTATGTTGTTTTCTATAATGACGGTCAGGAGCATTTGCACTCATTAACATTATAGCAACATGGAGGAGGGGGCGGAGCAACATGGCGGCGAGGAGACGCTGCGAGTAAGATCTCCCATTAAAAAAAGTGAATAGGGAGGAAAAGCGGCAGGTCCCAGTGAGAACTGGGACACGGAAGATAAACGGGTGACTCCAGCAAACTGCCCAAAGAAGAAAGTTGCCATAAAAGAGGACCAGAAGGGAGGGAAGCGCAGAACCCTGCTCCCCTCCCCCGCCCACAGAGGCGGCACTCTCCGACCGGCAGAGAGGAGGAAACAACAAACCAAAACAACCAACAAGAACAAACGACGCAGCAAGCGGGACTGTGAGCGGAAAGGAACTATTGCAGCCACCACACCCCGTGAACGGGAGCTGTGGAGAACCCTGCAGGATTCGCCGAGGCGGTGAGCGAACGGCTCCGGGCGCCATTAGAGAAGAACAAAGACCCCGGGAGACGCGCACTCAGCCCGGGCTGCCGGTAAGCTGGCGCGGATAGCGGCGCGCTCGGCGCGCTTGAAAAGCAAGTGCAGACCAGGATCGCGGCTGCCCAGGTCCCCGCGCCTGCGACCTAGGCTTGGGAGACGACCTAGGCTTGCGGGGAGACGCGCGGAGGTCCTCACTGAGGTGAAGGTCCCTCCCTGAGTGAGCAGGAACCAGGCGCCCAGGCACGGGAGCGGTGCAAAAGGCGCCCTTCCCGCGCCACTGAACTGGGCTACAGCCCGCGTCCTGGAACTGAGGGCTTTGGAACTGAGACCCGGGGCACGAAATTAGGGGCGTGGGTTCCCCACGACGGTGGGTCACAAGGCAGACACAGCACCCCAAAGCCGTTGAGGTGTACCCTACCATCCCCGCTTTGCTCCCTGTCCCACGGTGTGGAAAATCAGCTCCCCAAGGGCTCTAGGAGAGATCTTTGGCGCCACCTAGCGACTTGTAGACAGCACAGGCTCCTGAAGGAACTAGTGGCCAGCTGGGGAGTTAGCCCACACCTGGCCCCTTCCGAACAAGTAGTCTGAGCCCACAGGGAGAGCGAGCACCCACAGCCAGGGCAGACCAGGCACGCAGAAGAGTGTGCCTGACACCGGACGCGCAGGGAGTGTGTCCCACATCACCATTTTAGAACAGGGACATTTCTTCAGTAAAGACTACCTGCAGAAGGCTTCCTCAGGAGCCAGAGGTGAGCGGGGGAAGTTCGCCCACGCCAGACCCCCTCTGGCCTGCAGTCCAAGCCCAGAGGGGGAGCAGGAACCCACCGTCGGGGCAGACCAGGCGCACAGGGGAGTGTGTCCCCACATCGACATTTTAGGACAGGGACCTTTCTCCAATAAAGACTGCTTGAAACTGACAGATGACTCCAGGAGGAACCAGAGGGGAGAAGAGAAGCCCACCCAAGATGCCGGCCAGTCCCAACAACACAGTGTCCCAACGCATACGGCAAATTAGAAAACAGACAGTAGGGAGGAGAAGAACCACACGCAACCTAGCAACTCTCCAGAGAAAAAGCACACCACAAAAAGAAAACCAGCCCCCAGATGGCAACGACAGTAACTTGGAAGAACTTCTGAGCCTTCCAGAAAGAGAATTTAAAATTGCCGTGATTAAAAAACTGACAGAAGTCATAAAGGAAAACAATGATAAGGGAAAAATAATCAACGATCAGAAGAATGAAATTGAGTCCCTAAAGAGGGAAGTAAAAGAAATGCAGGAGATCAAAGAATTAGTGGAAGAACTAAAGAATTCTGGGAAAAGCAATGAAAGCAGAATTGATGAAATGGAAGAACGAATAAGTGCTCTTGAAGACACAGAAATAAAAAGAACCAAAACAGAAAAGGAAAGAGAAGTACGAAGGAAAAAGAATGAAGAAAGACTTCGGAACTATCTGACTCCATGAGGAAAGGAAATATAAGAGTTATAGGAATACCAGAAGGAGAGGAGAGAGAAGTAGGAACAGAGAAAATATTCAAAGAGATAATTGAAGAGAACTTCCCAAATGTGAAGAAGGAGCTGAAAATTGATATACAAGAAGCAAGAAGAACACCAAACTTCCACGACGAAAGAAAAAAATACAGCAAGACACATAATAGTAAAGCTCCCAAGAATCCAGGACAAGGAAAAAATAATGAAGCTGGCAAGAGGGAAGAAACAGATAACATTCAAAGGAAAGCCAATCAGGCTGACATCAGACTTCTCCGAAGAAACACTACGGGCAAGGAGAGAGTGGAGGACATAGTCAACAGACTCCAAGAAAACAGATGCCAACCAAGAATACTCTATCCCGCAAAGCTCTCCTTCCTCTTTGAAGAAAGAATATGGACCTTCCCAGACAAACAGAAACTCCGGAATTTCATTGCAAATAAACCCCCACTCCAAAAAATACTACAAGGAGTCCTAAAGCCAGAACCTCAGAGGGACGAATAACAATGAAAGAAGGCCAAAAAAAAAAAAAAAGTTATTAAAAGAATAAATAAATAAAATCAAAGGAAAGACAAACACAATGGCAAATACAGATGTTAACATATCAATATTAACTCTAAATGTAAATGGACTAAACTCTTCAATAAAAAGACACAGAGTTGCAGCCTGGATTAAGAAACAAAACCCAACCTTTTGCTGTCTCCAGGAAACACATTTAGCTACAAAAGATAAAAATAGGCTCAAAGTCAAAGGATGGAAAACAATCCTACAAGCAAATGGGCCAAAAAAGAAAGCAGGAACAGCTATACTTATATCAGATAAAACAGATTTCAAACTCAAAAAGATAAAAAGAGACCCCAATGGTCACTACATTATGATCAAGGGGACAATACTTCAAGAAGAAATAACACTCATTAACATATACTCACCAAACGAAGGAGCACCAAAATATATCAGACAACTGTTGTCTTCTCTGAAAACAGACATCAGAGAAAACACATACGTAGTGGGAGACTTCAACACACCACTATCAACAATGGATAGATCAACAAGACAAAAAATAAGTAAAGAAACCAAAGCTCTAAATAAGGACCTAGAGCAATTGGGCTTAACAGACATCTATAGAACACTAAACCCCAAAAAAACGGAGTACACATTTTTCTCAAGCGCACACGGATCATTCTCCAGGATCGATCACATACTGGGGCACAAGACAAACATCAACAGATACACCAAGATTGAAATCATACCAACCATCTTTTCTGACCATGAAGGCATCAAACTAGAACTAAACCATAAAAAGAAGGCAAGGAACTTTCCTACCTCATGGAGATTAAAAACCACACTACTGGAAGACCACTGGACTAATGAGGAGATCAAAGAAGAAATTAAAAAATTTTTTGAATTGAACGACAAGGAGGACACCAATATCCTAAATGTATGGGATGCAGCAAAAGCAGTAATAAGAGGAAAATATATAGCAATAGAAGCTCACATCAAGAAACAAGAAAGAACTCAAAGAAACAACCTAATCTCGAAGCTCAAAGATCTAGAAAAAGAACAACAAAAAAACCCCAAAACCAGTAGAAGAAAAGAAATAATAAAAACCAAAGCAGAAATAAATGAAATTGAAACTAAAAAAACAATCCAAAAGATCAATGAAACCAAGAGCTGGTTCTTTGAAAAAATCAATAAAATAGACAAACCCCTAGCCAGGCTCACAAAGGAAAAAAGGGAGAAAGCACAAATAAACAGGATCATCAATGAAAGAGGAGAAATCACAACGGACACAGCAGAAATAAAAATAATCAGTAACTACTATGAACAGTTATATGGAAATAAGTTTAATAATCTAGAGGAGATGGACAAATTCCTACAACTCTACAATCACCCAAAGCTAGATAAAGAAGAAATAGAACACCTAAACAGACCAATTACAATTAGCGAAATTGAAATGGTAATCAAAAACCTCCCCAAAAACAAAAGCCCAGGACCTGATGGATTTACAAATGAATTCTACCAAACATTCAGAGACGAATTAGTGCCTATCCTTCACAAACTCTTCCAAAAAATTGAGAAGGAAGGGACAATACCAAACACGTTCTATGAAGCCAACATTACACTAATACCAAAACCGAACAAGGACAACACAAAAAGGAAAACTACAGGCCAATCTCCCTAATGAACACTGATGCAAAAATCCTCAATAAAATTTTAGCCATCAGAATCCAACAATGTATCCATAAGATAATTCACCACGACCAAGTAGGATTCATTCCAGGGGCACAAGGATGGTTTAACATCCGAAAATCAATCAACGTTATCCAACACATCAACAAAAAGAAATATAAAACCATATGATAATATCAATAGATGCTGAGAAAGCTTTCGACAAAGTGCAACACCCATTCATGATAAAAGCCCTTGAAATTCTTGGGATACAAGGAACATACCTCAACATCATAAAGGCCATCTATGACAAGCCAACAGCCAGCATCATTCTCAATGGTGAAAAGCTGAAAGCAATTCCATTAAGATCTGGAACAAGACAAGGATGTCCACTCTCACCACTGCTTTTCAATATAATACTGGAAGTCCTAGCCAGGGCAATAAGACAAGAGAAAGACATCCAAGGAATCCAAATAGGAAAAGAAGAAGTCAAACTATCACTATTTGCAGACGATATGATATTATACATAGAGAACCCCAAAAACTCCACAGAAAAGCTAATTCAACTCATCAATCAGTTCAGTAAAGTGGCAGGATACAAAATCAACATGCAAAAGTCAGTAGCCTTCCTATACACAAACAATAAATCTGAAGAAGAAGAAATCAAAAAAAACCATCCCTTTTGTTATTGAAACAAAAAAATCAAATATTTGGGAATAAATCTAACAAAAGAGATAAAGGACCTATACAAAGAAAACTATAAAACACTGTTAAAAGAAATAGAAGAAGACACAAAGAAATGGAGAGACATCCCCTGCTCATGGATTGGAAGAATAAACATTATTAAAATGGCCATCCTTCCAAAAGCAATATACAGATTCAATGCTATTCCAATCAAAATTTCAATGTCATTCTTCAAAGAAATAGAACAATTATTGGTGAAATTCATATGGAATCACAAAAAACCCCGAATAGCCAAAGCTCTCCTGAAAAAAAAAGAAGGGAATGGAGGCATTACACTCCCAGACTTCAAACTATACTACAAAGCCATAATCATCAAAACTGCATGGTATTGGAACAAGAACAGACATACAGACCAATGGAATCGAATAGAAAATCCAGAAATAAATCCACAGATTTATGGTCAACTAATCTTTGACAAAGGAGCAAAGACTATGCATTGGAGCAAAGAAAGTTTGTTCAATAAATGGTGCTGGGAAAACTGGGTCGCTACATGCAAAAGAATGAAGCTTGACCACTACCTCACACCATACACAAAAATCAACTCAAAATGGATTAAAGAACTAGACATAAGACCTGAAACCATAAAATATATAGAAGGAAATATAGGCGAAACACTACGTGATCTGCACATCAAAGACATCTTTACAGACACATCACCCAAAGCAGGGATAGTGAAGGCAAAGATAAACAGCTGGGACTACATCAAATTAAAGAGCTTCTGCACAGCAAAAGAGACAATAACAAAAACAAAGAGAAACCCCACCAACTGGGAGAACATTTTTGCACCCAACACTAATGATAAAGGACTGATCACAAAAATCTGCAAAGAGCTGATGAGACTCAGCAACAACAAAGAAAATAATCCAGTCAAAAAATGGGCAGAAGAGCTAAAAAGAAACTTCTCTGAAGAGGAAATGCAAATGGCCAACAGGCATATGAAAAAATGTTCAACATCACTTGCCATCAGGGAAATGCAAATCAAAACTACCATGAGATACCATCTTACACCAGTGAGAATGGCACATATTAAAAAAACTAGCAACAACAAATGCTGGCGAGGGTGTGGAGAAAAAGGAACTCTTCTGCACTGTTGGTGGGAGTGCAAACTGGTCCAACCACTGTGGAGAGCTGTGTGGAGATTTCTGGACCTACTAAACATAGAGCTTCCATATGATCCAGCAATTCCACTCCTAGGTATTTACCCAAAGGACACAGAAACATCAATTCCAAAGAACACCTGCACCCCTATGTTTATAGCAGCACTGTTTACAATAGCTAAGCTTTGGAAACAACCCAAATGCCCAAAAATAGATGACTGGATCAAGAAGATGTGGTACATATATACCATGGAATATTACTCAGCATTCAAAAAAGATAAACACATGCAATTTGCAGCAACATGGATGGCGCTGGAAGGGATCATGCTCAGCGAAATAAGCCAAAAAGAAAAAGAAAAATACCGGATGGTCTCGCTCATAGCAGGAATCTAGAAAACTTAAATAAGGGACCAGGAAAATGAATAACTATAAGAAAGTGAAAATCAAAATCAACAAAAAACTATGAACCAGAGACACTTTTAGGGGGGCGGGGCGGGAGGGGAGGGATTGGGGTCAGAATGGGGGGGCTGCAATTGTATGGGGAATATAACAATAAAATTTATAAAAAAAAAAAAAAAAAAACTTACTAAAAAAAAAAAAAAAACATTATAGCAACATGGTGTTAAAACATCATTATTCAAGGGCCTACTGTATATGTCACATTCTCTCTGGAAGTAAAACATAGTCATATATGGTTTATTGCTTAATGTTCAAACATAAATATAAATTGATAGGAAAAATATTATTTATTTTATTATATGTAATAAATTTAAATACTTTGATTATGTTTTCAAATTGTAATTGATACATACTGATTGACTGGTCTTTAGTTTGCGGAAAATTTCCACTGTCAACACTTCCACCAGGATATGAAGCATCTTCTTTTTCGCAATCTGGAGGTAAATATGTGGACTCGCAGTGACAGTTGTTATTGTTATTGCAGACCTAAAACCAAAACCAGGAGAAAGACCCGGTAAAATACTTAGAAGAAGTTAGAATTAATTGTGTTCAAGTAAAATTTTGAAATGACTCTTAGGTAAGATAAGGCCAAGGTTTATGGTGTATCAGTGTGTGTGTGTGTGTGTGTGTGTGTGTGTGTTTTTCCCTTTGTAGAATCATTCTCAGTGATTTCTATTTTGTCGTATGACTGGTACTTACACCATGACCTTTACATTTATCTGCAGGACACAGTTGTGACAAGTATTCATTATCTACACATTCCTTATTCTTACAAATCTAAAAAGGAAAGAATCAGAATTAATTTCACTGAAATGCCATTTATAGTTGATATATAATTAAAAGTATCCCACATTATGCTGACTTAGGAGGCATTCATTTAATAATAGGCATTACTGTACTTGCAATAAGCAGTAAACTTATATATGTTTGCAACTGTGGATGAAATTGATTTCCTGAGAATAAACAAAATACAAACAAAATAATACAAACAAAATATACAAGCAAAATATATAACTTCTGCTTATCCTGGAACAGGGGGTATAGGCATGAAATAAACAGAAAGATAAATATATGATAAATACTACAATGAAGCAATAGTTTTATGAAAGTGTGAAATACAGGGAATTTACCTAAATAGTGAAAATAGTAAAAACTTCTTTTTTGAGTCCTCTTTTTGAATAGAACTTAATCAAGCAGAGAAATGCAGATAAAGTACTAATAGGAAAAAATATAATATTTGAAATTGCCCTATATTTTCGAGATAATAAGGAGCTTTTGAGAAATATTAAGGACAGCATAATTGTTACACAGAGAACCATCCAATCTTAAATGAAATAGTTTTGCCATACTGTGGGCCTGACCCTGAGAATACAGCAGTGAATAAAAGAAATCTCATATTGAGGGGGCCTTCCTAGTGGCTCAAGGGGTTGAGCGTGAGCATTATGAAGCTATCCACAACTATTGCAGTTCAATCCGTGGCCAGGGAGGTGACCCACATGGTGCAGCAGACCTCTCCTGTCTCACCCTCTGCTACCCCTCAGCAGTGTATTTCAGTCAATCCGCCTGTTCTGCTCCCCACTCTGTTTCTAGTGTATCCTTTCACCTCCCCGCATCTCTGGCCTGCACCTCAGTTCTTGTATGCATAAATAAATAAATCTTAAAAAAAAAGAAATCTCATATTGCAATAAAAGAGACAGACATATATAAACAAGCCAAAGAATTAAATGGGATGTGAAGAGTAGTTGTAGGATTGTGTCGGGTCAGTCAGTTTTATTCAGAATGTTAGTCTAATACCAAGTAATGTATTTATAGACTCAATAGGGAGAGAGAAAGTTAATAAAAGTATGCTTTGGAAAAGGACAAGAGAAAATTTGCACATTTAATTATGAGATGAAAAAAGTAGCAGATAAACAATTAAAAGCAAAGTATAAAATAAGAAATTATTTGGAAAAAAACCTACATACCTTATTTTCACCACAAACAGTTCCATCTTTTACCCACATATTATTATAATCTTCTGTATCATATTTATAATCCATCGTAATGCAGATGTGGTTATTTATGTTGGCATAGATAGTAGTCACATCTTTAATACTTAATATAATTTCTTTATCATATATACAGATTAATTTTCCACACATCACGTTCCTGTGTTTCCAATAAAATTAGAATTATTAGTTTTCAAAATATTAGGATATATTTCTAAAGCAAGAGATTTATATAAAGCATTGAAGACGTGCAAAAAGACAAGCAATTAATTGGAAGACACATAAAAGTGGGCAAAACATACATTGTTAGTAATAACTGAACATTTAATAATTAGCAACTACTTCCTAGTTAGCAACTACTTCCTAATCACTTTTTTGTAATAATTTATTCACTCCCTTTTAATGATTAAATGTAATTCCAAGCTAATTCTACTCTAGAAAGTGGTAAATTTATATAATAACCAGTCATTGAATTTCTTTTTCAGTGTTTCAAGCTAATACTTACTCTCACTGTGTGATGGTCTCAACTGACAAGGAATTGAGAATCACATTCAAGAAACACTATTTGCAATTAATATTAAAAATGAAACCAATAAAGACATAATAGTGATATAAGCCATAGAAAAAAATCATGAAAGCAACCAGAAAATTAAAAGGTCATATTAACAATAGGACAATAATACAATTCAATATTAACTTTCCAACAGTAACATTGGAAACCAGAGACTATTGAATGATAACTTCTAAAAGGAAAATGCAGCTCTATACTGCATACAAAGAAAATGTTTTTTAAGGTGATATGAGGCATTTTCATTCAATAATTAAAAAAAATTAGTATTAGCATCTTGGACTGAAAAAAACAACTGAGTTCTTCATCAAAGAAGATTTATTTAATTTAATTTTTTTAAAGATTTATTTACTTATGCATACAAGAGCTGAAGCTAGAGGTGTGGGTGGGGTGGTGAGAGGATTCACCAGAGACAGAGTGGGGAGCAGAACAGGCAGATCTACTGAAATACACTGCTGAGGGGAGCAGCGGGCAAGTCAGGAGAGGTCTGCTGCATCATGTGGGTCACCTCCCTGGCCGGGAATCAAACTTGTGCTGCAGTGGCTGCAGATTGCTTCATAATGCTTCCGCTTAACCCGTTGTGCAGGAAGGCCCAAAGAAGATTTATTATCAAATGGAAGCTAAATACGCATGGATTTATCAGATTTGGGATTTTTTTTCTATTTCTAGTTAGATGACAGTTTGTATCATGGATAATTGTTAGAGGTTTGTATTAAATCAGCCACACAATAAAGAAAATCATATAAAGTAAAAACTTGTATGGGTGTTCAGTAAGATGGTGAAGGAATGAAGATTGCTGGACTCACCTCATTGACATGATCACAGCTAAATTAGAGTAGGAAAAAGTCACCAACCTTTGGAAGATGAATAGATGATTACTTCATACATTGGGAGCAGTGGTGTGGCAGAAAGTATATGAAAAACTGTAATTAAACTGTTTTCAGAGAACACTGGAGCAGTACAGCTCTTTAGGGGGAAGGGTGACTACTTAAAGAGCCTCTACATTGTTAGTTGAAGGACACATTGCCTACACTGGGAACTTCGAAAAGTAGGCACCACACCAGAAAAGGGGGCACAGAGTCAAGGTGAGAGATAGTTATAAGATAATGATCCAGAGTGGTGATGAAAGCCTTGAATCTGTGGCGCCTGAATGAAAATAGCTGGAGCTTAAAGAGGTGGGAAGTGTCAGTTAGGACCACCAATGTTTCCCTCATAGAAAGGTTATTATTTGTAGCCTGTGACTCTCATACGAGAAACTTCTTCCTTTTTCCTACCCAGAGCTAAAACCAAAAAACAATGTAATGTTTTTCACTTACCAGAGTTTAAACACCTGTATGGAGGAGCAAGAGCCCAGAGCAAAGCTTTGTATTTAGAGAAACAAACAGAATTCCTAGCTTGACGCTCTGTCTCAACTATATCCATACCTATGCTATACAGAGTGCTCCACCACAATCTAGAACTTGAGACTGGCATGAGATTATATGAGACATTTTGGCTGAGGAGTTGGCCTGAAGGAATCATAATGGATCTTAACTTATAGCACAGTAGTAGTAAGTTTAAACACTTGATGCTCCCTGCAGTCGAATTCCCTCTATCGGGTTCTTTCTTATCTATTAATCTTTTCCAGGAACCAATGTCCTAACCATTTCGTTAAACTAAAAGGCAACAATCTGTGAAATAATAAACACCTAAATATCTTGGGTAAAAAAAATCTATGTAAAAATACATGTTTTTCCTTTTTTACCAATTTTTTATAAGAGAACACAATTTTTGAAGATATGAAAAGAAACTCCCTATAACAATTCATTAAAACAAAAACTGAAGAGAGATAGGAGAACATATCATTATTTTTCAAGCCCTCCCCCCAAAAAAAAACCCAACAAAACAAAACAACTCAACCCTAGCTTAGACAGCAAAACTTATTCCAGCAAAACTGCAGAATATGAAAAACAGTTTATATAATAGGTTGATGTAAAATAGAAACACAACAAAGATTGAGAAGATATGAGACTGCTACAACTAGAACTAATGTATCTAAGAACGCTAGCTGATTAAAACAAATTTTATATATATATATATATATATATATATATATATATAAAAGAGGGCTAGATAAAAAAAGGGCTTCAAGAGTAGACACACTCAAGTAATGGAGAGATTGAGTGAAACTGAAAGCACAGTGGCAGAGAACACACAAATAGAACAACAAGGAAAAAAATAATTAAAAAATGAAAACTGATTAAGAGCTCATAGGGATAATCCAAAGAGAAATAACATCACCATCAGGGGATATTAGAAGGAGAAGAGAAAGAGAAAGGCATACTATACATAAAGAAAAAATTGTTGAGAATTAGCTCTATCTGTGAATTTAACAAGATGTTCTGACCCAAAAGACTCAGAGAGTTCCAAACAAAATAATACCAGAGCCACACCAAAATACATTATAATAAAACCACTGAGAGTCAAAGACAAGGGAAAAATTAAAAACACTGAGAGAAAAACAGTAAGAGAACACCAGTTAGACAATTCATGAATGTTTCAGTAGAAAACCAATCCACAGGAAATATTTAAATTACTCAATGAAAAAGATTTCCCACCTAGAATACTTTATCCTGCAAGATTATCATTCAAGACAGGATAAGAAACTTCACTGAAAAATAGGGATAAATATTTACATAGACCGAAAGGATAGGGAGGAAAAAATATTCCAAACAAATAGAGTTGAAAGGAAACTTGTAAGACTTTAAAATATAGAATGTAATAAAAAAAGTACTAAAAGTCAATCTATAAAGAAGATATGATTGAATTATATATAAACCCTCAGCATAGAGCATCAAAGTAATAAATCAATTATTAACTGCCATCTTATGGTATGAAATTGGGTGTGTGTTTTACTTTTCAGATAGGTAAAATGTGAATATCCGTACCACTAACATCAGATTGGTGCCAGTGTGGCATTTTAATTTCTGAATGAGGACTCCCTGGTGGTGCAAGGGGTTAAAACACAACCTATGCTCCTGTTTGCAGCCACTGCAGCACGAGTTCGATCCCCCACCAGCCAGGGAGCAACCCACATGGAGCAGCAGACCTCTCCTGTCTCGCCCGCTGCTCCCCTCAGCAGTGTATTTCAGTCAGTCTGCCTGTTCTGCTCCCCACTATGTCTCTGGTGAATTCTCTCACCCCCCACACCTCTGGCCTGTACCCCAGCTCTTGTATGCATATATAAATAAATCATTTAAAAAAATAAATAAATTTCTGAATGAACTGACACACAAAATATGCTCTTTAGGAATGTTAATGGAAAATATTACAACTAACCACTGAATAATTAATATACACATTAAAATTAAACACTGTGGGAAAGTACAGGAGATAATTTGAATACTAAGGAAGAGAAGAGCAGACATTTTATATTAAACACATTTGCATTTTGATTAAACACTTCATGATCAGGTGACATTTTGTGTATAATAAATGTAATTATCTGGTGGTATTTTCAAATTTAAAGCAATACATAGTTCCTCAGGTAGATTTCATAAAGTACATACGCAGGGTCACACTTCTTGTATCCTGAGGCGTCTGAGCCACAGTGCCCAGATACATCTGCCTTAGAATTAAGGAAAGTAAAACATTCTGGAGTACCAAACTGTGCATCTGCAAAAAAAAAAAAAAAAAAATGTGTTTACTCATATTAAACTTATGTTAATTCAGAATTAATGAATACATGTTTTTCTAGTTCCCTAAGGTGAGAGGTAAAATTATTTATTTGAGTTATTTCTTATTTCTTGTTGTGGGCCTACATTGCTATATACTTCACTGTTAGTATTATTTTTACTGTGTCCTATAGTTTCTGGTAGATTTTGTTCTCATTTTAATTTGTCTGGACTTATTTTTTAAATTCCTTCTTTGATTTCCTTATTAACCCAATATTCGTTTAGTAGTGTGTTGTGCAGGCCCCACGGTAGAAGTTATTCTTGTTTACTTTTTGTGGTTGATTTCTAGTTTGATACCATTGTAATTAAAGGAGATACTTTAGGGCCTCCCTCATGGCACAGGAGGTTGAGCGCAGCATTGTGAAGCTGTCCACAGCCTCTGCAGTGCCGGTTCGATCCCCTCCGGCCTCGGAGCAACCTACATGACCCAGAAGACCTTTCCTGTCTCGTCTGCTGCTCCCCTCAGCAGTGTATTTCGTCGGTCTGCCTGTTCTGTTCCCGCTCTGTCTCTGGTGAAACCCTCTCACCCTCCCGTGCATCTGGCCTGTAACCCAGTTTTTGTATAAATAAAATAAATCTTTTTTAAAAAAGATACTTTATGTGATTTCAATCTTTATGAATTTATTGATACCTGTTTTGTGACCGAATATGTGCTCTACCCTGAAGAATACTCCATCTACACTTGAGAAGAATGTATTTAAGCTTTTGGGGTCTATTAAGCACAAGTGGTCTAGTTTCTTGTTTAATGTTATTATTTCCCTGCTTTTATTCTATCTGATCTGTCCATTGGTGAAAGTGGGATGTTGAACTCCTCAACCTCTATTATGTTGCTGCCAGTGTCTGTTTTTATATTTGATAATAATTGCCTTATATATTGATGCTTCTTCATTTGGTGAATATATATTGAGTAGTGTTATGTCTTACTGTATTTTTCTCTTAATTATTATACAATGTCCATCCTTGTCTTTTGCTACCAAAGGCCAGTAGAAGGAATAATAAATATGACAGCAGAAATAGTGAAATAAAAATATAGTGCAAAAGATTAATGAAACCAAAACCTGAATCATACACACACACACACACAAATGTCTAGTTAAAATTACAAAGAAAAAGGGTAGAAAATGCAAATAAATAGAATCAGAAATGAAAGAGGTAAATTTACGTAGAAATTCAGAAATTTCAGGCTTTCAGAGGATCATAAGATTACTATGAACATTTGTATGTTTGTAAGTTGAATCACTTAGAAGAAATGGGAAAATTCTTAGAAATGTACTACCATCTAGTCAGGAATAGAAAACCTGAACAGATTAAGTGCAAGCAAAAACATGGAAGCATTAATCTAAAGTCTCCAAGAAGCAAAATTCCAGGATCAGATGCTTTTACTAGTGAGTTGCATCAAACCTTCAAAGATGAATTGATACTTAAATTTCTCAAGGTTCTCCAAAAAACTGAGAAAGAGTGAGTACTTTCAAACATATTTGATAAGATCAGTATTACTCTAATATATGTCAAACATTAAGAGGTAATATTGTTTAAAACATCGAATAAATATAGGTTTAAACTTCTTCAGATATATGTTATCATACCACACCCACCACAAAAACTCGCATAATCCTCCACCGTATTCCATTAGACACCTCCAATTTGCTCCCCATTCTCTTCCTACCCTCTCCGGTAACCTCAATTATGCAATTAGAGTTCCTGGATTTGTTTTTATTCTGTCCCTTTGCTTTATTTCTTTATATTTCCCATTCAAGCAAAATCACATTTGCCTTTCTCCTTCTGGCTTATTTCACTTAGCATAGTCTAATTTCATCCATGTTGTTGCAAATGGCAAGATCTTGTCTATTTTTATAGCTAAGTAGTACTCCATTGAGTATATATACTGCATTAGGGAAGGGGGTAATACCCAAGGTTTACAAAATGTGTACAAAGAACTCATACATCTCAAGAAAAGGAAAATAAATAGAACCAAAAACAAAAAATGGACAGAAAACCTAAATAGATATATCGCCAAAGAAGACATACAGATAGACAACAGGCTCATCATTATCATCAGGGAAATTCAAATCAAAACCACAATATGATACCACCTCACATCTGTGAGAATTTCCCACATCCAACAGACCAGAAACATGTATTGGTAAGGAAGTAGCAGTAAAAGTAACACTTGTAAACTGTTGGTGAGAATATAACCTGGTCCAGCCACTTTGGAAAACAGTATGATGGTTTCTCAAAATAATTTAAGTGCATCTACCATATGATCTAGCAATTTCTCTCCTAAGTATCTACCCAAAGAAAGCAAAAACACTAATTTGAACAGATGTATGCACTCTATGTTCATTGCAGCATTATTTACGCAATAGCCAAGTTATGGAAATAGCTAAGAGCTTCAGAGCTCCAAGAATAAGTCATGGATAAAATGGGCTATGGTTTTACACCTTAAATTCCAACTGCTAAAATGTTGCTATTTTACTTTTTTCTAGTAGAATATCTCTGCTTAAGCCAAGGGTGATCATCAACATCGCCAATGTTCCTGAGAACATATATGACAGACAGTTATCTTCTTCAATATGCAAAGTTTCTTTACTACAGAAATTTAAAGCATTGGTTGTCTTTGGTTTCACTGTACTCTAATATTTTTAAATATACCATCAGTAACATATCTGATTTTTCTTGTCATTTTCTTGTAGTTACATTTGTCATTACCTGCTACACCCTTTCTTTGCTAATATTTAAAATAGGTTTTATATTTCTGCAATTACTATTTAAATATAAGTAACTGCCCTAGTATTTGTTTTCTGTTGTGTTCTTTTTCTAATCTGTGCTTGCCATCTTTTTTTGTCAAGTAATTTTTTTATAACTTTTTTTTAAAGATTTATTTATTAATACAAGAACCAGGGTACAGGCCAGATGCACGGGAGGGTGAAAGGATTCACCAGAGACAGAGCAGGGAACAGAACAGGCAGAATGACGAAATACACTGCTGAGGGGAGCAGCGGGCGAGACAGGAGAGGTCTACTTTAGCCATGTGGGACCCTCGCCAGCTAGCCGGGATCAAACCGGCGCTGCACAGGCTGCGGACAGCTTCAGAGCACGGCGCTCATCCGCCTGCGCCACCAGGGGAGGCCCTTGTCAAGTAATCTTTATCACATTTTTATGTATGTGAATATACACACACATTCCCTTAATTAGATCTTCAAATTTTCTTCATCATGGTTTCTTATCACCTGCTTCCTCAGTATTTTGCTATTTTGTTTCTTGTGTTGCCCTTCTTCAGAACAAGTCATTCTAATCATATGCTCATTTTGAGAATTCATAATCACTTTGCAATTCCTTTGTACACAGAAATAAGAGTAAGCACTACTATCTGTTCCAGTTGAGAGAAGGCTGACCCACATGGCTGTTTTTATGACTATCCTAAATAATTTTTCTGTCAGTTATTCTTGATTCTTTGGATATAAGCATGAAATATTGTTGCTATTGCTGCTGCTTCCATCTTATTCAAAAAATTATCCTATATATATGTATGTATATATACATACACACACATATACATATATATATAGAGAGAGAGAGCACTATGGTTTTGCCTTTTGTTTTCTTTTTTTTTTTTTTAAATCTTTTTATTTATTTATTTATACAAGCACTGGGTACAGTCAGAAGCGCGGGAGGGTGAGAGAATTCACCAGAGCCAGAGCGGGGAGCAGAGCAGGCAGAAGGACCGAAGTACACTGCTGAGGGGAGCAGCGGGCGGCAGGAGGGGTCTGCGCGCCATGCGGGACCCTCCTCTGGTGGCCGGGGAGCAGCCGGGGATCGAACCAGCGCTGCAGAGGCTGCAGGCCGCTTCGCAACCCAACGCTCAACCACTGTGCCACCGGGGAGGCCCCTTTGCCTTTTGTTTTCAATCACAGTGTATGTCCTTTTTTAATGACTTCATTGTTCCTGGTTTTCTGTTAGTCCACTTTAAGATTTTCATGAGTCATCTTTGCAATTTCCAGCAATGAAGGTGTGTATCTATCTGTGTTTATCTCTATGTGTGGTTTAATTTGTATTCATGTGACAACTGATAATTGTCCTTCTAATGCCCATAGCCATGTGTATTTATTCTGTATTTACAATAAAAACTTTTGATATACAGAAAAAGAGGAAAGTATAGCTTGTGTTTAGTCTACCTTTTTCCTTTGGAACGCAGATCCCATAGGTTTTTGACTATTTTCCCTATTATTTTAGGGAAATAATTAACAATTTTAATACTAGACAACTTATATGACTTTTTCCTCACCTATATGACTTCATTCTCTTTTCTATAATCCTTTAAAATATTTATACAAAAATCACATTATTTACAAACACACAATTACATGTTCAGTTTCCCCCCAAAATTTTATAGACAGTAAATAAAATTATATAAATACCTTCACCATATAAATCCGTACATTGTTTTAGCCCATCTATACATCTTCCATTCATACAGAGCCACTGATTTTTGCATGAAACGCCGTTCTGAATATAATAGTTAGTTTGGCATACCGCGGATGTTCCATTGCAATATTCAGGAAGGTCACAATCATCGAGGATAGCTCGACACATTTTTTTTGAATTTGCAAACTGATGAAATACAGTAATTGACATTAAATGAAGCAGAGTGTGTACACATATAATCTAAAAAGCAGTAATTTTACTTATGTAGGTAACATCAACATTTTGAAGGTCTTTTACTTTACAATCATCACAGCATATTCCAGCATCACAATCTGTTCCACTCTTAAGTGTACATGATGCAGCTTCACAACACTTGTTTCCCTCCTTCTGACAATTCTGAAAGGCAAACCACATGCTCTGTATTGTCTTCCAACAGCAAGCTATGTTGGATAGAAATTTTAATAATGACAACATATTATGTAATATGCAGATAGATATTTAACTTACACGTTAGCAAACAAAAAGTAAAGTCAATTTATGATGTATCTGTTTAACAGACATTTATTACGAGTGTTAGTCTATGTGTTCTTTTTGTCCCTAGAGTAGTTAAACAATACTGGTAGTAGAATTTTCTGAAACCCCAGAGTCTCTAAAGCCAATCTATCAAGATCTCTGGTTTTTATAGACAAAGATATGTCTAAATTTAAGCATTAAACAGAAGCTATGATTTAAAAATTTCATTATAAGGATTAGTTTTAAACCATTATAAATCTATTTTATTTTAATGTCTGCAAAGTTTATGGGCTTTATTTTTTTGTTTTTAAGTATATAATTCAGTACTTTTTACTTAATTTTTAAATTAATTTATTTTGTTTTTAATTGGTACTAGTGCACACCCCTATCAGGTGTTACCACTTTTGTGTGCCCACCACTAATTCACTCATATTATACCACCATAGACAGCTGTGTTCCTACATCTTTGTTCTTATCCTTCCTCCACCCCCTCTCCCACATGGTGCTTCAGTTCGATAGTCAGCTATCAAAGGTTAGTTTTTCAGCTTATCTTTATCTGAATATTAGTTATTTTATATTCCACATATTAGTGACACCATCTGGTATTTATCTTTTTCCTCCTGATTTCAGTTAGCATTATCCCTTCAAGCTCCATCCATATTGCTGCAAATGACATGAATTTATCTTTTTTGATCACTGAGTGTATTCTATTATGTGTGTATGCCACATCTTCTTGAGCCACTCATCTGTTCTGGGGCATTTAGGTTGTTTCCATCATTTAGCTATAGAAAATGGTGCTTCAATAAAGATGGGTGTGCAAGTTTCCTTTTGAATTAGTGTTCTTGAATTTATTGGGTAGATGCCTAGGAGTGTAATTACTGGAATGAATGGTAAATCCATATTTAATATGATGAGGCACCTCCATACAGCTTTCCTTAAGGGCTGAACCAGTTTGCATTCCTAACAGCAGTGTAAGGGGGTTGCCTTTTCTCCTCACCAGCACTGGTGTTTCTGGTCTTTTTGATATAGGCCATTCTCACAGGTATGAAGTGGTATCTCATTGTGGTATTGGTTTGCATTTCTCTAATAATAAGTGATATTAAATTTTACTTTTATTCTCTAATGATGAAGAGCCAGAAAATACTTTTGAACATGACTGAAATTATTACCTTCACATTACTTGCCCATATCTTACTATAGCTTATTTTATGCTATAATTCATCTTTCCAGTGATTCTGTTGTTTTCAAAATTCACTACTAGGCTTAATAAAACAATACACAGGGGAGGACTAGAGAGTTAATGCATTCACACACACACACACACACACACACACACCTTTATTTACCTTTTATTTTTAATTTCTAGGGATTTTAAATAGAGTTGGGCAAAACTTTCAATAAATTACACAAAAATTCATGTAAATCAGTAGTTTTAATACAAATTACAGCATGATACTTACTAGGACACAGTAATTTGACTTATTTTCTACAACTATTCTGCCTAACAATGTCATTGCTATTGTTATCTGTATGGAATCCTAGGTGGTAAAGTTGTAACACAGGGGTTTGGGACTGAATTATATGAAATTAAAAAAAAAATTAGCAGTATTTCTATTGAATGAAACAAAATTTAAAGTAAAAACAATTGGGTGCTGGAGAATGATTCATTAAAAACACATTATCCTCTAGGTATCTAAAAACACACTTCATGTTGAGGAGGGTTTTCATGAATGACTTTGCAATATTGAACATTGAACTCCATTTGGGTCTTCTTAATTGTCTCAGGTTCATGCCACCGACTATGTGTCCACAGTCTCTTTTCCTAGTTACATTCCCGTTATCTCTATTTTTCCATCTCCCACTAATCAAGCAGAGTTATCTAAGGAGTCTCTGGATTGGAACAACCTACTTTATTTATGGTTCAAATCTTTTTGTATTAAATATTGACCTGGATTAAAATATTCAAAGCCACAAATTTGCAACACTTTTTTACAAATTTCAGTTGTGAAAGCTTTATATCTATCTTTCTAAATCGCAATGGATCTTAGGTTATGAAAAAATACAAGGGAAGAATATACCCAAGAGAGAAGGCGTAAACCTGGGTGAACTCACCTATAGGATTAAAGATCATAAAAATCATGTGAGTGGATAATCTACAAACCACACGCTCATTAGCTTATTCTTATCCATTTATACTTTAAGATCTTTGCAAAAAAGCTAGCTTGATAAATTATGGAACATGGCAATGGTAACACTATAAAAAACTATTAATAATTTTGATGTAATTCTGGTATATATTCTTCCAAATTAGTACCAACCTCCTGACTCCCACAGTCACACTGTTCTCCTTCTTCAACTTCTCCATTGCCACAAACTGAGCTTTTGTATGATGGATCTAAGCGTGGATGATTTTGAAGACACTGGGACTTTGACTTTGAAATAAAATGTGCAAAATCTTCCATGCTGCAGTTACTAAAGCTCTTCACACCACTGGAATGACTAAAACACACCAAACTTCAAATTTTTATGTAAGCATTGCCTCCATCATCTGCCTAACCTTAGAATAAGCTATTCAGTAATGTTCCACAACAGATCAAATGCTCTTATTTTGTTATTGCCCAGCTTTCATTTTCTGGGCATGGAGAATCAAGTGTGCAAGAATTTATATAAAATATCTTAGTAGAAATAACTAGTTAATAGTTGGTTCTTATGTTTTACATATTTATAAAACAGCTGTTTCTTATAGATTCTGTCTCTCAAAGTGCTATATCTCTGGCCCATTGTTGCTTTCTTTTCTTTTGTGATTCTAAGTGTTATCATACCCTCATATTAGCAAATCAGATTGGCTTTTCCCTTCTTTACATTTCTTCATAGGTAGTCATATCCAGCACTATATTTTAAATAACACCTGTATCTCCTTTGCTGCATGCTTACACAGAAATAACATTTTAAGGCACATATCTAAAATATCACTCCTTACTGAATTTTATTGCCCTCTGATATTTATTTTTCTTCAAATTATTTATCAATAACTGGAATATTATTTATTATCTTCTGCTATTACACTTCTTTTAGCTGCAGAAAGAAAGACATTTCAAATATTATATTCCCTAGCACAGAGTTAAAAGCTTAATGATTATTATATTTTTAATGATTGTGTAGTTTGAAACTATTATAAGTAATAATAAATAAACTTTTATAAATAATTATAAATAATCATGTTTTTCTTTATGATTTTTATTATTATGAGTACTAGTGAGATAAAAATTATAATCATGAAGGTCTGTAATTATAATGTGATTAGATATAACTAATATTAAGCCATTGAATTTTAAGCAGTAGACTCAAATCCTAGTCATCTGAATTAGTACAGGGAAATGTTACTCATGAAGGCCATAAAAAAATTACAGATTTTTGATTATTTTTCTCTGTAGTTACATCTTAGTTGAACATACACTTTCGCTATATTATAAAAAGAATGATGGATTTATCATTACATTGTTAATAATTCAATGATTTATATCTAAATACCAAAAACTTGATGTAGAAAAAGCAATAGAACTTTAATATTATTACTGAACATCAAGCAATGTATGATACATTAGAGGGGATAGTTTTTCCAGTAGTGAAATTAATGTTGGATTATATGCAATTGTGGAATGTATTTGTGAATTTAGTCTTTGCACAGATTTGTTAGATAATCTTGTTCTACAAACTTTTGTTTTGTCCTTGTTAATAGAGCCTCTGACTTTTTAGTTGAATACATGAATTCCTTGTATAATGTCTAGATTTTTCAACCTTTTATAAAATTAGGAATGGACATATAGAAAGATAGGTCATATAACTGGCCTAAAATAAAATCATAAATTTTGTTGCCAGGAAATAACGTGACAGTTGCACTTTTATGTGTCTCTTTGTTCTGTTGGTGACTATAAATTTTGTTAACTTTTTAGTTAAAGCTTGCATCATAGGCTAGAAAGTGATCTGTATAGAAATCACGAAATTATGCTGTGAAAACCACACAATTCATTTAATGCTACATTGCCAAGGTTAAAAAGAAGTTGCTCTTTGCTATAAGTCATTACTACTTTGGATTTTCTGTAACTTGGAGCCAAATTTAAATACAAAGTCTGTCCCAATCAATGAGTATTTCAAACAAAATGGTTACTACTTTAACCATTTTTCAAACATCCATTTCCTGATAACAAAATTACAAAACATTGCTAACAGAATGCAGTGTTCTTACAGTTATAGAAAATTAGTAGAATGGAATATCTTCTTTTAATCCATAATCAAAATACATGTATACTACTTTTTATATTTTAGAAGCAGCAATACACATTAAAAACAGAATGTGTAAAACTTATATTCACATATAACCTTGAAGGAATTATTAGAGGTATCCTAATTACTAATTCAAAATTATCTCAGCAAATATTCCTATTTTTACTGTGAATCACATACAGCAGGGGGACAATCCAGCAAAAGTGAAAAACAAAAGACATAATAAATACTAGTATTAAATATATATTAACTCACAAATTTTATGTTCATGTAAAAATTATATTTTTAGACCACAACAGATTTTAAACCAGAAATCAATAACAAAACCATCAAGATTATCCACAAGTATTTGAAAATCAACTGAACCACTGACTTAATTATAAAATAACCCACTAAGAAAATCAATATAATCAAAATGACGATCTTGCCTAAAATTATATACAAATTTAACACAATCTCCATCAAAATTCTAGCAATATTTTTCAAAGAAACTGAACAAAATTTTACAACCCACAGTCAATTCATAAAGGTTTTCTACAGACAGTTCTGCAATTATTATCATCATATGGATTCCTCCTACATCAAAGCCTGAGATAAGAATTAAAGTGCAAATATTTTTAGGAAATAATTGTGGAAGTAGGAGTGAAGAAATAAGAGAGTAAGGTATTATCAATTTTGCTGCTATAGACAATGGGGCTTGATTTAGACCATAAATTTTGAATTTTTAGCCATTTGAAAAGGAAAAAAATGGCCTCAAGATTTATTCATCAGAAAGACAAGAGGTTGATTCCAATCACTCAGTAGATTATGGTTTTACTAAATCCCCTGACTATTTGGGGATTTATAATTCTGTAAAATTTCATCAGGTACTCTAAGAATAATGATGAAATAGAGAATAAAATCACTAGGCCTTTGAGGCATAATGATATTGCAAAAGGAAAAACAGAACAACAGCCTCTTTGAAAAGTGGCAAGTGCAACCAGTATCTGTAAGATGTCAAGACCTCATGCCAAGCCCAGATAGAATAGAGATTTATGCAGACAAGACCAACAGATCATTCTCGTATAATGATTACAATTCTGCATTTGGCTTATCAAATCATCTAATAAATTACAGAATCATACAAGTAAGCAGTATAAATGTAGAGTTAGATCAGATATAAAGCATGTGTGACTCTGATTGCAAGAGATATTTGAGATAAATACACAGCAAGGGCACTGGAATATATCTATTTTTCTGGGTTCATTGATCACAACTTATATTTGGCCATTATTAATTATTTTAAGAGATTAGATTTTCTTAACCTGAGTAAACAAGAGTTATTGCAATATAAACTATATTTGTAAAGCATGTAAAAATATAAGTTATCTTACATTGCTTCTGGGTTCATTATGCAGACAGTTCCTGAGCATTGACATTTGTTAATGTCATCATAAGCTATTCCCATACTTAAACTCAATAATTGAGCTAGAATAACTGCAAGTGCTTCCAGACTTATGGTTTTGGGGTGCTGGAAAAAAAATAACATAGATGTACATACATTTAAGGAGAAAATTCATTTTCTTTACAGGAAGAATAAGGCAATCATTAAAAGTAGTCACATGATAAAATGTAATAGAAGCATCTCATATTTAACCACAGAAATGCCATTCCATAAGTCTGATGTTACAGGTACCATTATCATAAGAAAAATATGACAAGTGAAATTTAAAAAGTTACAATTTGTGTTTCAGTGGTATCATCAGGCTAAGAAATAAATCACTCTAATCACTTGCTAATTATCTGTAATGTAATAGTCACATTTGTATTCACAAAGAAAAATTGTTTAATATACACATTAAACACAGTGTTAATTTACTAACACATTGTGTTTATTCATAATTTAAATTTTAGTAATACTATTTTTTTGAAGCAACTGGTTTACAATACTACATATGATGTAGGAGTAGTACAAGTTCACACCTCTTCAGATATATGTTGCATGCCACACCCATCAGCAAAGTACACTTATACCTCTACAATAGTGCCTCCTGTACCCACCCCTTTTGCTTGTCACCCCCTATGATTGCCCTTGGTAGTCTTAATTTTGCAGTCAAGCTTTTGGGCTTATTTTGGTTTATTTTTGTCTGTTACTTTGGTGTCTTCATTACATTCCATATAGGAGAGAAGTCATCCAATATTTTTCTCCGTTTGAATTATTTTGGTGGGCAAAACTCCCTCCAATTTCACCCATGCTGTCACAAATGGAATGGCTTCATCATTTTTTATGGTATTTTTTTTTGTGTGTGTTTAAAAAAAAAATTTCCCCGCCACCATCCCTTGTGTCCCCTTATACCTTTCCTTCTCCCCTCCCCTTCAATTGCAAGGCTCTTAGGAGATTTATTAATATCCATCTACTACATAAATGTTCATTATTTATTTTTATTGCTTTGACTTACATTCTGCACTCAATTCTCTCTCAAATTTCCTCCATTTTGTTGACAGTAACTGTATTTTATCCTTTCTTATGGCTACATAATACTGCATGGTATGTATATACATCTTCTTAATCCAGCCATTTGTAGTAGATATTTAGGTAGCTACTTTTGTGTCCTAGATATTGTTAATAATGCAGCTGTGAACACTGTGTAATATATATGAGATTTTTCACTGATAGCTTCATAGTCTGTGGATATATGCTCAAGAGCAGGACTGCTGGGTTGTATGGCATCAAACATTTTTAATTTTTTGAGGTAAATCCAGATTACTTTCCACAGTGGTTGTACAAGTTCACTTTCCCTCTAAGAGTGGTGTTATAGGGTTCTACTTCCCCCCAATCCTTCCCACACTTGTTGGGGGTCTTCTTAATATGTGCCATTCTCATTGGTATGAGAGGGTATTTCACTGTAGTGCTAACCTGCATCTTTCTTATTAGAAATGACAATGATTATTTTTTCATAAGGTTTTTTGCCTTCTGTACATCAAACCTTCCTTTAAATTATTGGAAAAAGCCCTGTTCCAGCTATTTTTATCCTAAAACAGCAATAAAATTCAGCTATATTTGTTCATTTTTACTTAAATAATTCATGGATATAAGTATTACAAATGTGTTCTGAATGTCTGTAATTTATATGTACATATACAATTATATACATGTATACTTAAAAATTATATTTTGGACCATGTAGTTATTGAATCAGAAATCAATAATGAAAATGATGATAATGATAATCCACATATATCTGAAAATACACTGATTTTCTTCCCAATAGCCTACTAGATAAATAAAGGAATCTAAAAGAAAATTTGAAAATATTTCAACTAAATATGGAAAGAAAATACAAAATATCAAATGAAGGATTAACACAAAAAACAAAGATTTAAAATGAATTACTTGATCTTTTACATTTAAAACCTAGGGAAAAAAGGAAACCTTCATACACTGTTGGTGGGTAGAGGGCAAAACAGCGGGCACCCAGTGTACTATGGTGGAAGATGATGCGTGCTTTTGGTGCTGGGTGTAATGTGGTCATACACATCTGAGAGAGTGTGAAACAATACTCTTATTTCCGTTAGGATGGTGATAAAATTCAGCAGTATTTGTTCGTTTTTAGTAGTATACCATGAACTTGAAAGTTACCATGAACTTTTCACGTACTTGCTGCAGATTTGTTCTGAATGTCCTGTTTAGCAAGTTATTTGAGCAGTTACATACATACCTAAGAGTATTTTTATTGTGTCTTTTATTAGAACGGATTTTTTAAAGATACGGATTGTAACTTCATATAGTGTCACTTTACTGTTTTAAAAAGTGTTTTTTGCATGTGGTGTGGCTTTTCCAGCTATGGAACTTTTTTTTTTTAAAACATGATTTTCTTCTAGCTGGAAACACAAGTTTTCTTTGCATTTGATATTTTTATTTTATTGTTGGTGCTTACTTTTATTGCTTTTTGACTCCCTATGTGCCCTTTTCATCTGACAATCACCTTCCTTCCCTCTTTCCAGATGGTGTAGCTTAAGATGTGCAGACTCCAGGAGGGATTTCCTGGTATAGACAGATTTTGTTCTGGTAGTGGTTCTGTGAGTGTAATTCTGTGAAATTTATTTCCATTTCCCCTCCAAAGGTTTTCATGTGACTTTTAAAATTAACATTTAGACATGACGCTTCTTCAATAATCCATTTCTCTTAACTTCAGTATTTTCTATAGCTCTTCTGATATCTTCTGGGAGAAGTCCTAATTGTGCTTTTTAAAATTTGACAATTTATTCTTTATATATGTCAATCCTATTCTTTGTGTACTTCTTTATAACTATTATATTGTTCATAGCCGATGTTTCTAACTAGTCCTTTTCTATATCTTACAATTTTTTTTTATATCTTGGTGTATAACTACTAACACTTCTGTTTCAAGTTGTAAATATTATTTAACGTTTTCTTTTGAGGGTTAATACTCAGACTCTACCTAGTACATGAAAAAAGGTCAACAGATAATGTGCCTATCACACATCTTGAGTACGAACTTCTGTCAGTCCTTGTGAGTAAATGAACTTCCCCAGTCCCAGGGTAAAGGGCTATAGACTTAAAAAATTCCTGTTTATTTTCTTACTTGCTTCCATTAGTTCCAAACTACTGAGTTGTGGTTTCACTTGCAAACTTTTTGGAATGAAGAGTATTGGAAGGAATTTATTCCATAGTTTTAGGAGATTAGGTAGAGAGAGTGGTGAGTCTTTAGACATCAGAAGGCAAATTTTCAACTGTTTTCTTCAACATCTCACTCCTATGAGCACTGGTTGCTGCTGATTTTTCCAGCAAAATGTCCAGCAATGCTTATCCCAATAAAGGATGGAGAATAAAAAAGAGAATACTAGAAAAACTTATTCTCTAATTGTTCCTTTCACTATAGAAACCACTAGCCGTAATTGACACAATTTTCAGTAAGCAACAGCTTTTCCTTCCTCTTTGTAGCTAGCTTGCCTTTAGCGAAAATGAGCTCTGCTTTCCTTCTTGTTCGTTAGTTGAAGTCCTGATCCATGTGAGAGTCTAGTGATTTTTCATTGTTGCTTTTGTGAATGGGTAAATCTGTCAAAGTTCAACTTTTGAAATTAAGTAAATGACTTGTCCATAAATACAATTCATGCTTCCCAAACTCTGATTTATAAATTTCAAAGCTGAAATTTGTGTCTCCATTTGATTGTTTAGTTTTTTATATCATCATTTAGCTTCACTCAACTAGTTCACTGAAACAAGAGTAGTATGTTGGGGCTTCCCAACATAATAGGGGTTAAGCCTCAGCACTACCATTAGGAAGGCTAACCACTATGGCCTGCATGTAATCCCTGGCCAGGGAGCTAACCCACATGGCACAGCAGACCTCTCCTGTTTCCCCCGCTGCTCCCCTCAGCAGTGTACTTCAGTATGTCTGCCTGTTGTGCTCTCCACTCTGCCTCTGGTGAATCCTCCCACCAACCCTCCTCCCACCACCTTATACGTCTGGTTTGCACCCCAGTTCCTCTATACAAAAATAAATAAATATTTTTTTTTTTTAAAGAGTATCACGCATAGTCTCCCTCAACTCTAGCAGAAATTGTAAAAACACACAAAAATTTCTAAAAGGGCAAATTCTATATGTCAGAATAACCATAGTATTATGAGATAGAGACAACAAAAGACTGATTTTAAACACTCCAAGATTATCTACTAAGGTCAAAATTTCCAATGAGTGTGTTTGTGTTATTCTTTGCCTCTGCCTCATGAAACATTTTTTTTAAAGATTTATTTATTTATTTATGCAAGTACTGGGTACAGTCAAAAGCGCGGGAGGGTAAGAGAATTCACCAGAGCCAGAGCAGGGATGAGAACAGGCAGACTGATGAAATTCACTGCTGAGGGGAGCAGCGGGCGCGGCAGAAGAGGTCTGTTGCCCGGTGGCCGGGCATAGAACCGGCGCTGCAGAGGCCGCTGGCAGCTTTGCAGCCCAGTGCTCAATAGCTGCGCCACCAGGGAGGCCCCTCATGAAACTTTCTTTTTTTTTAAATAATAGATTTTATTTTTATATTCCCCATACAATTGCAACCCCCCCATTTTGACCCCAATCCCTCCCCTCCCACCCCCCACCCCCAAAAAGTGTCTCTGGTTCATAGTTTTTTGTTGATTTTGATTTTCACTTTCTATAGTTATTCATTTTCCTGGTCCCTTATTTAAGTTTTCTAGATTCCTGCTATGAGTGAGACCATCCGGTGTTTTTCTTTTTCTTTCTGGCACAGATAGTTTCAAAATTTGTATGGTTTATAATTATGCTATCTACCCAGTTAAGAAAATGTACAAAATCTAAGCTTGGAATTGAAATTAATAAATGATTAAGTATTGAATATATAGCCTCTTATGAGCATTTTACAAAACTAAAATACAATACAACTTTCTTTAAAGGATATTTTTGGGCTCATTAGAGGAAAATAGAAAAAGTTGAATTTGTAATTAAATTCAATGAAGACTTCTTGTAGTTTAAACATTTCTATCAGCAATAGGGGAAAAGATGCTTAAAATCATTATGCATGCTTTAAAAGATTTAGAAATAAGAAAATCTTTAATTGTGTATTAATCTAGACAGATAATATTTCTACATCTTAATGAAACAAATTATGCTATACTATACCAGAGCAACACCTCCTCCATACTGTCCATCACACATCTTCCCTTGAAAGGTTGCACCAACATAATCTGGTTTTTCTCTGTAACTTAAGTTTGTAAAATGATAATAAATATGTAAGTTTGTAAAATGAAGCATACTTTAATGTTTAATTTTCCTCAAATAATTCTTGAGGTATATATTTTTATATTACCTTCCTAGATATTTCCAACTATCATTATTAGTGTAACTAAGATAAGAAGTAACTAAATTTCTCTGATTTTTTGGAAAACAATAGAAAGATTTTAAAAACAAATATAAAGTATATTCTAGCAAAATTGTAGAAAGTGTGAAGATTATTTTATCTAGTATTTTTTAAATTAAAAAATAATTCTTAAAATATCAATATAATTGAATCCCTTAAAATTAAAACATTAAGGCAATGGAGTTAATAAATGAGCAGACTAACCTTATGGATAGAAGTTCCCTTTAATCAAATATAATTAGCCTGCCTGAATCATGCAAAGTTATGACATAATTGGGAAAGAGAAAATAATTTAAAATATTATAATTGTAATTATAAATTACTTTAATAAAAATAAAATATGGATAAGTTCTGCATATTGAAATGAGATGGCTTATTAAATAGAACAGAGGCATATATGTGGTTTAAATTCAGCACAATATGATTGTAGTATATTAGAGATATTAGTGTGTAAAATTCAGTTTCCACTTTCCTGTTATTTTTGTTTTTTCTTATTAACATACAGAATAAGAACACTAAATTAGCTATTCATATAATTCAGATATGTTTATTTCTTCAGACATCAATATTGCATATATTGTTAGGGGCATTTTATGTTTTATACACTAATGTAAGAATGCATATGGTAAGATTGGAGTGAATATTAATTACAAACTATAAATAGGATAAATATTCAATAATTCTTGTATGAAGCCTATACTATGAAAAATAATATTGAGACATGATATTGTGTATGAGAAAAAATGATCCTAAATATTTTCTTTTTTAAAAAAAGATTTATTTATGCATACAAGAATTGGGGTGTAGGCCAGAGGTGTACAGGGTGAGAGGATTCGCCAGAGACAGACTGGGGAGCAGAACAAGAAGATCTACTGAAGTACACTGCTGACGGGAGCAGCTGGCGAGACAGGAGAGGTCTGCAGTGCCCTATGGGTTGCTCCCTGGCCGCCAGGGTATCGAACTCATGCTGCAGTGGCTGGCAATAGCTTGATAGTGCTGTCGTTAACCCCTGCGCCACAAGGGAGGTCCCCTAAATATTTTCTTTATCAACCTTTAAGTACTTAGAAATAGGTCAAATTAGGAGACAGTTTCTTTTATAACCTTTATAATGCCAAGATATACTTACACAAATAAAAATGCCATATCATGTGGACGTAAAACAAGATAAGATCTTTTCCATTTTAAAAATCGGTGTAATAATTCATTAGCATCTCCAGTTACTGGAATTTTATTTGCATCTATCCAAAGTTCTAATGAAGATAGAATTATTGTAATATTAAATGAAGTAAAAATCTAAAAAAAAAACACATACAGAAAATATATTTGAATATGGTTTAAAATATTTAGGAATTCATCTGTGTATATGAACAATATGTACTAATGAAAAATATTAAACAAATAATCTATATGTCAGGATTGTATGTCATAAAACATGTTAGAAATAAAAACTACTAATAAAACAAGTAGTCATTAATATTTTTAAATGTTTATCTTTCAGTAAATCCCTGATAAATTCTTTATTTAATTCTTAGAATAAACTAAGTATGTAAAATTATTTTTTATTCCTATTTTCTTTTCTGTATTTCACACAACATGTATATTTAGTCAATGTCATAAGATATTATAGGATTTTTTCAGTAAACCAAACAAAATGTGAAAGTACTAAAAAGCAAACACTTACAGCATTGGTCAATCCAATCAACTGGAAAATTTTCTGACTGACAGTATCTGTATCAGAGCCCATATGATTATACTGAAAAATATAATTACCATTTAGATCTAAACATGTAATGCCTAATAGTAAATTAGTGTTCTGTTTAAAACTGAATATAGTAAAGTAAGAACTTATTTAAATTATCAGATGATTAGTTTTAAAACATTGTTACTTATCATATAAATTACATGATATATATTCAGCACACAAATTTTACGTATCAGTATTGGCCTGATATCAAAATCAGACAGAGAAACAATAAGAAAAGAAAATTACAGGCTAATATTTCTGATGCGTATAGATATAAAAATCCTGAACAAAATACTAGCAAACTGAATTTAACAATACATTGAAAGAGTCATACACCATGAGCGAATGGATTTAATCTAGAGTTTAAGGATGATTCAAATTATGTAAATTAATGAACATAATATACCACATCAAAAAAATGGAAAGACAAAAATAATAAAATGGAATGAATAAATGCTATACACAACAAATCCACACCCAACATCTTGCTCAGTGATGAAAAACTGAAATAATTTCTTCCAAGGTCAGGAATAGAACAAGGATGTTGACACTCACCATTGTTATTTAATATAGAATTGATATTCTGAGGCACAGTAATTGCACACAAAAAAGACATAAAAGGTATCCAAATTGGAAAGGAAAAAGTAAAATTATCTCCATTTGCAGAGAACATGAAAATATTCATAGAAAACCCCACAGACTGCAGTAAAAAATTATTAGAAATGAATACAAAAAAACTGGCAGCCTAAAAACTTGATATACAAAAATTTCTTTAACTACTATACACAAATAACACACTACCAGAAAGAGAAATCAGGAAAACAATCCCATTATCTTTTCAAAAAAGAATTAAATGCCTAGGAATAGATTTACTCAAAGATAAAGACCTGTACACTGAAAAACATAAGACAGGATTGAAAGAAATAGAAGATAAAAGCAATGGAAAGATGTTCTTTTTTTTTTTCCAAAAGATTTATTTATTTATTTATTTATTTATTTATACAAGCACTGGGTACAGTCAGAAGCGCGGGAGGGTGAGAGAATTCACCAGAGCCAGAGCGGGGAGCAGAGCAGGCAAAAGGACCGAAGTACACTGCTGAGGGGGGCAGCAGGAGAGGTCTGCGCGCCATGTGGGACCCTCCTCCGTAGGCCGGGGAGCAGCCAGGGATTGAACCAGTGCTGCAGAGCTGTGGGCAGCTTCGCAACCCAGCTCTCAACTGCTGCGCCACCGGGGAGGCCCGGAAAGATGTTCTTGTTCTCATGGAATGGACAAATTAATATTGATAAAATGGCTATATTACACAAAATAATATATACAAAACAAGGCAATTTTTTAAAAAAGAAAACAAATGGGCATGTCATGTTGCCTGATTTTAAATTACATTTTAAAGCAATGGTAATTAAAACACAATGGTATTAAAACAAAAATAGACACATGGATCAAATATCCAGAAATAAATCACATATTTCAACACCTAACTTATGACTAAGAAACCAAAATCATGTAATGAAGAAAGGAAAATCTCTTCAGCAAATGATTTTGGGAAAACTGGTCAGCCATATATGAAAGAATTAACTGGATCACTCCATACACATAGTAAATTCAAAATAGATTTTAGACTTGGATGTAAGACTCAAACCACAAAGAGCAAAGAAGAACATGTAGACAATACATTCCATGAAGTTAATAATAAGAGTGTCTATGGTGACTCAACCCCTATGCAAGGAAAATTAAAGCAAAATAACAATTGGAATTAAATCAAATTTCAGGCAGCAAAAAGCAGTGGTCATTGCATTTGAAAACTTTAGGGATATGAAAGACCTGCAGGTGCCTGTGGCAAGAGATTTACAGGTGGACAACAGGACATCAAAGGGTATGAGGAAATGCTGGGGTGATACAATTCTGAAATTGAGATAATGAAATGAAGATTTATGTAGAGTGGAATTCACAAAGTGACACACAGGCCCAGGCAAGACATATGCTCATAAAAAACCTGAGAACATCCTGAAATTTCACCTTGTCTGAACCCTAGATTGAGAGCAAGCCCAACTAATCAAGGAAGGACTTCCCTGGAACAGAGACAATCTGAAAAAAGTAAAATAAAATAAAAACACAACACCAACAAAAAATATGAGCAGTAATTTTTTTCAAATGCTAAATTTTCAACAAAAATCACTAGGTATATTGTATAGGTTGGGCTGCTATAACAAAAAATACTATAGATTTATTATACATTTATTATGTATTTATTTCTCACAATTTTGGAGTCTGGGAAATCTAAGATCAATGTGCCAGGAGATTTGGTGTCTGAAGAGTTCTCTCTTCCTTTTTCACAGATGACAATCTTCTAGGTGTGTCTACACATGGCAAAGGTGGCTCCCTGGTGTCTGCATTATAAGTGCACTAATCCTATTCATGAAAGCTCCAACTTCACAACCTAAGCAACTCCCAAAGGCTCCACTCTTTAAATACTATCACATTATATATTGTATGTATTTTGATATATGAATTTTAGAATGACAAAAATCATTAAGTATGTCATAAGGTAAGCACACAACAAAGTGTGATTCAAAGGGAGAGAATAAATTGAGGGAAACCATCCCTAAGAAAATGCTGACTTAACTAGACAAACTTATTAAAATAATAACTGTTTAAAATATCTTCAAAGAACAAAAGGAAAACACAGACAAAGAACTGAGGGAAATTAGGAAAATTATATCTGAACAAAGTTAGAATAAGAGCAAAATTAAATAAACTATAAAAAGGAACCAAACAGAAATGCTAGGACTGAAAATACAGTAACAAAATTGAAATTTTACTTGAAGCAGGTTTAAAGAAGCAGAAGAAAGATCAATGAAATTGAAGACAGGACAATTTAAATCATATAGTCGTAACATCAGGAAGGGAAAAAGAAGGTCTTACGGGATACCATTATGCAGAACAATATATGAACTTTGGTTGTCAAAGGAGAAAAAGAGATAATTTGAAGAAACAATAACCAAAAGACTTTGCAAATTTGAGGAAATATATGAACCTATAAATCCTGAAAGCAGAACAAATTCCAAGAAAGATAAATCAAAGAGACCCACTCTAACACGTTACATCAAGCATTTTGTAACCAAAAATGTCAAAAGCTAGAAAGAGAACATGGAACACAGGAAGAGAAAAGCAAATATTTACATACAAAGAAGATTATCAACCAATTTTTTGGCAGAAACTTCAGAGAATAGAAAACAATGGAGTACTGAATGCAAAGTTGCAGTCATTCTGGATGGCATTTTGGCTTATAAAATGAAGCGTGCTGTTGTCATATGAATGTACTACCTGATATTGCCCAAAGGAATTAAAACCAATTTCCACACATAAAACTTTGTAAGGGGGCCTCCCTGGTGGCACAGGGGTTAAAGTCTCAGCACTATCAAGGTATCATCAGCCACTGTGGCCTGAGTTCAATCCCCTGCCAGTTTGCTAACCCACTTGGCTCAGCAGACCTCTCCTGTCTTACCCACTGCTTCCCTCAGCAGTGTATTTCAGTAGATCTGCTTGTTCTGCTCCCCAGTTTGTGTCTGGTGAATCCTCTCACCCCACACACCTCTGGCTTATACCCCATTTCTTGTACACATAAATAAATAAAAATAAATCTTAAAAAAACTGTAAAGACATTTATGGCAGTTTTATTCATAATTTTCAAAATTAGAAATAACTAAAATGGCTTTCAGTAGTTAAATGATCAATAAACTGTAACTCATCCATACAAAAGAACATTATTCAGTGAGAAAACAAATGAACTATCAGACCATGAAATAAATGAAGGACAGTTAAATGCCCATTACACCAAGTTAAAAAAACCAATTTGAAATTACTACATACTATATATCTCAACCTCTTCACATACTGAAAAACAAAACTAATGAGACAGTAAACAGTTGAGTGGCTGCCAAGCTTAGGGGGATGAAGGATGAATAAAAATTAAGAAACTAATCTAAAGGTAACAATTGCTTTAATTTTCATGATTTGTGTAAAATTAATAAACTTAGGGGGCCTCCCTGGTGGGGCAGGCGGTTGAGCGCAGGGCTGTAAAGCTGTCCGCAGCCTCTGCAGTGCTGGTTTGATCCCCACAGGCCTTGGAACAACCCACATGGTGAGCAGACCTCTTCTGTCTCACCCGCTGCTCCCCTCAGCAGTGTATTTCAGTCAGTCTGCCTGTTCTATTCTCAGCTCTGTCTCTGGTGAATCCTCTCACCCTCCCACGCATCTGGCCTGTACCCCAGTTCTTGTATAAATAAAATAAATCTTTAAAAAAAATAGACTTGGTTTCCAAGTAATGACTGATAGTAGTCAGTTAAAATGAATCAAGGAAGAAAAAATGTATCATTTAATTGTCCTGTGTTAGTATTCCAACTTACTGTTTAGCCCCCATTATTATGTAAATTGACTTAAGACAAATAAATCAGAATATACTTACCAAATTTTTTTCAACTACAATATGCATTTCTATGTACTGAGAGAACTGTGTCTGAAAAAAAATTGACATAGAACATTTGACATAAAACCTTTAAAACTTGACACAAAACACACTTCATGTAAAAATTGAAAAATTATTTAATACCTTAGTTGTATTATTACTTTGTGATACAGTTTGAAAAATCTACATTTTATAGTGTAGATAACTCACAATACTTATATGCTAAAACACAAAATGCTTTAGTTATGTTACTAAAATAATATACCAGGGCCTCCCTGGTGGCACAAGGGGTTAAGTCTCAGCACTAAGAAGCTATCAAAGCTATTGGCAGCCACTGCAGCACCTGTTCTACTCACCACATGGTGCAACAGACCTCTCCTATCTCCCTGTCTCACCGTTGCTCCCCTCAGCAATGTATTTCAGTAGATCTGCCTGTTCTGCTCCCCACTCTGTCTCTGGTGAATCCTCTTACCCCTCACCCCCCCGCCAACATCTCTGGCCTACACCCCAGCTCTTGTATGCATAAATAAATAAAAATAAATCTTTAATAAAATAATACACCATCTATAAACACTAAACAAATAGAGAAGCAGAGAAAGAGGATCAAATTTCAGAAATAGAGAAAACTTGTATTATTGTTATTACAGTGCTCGTGTATTTCTCCTTTTTATATTGGTATTTAATTTCTTGAAAATCCAAGTTAATCCCATTTCAGTTAAACTGTTTTCCTTAACATAAAAAGAGGTAGCAAGAAATCTGGTATTTAGTAGATATATCCTAAAAATAATAATCCTAGTAATTAAAAAAAGTAAAAGTGAAAATGAACATGCAGTCCCCTTATTGACCAACTGACTTATTATGTATATGCAAAATTAAGCATCAAATGCTTCATGATTTTAATTTCCATCCAAAATAAGCAATAAATGTTTCAGGATAGTTTTGCCTATAGAAATCCATCCTTTCATCAAAGTCACTTTCATCAAAATCCATCCTTTCATCAAGCCAAGGAAATAATGTATTTTAGTGGAAGATCAGAGAACATTTAAATTAAGAGAAGCACTATATTAATATGTAGACAGATTCAAAGCTATTTCCTTGTTTTATCAGCAGACTAAAAGTTAGTTGCCTAGGGCCTCCCCGGTGGCGCAGCGGTTGAGCGCTGGGTTGCGAAGCTGCCCGCGGCCTCTGCGGCTGCGGTTCGATCCCCGGCTGCTCCCCGGCCACCAGAGGAGGGTCCCACATGGCGCGCAGACCTCTCCTGCCGCCCGCTGCTCCCCTCAGCAGTGTACTTCAGTCCTTCTGCCTGCTCTGCTCCCCGCTCTGGCCCTGGTGAATTCTCTCACCCTCCCGCGCTTCTGACTGTACCCAGTGCTTATATGTATAAACAAATAAATAAATAAATCTTTAAAAAAAAAAAAAAAAAAAGTTAGTTGCCTAATATTTTCTGAAGCAATCCTTTTTTTGAGGTTGGGAATGGCAATACTTAGTTTATATTATTTTATTTTTCTCATATACTGAAAAATAAGCTTTTTTGAGAAAAGATGTATCATCCATTTTAGCCAAATAAAAATTTAAGACAACTTAAGACAAATGTGCATAAATAATGCCAGGGATTGTGTATGATTACAAGGTGGACAGGTGTTGGGCATCAAAAGAATTAAAAAAAAACCATATATGGTGACAAGACTTATTTATATGCAAAATAAAGATCATTTGAAAGTGATTTATCCAAGAAGACACTAAAGATTTTGATCTAGGAAAGAAAGTTGTAAGACCCTGGTGGGTGAACCAAGTGCAATATAATTAAAAAGTTAAACCTTTAAAAGATGCCAAATGTCATTGGTAAGAGCATTTGCAGCAAAATGGATGGAGCTGGAAGGGATTATGCTCAGTGAAATAAGTCAGAAGGAGGAATATAGGGGTACTAAATAAGGGATCAGGAAAAAAAATGACAAAACTAGCAGGCAACTATAAATCAGAGACATTCAGTCTGGGAGGGAAAAGGAGAGGAATTAACACAGGGGCAGGAAGAGCACAAGAGACTACGGTTATGGGTCACTGATGACTTGGTGGTGGGAATTTTACAGGGACTATACCTGAGAGGAGAAATCAAACATTGTACAAAAATGAACCACATTGTAAATATATATATATATATATATATATATATATACACACACACACACACACACATATATAAAAGAAATAAACTATGATTTCTCTCAGATTAAACTAAAAAAATAAGAACATTCAGGGAGTGAGGAGGTTCTTGACAATGATAAATGATAGCTAGGAGATAACTAAGAGAGAGAGAGAGTGAGAGAGAGAGAGAGAGAAAGATGATTTGTAAATTTTGTTTAACTTGGGCCAGGATTTTGTTCACTATGGGATAAGTAACTCAGGAAAATATTTGAAAGGAGAGAGGGACATCAAAACATAGCAAGACAAACAATAACCTGAAACACAACAAATATATCAATATTTAAATTGTATTTAAGGGAAAGTGAGAAAAAATTAAATAGGATGAGGGTCTCCCTGGCCTAAGGGTTAAATCGCAGGCTATTACCCCTGTGGCCTGAGTTCCCTGCCAGGGAGCTAATCCACATAGCACAGCAGACCTCTCTTGTCTCTCAGCCCCTCTGTTCCCCTCAGCAGTGTATTTCAGTAAATTTGCCTGTTCTGCTCCCCACTCTGTCTCTGTGAATCCTCTCACCTTCCTACCTCTGGCCTACACCCCAGTTCTCCTACTAAAAAAAAAAAAAAAGGAGAAAAATTAATGAGAAATGAAAATGTTTTATCAGAGTATAAAGTTAAGCCAAAGGTTACAGAAAGTTTTTATTTTTGTTATATCATTAACATATTTAATAGAGATGGACTGACTCCCTCCTAAAATTGAGACAGGACAAGAAATTCTTTATTTGGTAATAAAAGAAATGAAAGTTACTCTAATTGAAAAGGAATATAAAAAACTGTCTTTTGCAGGATGGCCTCACTTGTACGTAGAAAATTATAGACTCCAAAAGAAAGAGCTATATAATAAACAATTTCAATAACTTTGCAGGATAAAAAAGCCATATACAAACCCAACAAATAATGAGAAATCCATAAGAATAAATTTTGTAATCGTGGTGTTATCTGACAACTTGACTGGGCAACAAATGTCAGATTTTTGATCAAACACTTTTCTGGATGTGTCTTTGAAGGTTTTATTTTCTGTCTTTATTATTGTTTATTGATAAGATCAACATTTAAATTGAGGGACATTTAGTAAAGCAGATCCACCCTTCAGGAAGAGCTGCAACTAACAGTGTTGCCACTTGGAATTCTGTAAAATCGAAAGAGTAACTTCAAGGCTTACAATATAAATTAAGAAAATTTTGGCACATTTTACTATCTGTCTATCTATCTATCTATCTATCTATCTATCTATCTATCTATCTATCTATCTATCTATCTGCCTGTCATCTATCTAAAGAATAATTTATAAGAAAAACATTGCTTAAATTTCTGTGTAGTAATAACTATATAGTTTACTCATTTACCTACCTCTACACTTTGTATTTTATAGGGCATATCTCTTGGCTCAAAATCTTCCTCAGTATATAAAGAAATACCTTCACTCTTATGTTTTATTTGATAAATCACATGTTCAAAACCGATTGAAGGTTCCAAGGGCTCAATTCCATAACTTACATTTTCAAACTGCAGTAAGCCCCTATAAATTTTAAAAAGGTGAATAAATCAAATAATGCAACTTGGAAAAATTCACAAGATACCACCTAATGAATATTTTTAAAATAGTATGGAGATTACTTCTGGTCTTAGTCTTCAGTGGCAAGATGGGAAAGAGTTACTGAGACTCCACAAACTTACTGAGTAGCACAGAATGGTGCTACTATTACTATTTGCCCAGCAATTAATATGTCATGAACTCGAAAGATATCAAAAAATCTTAGCTAGGGTTAAATAGAAAACTGTGCAAGATCCCAATACTGAGATTTGCCAGTGACAGTTTCCCACAATAAATTCAGCCTAACTTTAGAACCCCTATTATGATTTTAAAATTTTAAAAATCATTTCTAAAAATATATTTTATTCTATTATAATAAAATTATATATCACAACCTGAGTCCAGTACATGTGCTAATGATGACCATAGAATTTGGGTAACCTTCAATATAACCTTGGTAATGGCAAAAATTCTGAAAAACAAAAATAAAATATATATTAGAATAATCCATGTTAAAGATAACCTCTTTAAATATATACAATATATATGCATTAGTATGTATGTGTCAAATACTCGTAAACTGTAGTAAATTGTCCTGGAAATCAACCCCCCTTATTGACAATGACAATAAATAGCCCAGAAAATTATCTTGTTCGAAGTCAGACTTTGTATGCAGCAATATTGCCATCTAAGCAATGAGCCAGGAATCTGTATAACAATTCATATAACAATATATAATAATTTATGTAACAAACGGCTATAACTTGATTAAAAACTGTGAGCTTACCTAATTTTTGCCCCTGCTTCTAAATTAGGATCAACCAGAGAAAGCACTCCTAATATTTACTCCTAAATAATGACAGAATATTTCACTTCCAGTTAGCCCACATAAAGCTTTCTTATGCCAACAAGCGCCAATCAAGGCAAACCCGAAAGTCTTCTCTTTTTTCTTCTATATACAACTTTCGTACTCTTCTGTCTGCCTTTGACTATCTGCAAAAATGCAAGTGATAGTGACTGTCTCCTTTTGCTATGGCAAGATCTGAATAGCCTTTACTTATTCTCATTATTACTTTTTTGCTTGTTGCACAGAATATTAGATACTCACCATGAAGATACTCATCATACTTCATGTCTCGATGAAAACCAGACATGAAGAGAAAATCTTCACCTAGAGCAATGCATGCATAACAATCATAACATTCAGAGGAATAATGATACTTTTCATCATACACATATTAAGTATCATTGCCCATTATATACATATGTGTGTATACATGCACATATATAAACATATATACCTATCTGTGTACATGCATGTATACATGTGCATAATAGGTATACATGTATACACATATATGTGTGTCAGGAGACTAGGAAACAATGACATAAAAGAAAAGAAAAGGCTGAGAAGAAAAATGTCCTGGTATGCAGTATTATATATTGAGGGAAATTATTTTTCAAAAATTAAGATATCTAAAATTGACTTCTGATATAACAGCATGAGGAGTTCCACAGATCTGCTCCCAAATGAAATGGATGAAAATTTCAGGTGAACAACTATTAAATTCCTCTGGAAATGGTCTTAAGGATAAATGAGTCAAAGAGAAAATGAATAAATAGCTATTCAAGAAAAATTATGAAAATAGGCAAAAAATGAGAGTTATGATATTTTAAGTAAAAACTACACTTTTGTCCCTTCCCTCCACCCCTACAAGCTTAGTGAAATATTCTAGACTTGGTGCAGCCAGGAATTCTCATTGGGAGGAGCAAGATGTTCACATTTCTCATCCTGCTTCCTCCAGATACTTCTTGTTGTGGCTGAGTTCCAAGTCAATGCAGTCAAGAGATAAGGGCTCCTTGCTTTTCTGCCCAGGGAAACAACAGAGGCTTTAACTAAAGTAAATGTAGATTATACATTTAATCATCCAGGAAATCTAATCATTCAGATTCATAGTCAGTCAGTGATCCCATGCTGTGTGACGCAGGAATCTCTTTGTCAGCAAATGAAGTACAGCAATGGATTTATGTGTTTGAAATGAACAGTTTTTATCACATCCATTATTGTCCAGTAGCAGTTGGCCTAATTGAAAAGAATAGTAGGCTACTAAATACTTACCATGGTATTTGAAAGACATTAAGCTGCAAGTCTGGGATGATATTTTAATGAGATTATTTGTAAGGTATGGTTTCCATATAGCCAACGAACACATATAGAAATGTAAGGTGATCTTGTTGTTTTACCGTAGTTTAAACGTGGATAGGAGAGTGCTAAGTAGTCAAACGAAACTGAGTAGTCAAAGTTGTAAAATGTTAGTTATTGATGCTACTCAGTTTCAAATTAACCACATGCCTGCTTTGTGCAAATTAATCTGGGCCACTTAATTATTTTTCCCTTGCCAGATAGTACTGATGTGTTACCAGTAAGGAGTGGAGACCATGAGAAGACGGAATGGTTTACAACACAGTATTTGATGTGGTACAGGTTCATGCCTCTTCATGGATATGTTACCTTACCACACTCGTCAAAGCATCCATAATCCTCCACCATAGTCTGCTATGTTCTCCTCTCACACCCTCTCCCTCTAGACTGTCTTTGTTATCCTAGTTCTGTGTCACTGGTTGTTTCTTATATCTGGAACTCCTATGTTCTTCAGATTTCACTTTACTTCATATTATTTATTCAAATTTCTATTATAGCCTAAAATTCTTTATATTAAACTTCCTCTATTCAAATAATGGATTTATTTCTTTATGTTAATTAGACACAGACCAAAACAGTCTCTTAACTTATTAAAAAATGTCACTGACATATCATCATATTGGATTATTTCATATTTTTCCCCTCAAATACTCAAACAGCTCTTCATCTGTATTAATCACACTTTATAAGATCAAAGTAAAATACCTTTACTTTTCTGCAAGGCTTATTATACTTCCTTCTAAATGTGAATTTTATTATCTGGAAGATAATGTTTTTGATTATTTGGAAAAATTTATAAGTTGTATTTACATCATAAATAGGTTGATTGGAAAAACTGGGAATCAATAAACTATTTTTAGGTCAGCATAGGATAAAATTTTCATAAGGGATAAAAGTATGTTATTATTGTTTTATAATTTCCTTCTCTCATCATTTATCTTATTTTTATCATTATCATTTCTTGCACAGCTTTACTTTATCATATCTTATTTAAAGCTTTATTTGTACTGGAAAAGAAAATGTATGTTGTGACTATTATGTACAGTCTTCTACAAATAATTGTAAAATTGATAGTTCCATCTAAGTTTGTAAAATCTTTGCTAAGTGACCATCTCCTCTACCAATTATTGAGAAGAATTTTTTTTAATTTTTAATTTTGGTATTTTTAAATGATATTTTCTTTCCCCCACCCCCTCAGATTGAGTCCCCATAGAATTTCCTTCCCCAAGGCACCCATGCACCATCACCACAGTCTCCTGTTCTCCTTCCTTACTCCCTCTGATCCCTCTCCTCCTCCTCCCCTGTAGTATGTCTGATTTGTAATTGTCTGTTTTTGCTTTGTTGTGTTTTGTACTGTTACTATTTTTTTTTTACACTGATGTCTTATTTGGTTCCCCTATATTCTTGTTATAAGTGAAACCATCTTATATTTTTCTTTTTCCTTCTGGCTTATTTCACTGAGCATAATTCCTTCTAGCTCCATCCATGTTGCTGTGAATGACATGAGTTTATCTTTTTTGATTGCTGAATAATATTCCATTGTGTATATATACCACATCTTCTTGATCCAGTCATCTATTTTCTGGCATTTGGGTTGTTTCCAGGTTTTACCTATTGTAAATAGTGCTGCAATAAACATAGGTGTACAGGTGCTCTTTTGAATCAATGTTTTTGTGTCCTTAAGTTGTCCTGTGTATTTCTGTCTCTCCAATTCTAACTCTGTCTCTGTCTCTTTCTCACTCTCTCACATACACATTCACAAGTACATGTCACATGTACACATATATAAATGATAACACTGATTGACAGTATATATTATTTATATATTTATGGAGATGACTCCCATATATTTGCCTACTCTATTGGGCAAAATTTAAAGTATCGCAACATATCTATTTCTTCTGTTAAAAGCTTAGTTTGTATAAAAGTACTTTAATTTCAAAGTATTGTTTGATTTACTACATGAAAATCAGAAATGTAAATGAAAAAAAATAACAATATGCAAAGGGTAGGGTAAAGATAAATGGGAAAACATTATCTCAGGCTTGGTGGGATCCCTGCAAATCTATGCGTACTTCATTATTTTAACAATTATAGGCATTATGAAAGTTCCAGATGTTTCAAATTTAAAAACATTTAATATAATCCTAAATATGCATGAAATTGTTGAATTGTGCTAAAAAAAAAAATCAACACAAACACACAACTCTGATTCTTTGTGCTTTAGTAATGTGTGGACCCTAAGTTAAGGTGATCACAGAAATTCATGTGACAAAGGTAAAACAGGCAAAATCTATACCTGAAACTGTTGTTCAAAAGGTTTCTTACTTCCTGAGCCATTATAAGCATAAACTCTAAAATTGTGAGGTAAAAATGTTCTGCAAAACAAAGGGGAAAAAGTACTTAATGGAAAATATTTTCCTAAGCTCTTTTTTGAATATATATATATATATATACACTTTACTACAAGTAAGGAGGCAGAGTAAAAGAGTAAGGGAATAATAGAGGGATAGAGCCTCTCAACAGGTAAATCCTGTTCTAATTTCACTTTAAAAAAAATCTAGTTGCTAAACCTCTCTTCACTTACTTCACTGTCAGACTGTTCTCCTAGCTGTTTTGTAAGCATTGCTGGAAAGCTTTTGCCTCAGGGTGTTTGCACAAGTTGTTCCCACAGCCTAGTATTTCTTTAAAATGATTCAATTTCTCAACTTTTTCAAGTCTTTACTTATAAACTAACTTCTCAGTGAGATGTCATCACAACTTTATACAAATGTGCAACTTTCCCAATTATCAAAGTACAGGCATTCCAAACATTAATTCTTGCTTTGTTTTATTTCTTTGCTTAAGCATATATTACCATCTAACATTTTATAATCTACTTATTTATTATACTATTATTAGTCTTGTATGAAAACAATATAACTGAGATTTTTTTTTCTTCTTTTATTGAGGTAACACTGGTTTTCAATGCCACATATAATATAAAGATATAATTTCACACCTCTTCAGATTTGTTACCACATCACAATCACCACCAAGTCCTTCACCATTGTCCATGGGGTTCCCTTTCCCTGTTAACTGTCCACCTTTTTCCTCCTTTGGTATTCTCAATTTTATAGTCTCATATCTAAGATTTGGTTTTGTTTTTTTTTTCTCTAACCCTTTGTTTTGTATCTCTAAATTCCAGATGTAAGTGAAGCCATCTGATATTTACCTTTCTCTTTTGGACTTATTTCTGCTTAGCATAATCCCTGACATTTCCCTCTATGTTATTAAGAATGGTGAGTTCATACTTTTTTAATGGTTGGGTAGCATTTTCCTAATCCACTCATCTGTCCTTAGGCACTTAGATATTGTGCTAACTTGGCTAATTGTAAATAGTGCTGGCTATTAGAAGTGTCTCTTTAAAAAGTATAAATGTCTTATATAGTTACTTCATAGAGAAAAAACAGTTGGCCTACCTGTGCATTAAGAGGGGTTTTAAAGCATAAAATATGAGACAAATAAACCACAAATATGCCTAGAAACATTTACACATACAAAATAATTTCATTCTGGATAATTATAAATAATAATTATAAACTATATATTAAAAATGCATACTATAATAATAGTCATAGCCAATAATTGTAAATTATTGTAACAAAGAAATGTAAAAATGTAGATCACCTACTTTTGCATTAAGTTCAGGGTGTATATTTTCCCATCAATTGTAATGTTGTAGGATAGCTGGCAGGAGAGTATATTAAAAAGGAAAAGTGAGAAGAATGTTAGGAAAACTATTATCTTAGGTACTCTATTATTGTAAAACATAGAAAACTTATTCAGTGTTGGTTCATTTCTATGAAATTTGATATTAAAATATTTTATAAGAAAATATTTAAGATTAATAAATATTATCTAGCAAATGAATAATTTTGTATATAAAGATTGGGTGAGTCAATATCTTTATATTATTGGGTCTTCCAATCCATTTCTGACTGTACCCAGTGCTTGTATAAACAAACAAACAAAAACAAACAAACAAATGAATAAATAAATAAATCTTTAAAAAAAAATCTCTTATACTGTTAAAATTTCACATATTTTTTACTATTTAGATTGAATTTGAAGTTTATATAAATAAGCACTCCTTTCAAAATATGCATTCTATTTAAGCTTGTAATCCCTGTATTAAATTGAGGGTTGCTAATGAGATATTTGTATATAAATTACCAGAATATCTACTGAGCCAAAAAAAAATTAAGGTAGGTATGGTGTTTAAAAAAATACATTTCACTTCTTTAGAAATATTCCTAAGAATTAATGAAAAAAGATTAAATTTTTAAATTAATTTCAAGAACAATATCATGAACCAAAATAACATGGAGACTTAATGAATATCATACTAGCAATGAAGATACAAAAGAAATTCATACAGCATTTCATTAAATCAAATGAGTGTCATTCCATGTAAAGAAGCCATAGCTTACGACAAAAAACAGCAAAAAATTTTCCATATGTAGGTGAGTGAGAAGAAAATCTCTAGATGGATCTGGTCAATATTTGAAGACACTTAAGAAGGAAACATTTAGAAGATGGAATTTTGGATTTTGATAATAAACATCATAACATCATTGCACCATACTCCTATGAAACATTTTTAATTTTGGTTCATTTTCAAAGGGCTTTTCCATTGGGTATAAATATAAAATGTAGCAAGTGTACATGGATATAACTTCTTAGATACAAAACTGTAATGTGATTTTAGAGTGTGAAAATGTTAGGGTTTAATTACATGTGATTCAACTCCTCCAGTTGTCATAGACCTTATTTTCTTTGGAATCATAATTTGCACACGTAGTCTTTCAGAATCTGCAAGGTGCAAAATATTTTATTATAGCAACTCTTAACACCTCATAACCTCCTTCAATATTTTCTCTTCTAATACCACAGTATTCTACATACCACTTCTTTATTTATATCTTTTTAAAGTAACTTTGATCCCCAGTTCTTTCTAAAACTACAAAATAGGTATTCTGCTTTAGGAATATTGTTCAATAAGCAGATTGTAGTTACCCTGAGGCAAGAGGCCAAAGGATTTTTGCACAAAAATTCAGGTTTTTTTGACCGTCCTACTACAAAGTCCAGAAGGTCAAAACTTGCAGAGCAGGATAAAATAAACTCTAATTTTTTTTAAAGGAGTTGGAATCCTTGTATTTATTATGCAATGTTTCAGTTAAAGAATATCATTTGACCCTCGATTATGAATATACAAGCAGTTTTAATTTTTTTCTTTATAAATTCTACTTTTAAAATAACTGTAACATTTGCATTCGATTCTATAGACAAAGTTCCCATATTGTGAACTGGACTTTTGCATGATTAACTTAATGTAGTATATACAAATGTTGATTTTCAATGATACACACCAATAACTTACTTTGCTAAAATGCAAAGTTACTACAATTTAAAAAAAGTATTAAAAAAAGATTGAATAATCATTACTGGAACTGTTATCATAAATGGTTCTTTTATTCCTGAGTTTTTTATTAATATGGGGAAAACCTAGCTGGGTAATCAAATTTTATTTTCAAACATTTTTTAAAAATGGTATCATCTTTACAGAATTAACATTGGTTAACAACACAACACTACATATGACTTTGGGGTTTATAGGTTTACACCTCTTCAGATATATGCAACCAGAATGAAGCTACAAAAACCATGGCATTTTCCTTCTTTCTCATGGCTGCAAGACCAACAGGAAAGCCCGCTTCCCCTCCCTACCCCCCCCCACCCTCCACCCCTCACCCCCCACCCCCACCATGCATCCGATGTTGCTTTTAACTTGGGAAGGTGACAACGTAGGGGTGGGCTCAGGCTTTTATAGTTGGAGTCTCCACAAGAAAGCACTGCCCCAGGAGTAATCCAGCCCTTCAAGAGGGAAACCGAGAGGAAAGCTGACGTCCCCCAAATGACATAAGAGGGTTTTCTCTACGTACTGTAGTCTGTCTGGATCCCGACGAGCCCTGTGAGCAGAAGCAGAAAGCACAGCATGGCTAGGTGTCCTGGATGGTCGCCCAAATAATGACAGTTGGCTTGGCTAGGAGACAGTTGGGAGCGCGAGGAGACGCCTTGGGACCACCCACCCCGCGAACTGAGAGCAGAGCTGGGTCAGCGGGGTGGGTTCAGTGCGCTGTGCACTGTGAACTTTCTTGGTCCCTAAAACTGAAGGAGGTTTTGTTTGTTTTGAGGGCTGCTTTGAGGCTAAAAAGAAGCAAAAATATCTCCACAGGCAAACCTGAAAGAACATCAAGGGAACAAACGTGTACTTTTCTGAAGTGAACTTTAATGGATAATTGAACTTTTAATTGTGTTTTAATTTATATATATCAGTACACTTGCATAATTTAATAGTCTATATCATATACATGTGTATATACATGATATATAGCTCATACATGTGTACATGTGTACAGCCATGACTATAGATATTATATATATGAACAAAGTAGGATAATTAACTCTTAATGCCAAATGGAGAAACAGGAGTCACAAAACTCCCCCAGATTATACTGACAGTGAATCCCCTTTAACACCATTAGTCAGTTTTCATTGTGTTTGAGATTTATGTGAATGAAATCAATCACTGTGTACCCTTTTATGTTTGAGTTGTTTTAATATGATAATCATAATATCCACCCATATTGTCAGTAGCAATAATTTTCCTCCTTGGTTACTATTACACATTAGAAAATATAATACCGTCTGTTTTTCTGTTGATCAGCATTTGATTTATTTACAGTTGCAACTATTAAGAAAATATTTGGTTATTTTATTTCTTGTACATGCTATTTGATGAACATACATAGTGGTTTTTATTGGGTATATTTCTATAATGAAATTGCTGGGTCACAGAGTATTCTTTATTAGACAATTCCAAAAGACACTTCCAAAACTTCCAAAGAATTTTCCAAGATTGTTGTATGAATTTGTGTTCTCACCAGAAGTATATAAATAGTCCACTTTATATTAATGTAATTTTTTTAAACATTTATTTCAACTTAGTCATTTTGGTGGACATGTAGAGGTGCCACATTTTGGTTTTCATTTGCATTTCTGTGTTAATGAAGTTTAACAAATACATTTTTTACTGGTCATTTATATATAACTTCTTTGGTAATATCTTTGAAAATTTTGGTACATTTTCTGGTTGAGTGACTTTGTTTCTTTCTAGTATATGCAGAATCCTTTTGCCTATTGTAGATATGATTCCTTTGTTAGATATAATGTGTGCAAATATCTTTCCATACTGGGACTCCTAGTTGATGGATTTTTGCATATAACCATTCATATTCAGAAATTTACTTTTTTCCCAATTTATTGGGATTTTCTTGAGATACATCTGTTCATATATGCTGAATTGGCGTGGGTCATGCTACTCATGCTGTCTGACAAGGTCTGGGCATGGGGGAAATTTCTGAAAAGTCAGAAAACTTCATAGCTGGCTCCTGCTACTTCCTTTCATTTGTTTGTGGCAGTTATTGAAACCATGGGAATTTTCTCTAAGCTTTAGAATAACACAATGAGTGCTGGCACCAATGCCAGTTTCGGTATGCACACTTCAGTAGTTTGAGAAAAGTACTTTCTAACATGATTAATGATGAAATGATTCCCGATAATTCTCCACGTCCTCCAATTTTTAATTCAGTTACCATGAGTAACATTGAGTTCTTTAACAAGCCATGCTTGAGCCTGGTAAAATTACCCACAAGAGAAGTCCCTGAGGAGCCCCTGGAGGCAAAATGATCAGAGAGAAACACACCACATACTGTTCCCAAGGTACCGGGACACCTTGGTTCTATATAGAAAATAGGAAGCCGCCCTCGATCTTACAATGCCTGCTTCATCTTTTAGCTTGACCATAAATCACACTGTGTATAGCACCTGTTTTTATTTTCTGAATAACATACATCACCTAGGGAAATTATGTAACCAAGTTAATGTAACCAAGCAACCAAGTTAATCATAGACTGGGAAAATTAAGAAAGGGCTGTGCACTGATTGATGATCAAGCATAAGTTCTGAAACAATGACAATGTAAAAGTAAAATCACATGATTGCATGATGTAATGATCAAATAAAAAATTTCTGATGTATAAATAAAGACCCGCTGAGACCCTCAGCGGGAGATGTCTGCACCCTGATCAAGTGTCAGTGTCTCCTCACTACCTCATCTACCTCATCTCCCCTCTCCCTTCATCCCTCCACTTTGCTGACGCCCTCTTGTCCTGTGGGGACCCTACCCCGGTTGGAGCTGGACTCCAGCACTGATTTTTGTCAAAAGCTTTTTTCTGTATAATTTAAGTTGATCATATAATTTTCTCCATTTTCCATTAAATGTTGTGAATTGAAATGATTGTATTTCCAACAAACTGGTATTCCTAAAACGAAATATATTTAGTTATGATATATTATATTTTACAACTTTTGCTGGAGTTATTTGCCAGCATGTTGTTTAGGAATATTTGTCTGTAACTTTTTTAGATTGTAATGAAATTACAATCTATATATCATATCAGATATATAGTAGTCTTATAAAAGAAAATGAGAAATATTATCTCTTCCTGCTGTAAATATTCCTGCAATGTTTCTTAGAATTTAGAATTTTTCAGTTTTTTATAGGTTTTCTTTTTACTTACGAATTAGTTACAAAACTTACATAAGTATTTTTCTATGACTAATTGATTTAAAATTATGTATTCACCCTTTCCTTGTTATTTTAAGAAAGTTGTGTTCCTGGGTGGCTTCCTGGTGGTGCAAGGGGTTAAGTCTCAGCACTATCAAGCTATCAGTAGCCACTGCACCATTAGTTTGATCAGAGGCCAGGGAGTTACCCACATGGCACAGCAGACCTCTCCTGTCTTGCCTGCTGCTCCCCTCATCAGTGTATTTCAGTAGCTCTGCCTGTTCTGTTCCCCAGGCTGTCTCTGGTGAATCCTCTAAACCCCCTGCACCTCTGGCCTACAGAAAAGTTCTTCTATGCATAAATAAATCTTTAAATAAACAAAAGAAAGTTGTTTTTCTGATGAAATTTGTCCAATTCTTCTGAGTAACACTGGCCAAAGTTGTTCATAATATTCTTCCCTCCTTTTTTAGACTTTTGAACTTGTAGATATATCCTTTTTTCAATCTCAATATTGATAATTTTATGATTTTTCTCTTTTTTTCATGATAAGTCATCCTTGGAGTTCATTATTTCTATTAACTTTTTAAATAAATAGTTTTGGGCTTTGATTTTTTCTATATATATTTGCATTTTGTTTCTTTATTTTGCTTTTGTGTTCATTTATTTTTTCTACAGTATAAGTGTAACTTGTTATTTTTCTTGCCTCTAAGAATAGAATTTTATATTATTTATCTAAAAAATTTTTTAGTATATGCATTTAAAACTATAAATTCCCATCTATATACTGCTTCAAATTTACATGTATTATATTTATTTTCACATCTTTCATTTGCCTAATATGTTCAAAATATTTTCTAATTTTCTTTTTTTTTTTAAAGATTGATTTATTTATATAAGAACTGAGGTACAGGCAAGATGTGCAGAAGGGTGAGAGGATTCACCAGAGACAGAGTGAGAAGCAGAACAGGCAGACTGTCTGAAATACACTGCTGAGGGGTGCAGGGGGAAGACAGAAGAGGTCTGCTGCGCCATGTGGGTATCTCACCTGCTGGCCAGTAGTGATCTGCATGCAGAGGCTGTGGACAGCTTCACAGCACTGTGCTCAACCCCCTGTGCCACCAGGGAGGCTCTATTTTCCAATTTTCATTATGACTTTTCCTCATGTGTTATTTAAATTCTATGTATTTGAGGTGTTTCAATTATATTTTTCTTATCCAATTTAATTCTGCTGTTGTCATATATCATACTTCAAATAATTAAGCCATTGCATTTTACTAAAACAAGATTATCAATTAGATTTTCCTTTATATTTAGTAAATACTCCTTGAAAACTACAATAGAATGTGGATTATTCATTTGTGAATTATATTATTATATAAACAATAAATCAAGGTGGATAATAGGTACCAATATTTTATATTTTTGCCAATTCTTTTGTTTGCTTGTTCTTGAATATATTTAACAATATACTAGCAATTTTGGATTACTGTATTCTGAAGATACTCATTTACGATGTTGCTTTCTTGATAAATTGACCTATTGACCTAAAGAATATCATTCTTTACCTGTTGCAATACTTCTTGTCATTGCCTATTTTTTCATATATTTCCTTAGTCAGATTTGCATTAAAATTAGCTTTCGCGTGGATTATTTTTAAATACTATTTTACTTTAAAAGAGTAAAATAAATATATATTCCTTATATTTAAAAATGTTTGTATGTATTTGTAAACAATATGTAACTTTTAAAAAATCTAGTCCAATAAGATTTAATTTTACTGAAAGTAACAGGTCTTTGCTAAGTTTACTTATCTTACCAATAGCTTCCTAGTTTTTCCTATCTTTTTTTGGTCTTTTTTTTTTTCTTTACTTAATTGAATACTGGAAACCAATTTAATTCTTCATTTCATCTATTCTTTTTGATTTTTAAATATACCATTGTTCTGGGGTTTTAGTGATTAAGAATTATATATATTCAACACACTATATTTAACATATTACATCAAGAACATTTTAAGATTATTACCAACAATTCTATTTAAGACCTTTCATTCTGTTATTGCCATCTTTTACATATTAGTGTGCATGTATATGTGTGTTTGTACATATACTAAACAGACTTTGTTTTTTATAGCAGTTCAAGGTTCACAGAAGAATTGACAGGAAAATACAAAGCTATAGTAATCAAAATAGTATGGTGTTGGAATAAACATAGACAGTTTGAAAGTAGTAAGATGGTTGTGGCAGTAATGGTGATGGAGTTCCAGAGAGTCTAATTTCTATTCAGCACCCCTTGGGAGACCTCCATCGATATCTTCCACTCTTTCATAAAGCTTGATATTCATGAGAACCATGAGGAAGTAGAGAAACTTGGAATTGGGGTCTCTCCTGACAAAGACTGGGCAAGCTGCAGGCATAATTGTAGTACCAGTCTTTTG